GCACTGCACAAATCTGGCCTTTATGGATGAGTGGCAAAGATATCCATAAAAAGTCTCGTTTAAAGTTTGCCACAAGCCACCTGGGAGACACACCAAACATGTGGAAGAAGGTGCTCTGGTCAGATGAAACCAAAATCAAACTTTTTGGCCACAATGCAAAACGATATGTTTGGCGTAAAAGCAACACAGCTCATCACCCTGAACACACCATCTCCACCTCAGCTGTAGTAATCTGCAGTTCATCCAGAGTGATCATGGGCCTCTTGGCTGCATCTCTGATCAGTCTTCTCCTTGTTTGAGATGAAAGTTTGGAGGGACGGCCGGGTCTTGGTAGATTTGCAGTGGTCTGATACTCCTTCCATTTCAATATAATTGCTTGCACAGTGCTTCTTGAGATGTTTAAAGCTTGGGAAATCTTTTTGTATCCAAATCCGGCTTTAAACTTCTCCACAACAGTATCTCGGACCTGCCTGGTGTGTTCATTTGTCTTCATGGTTCTCTCTGCGCTTTAAACAGAACCCTGAGACTATCAAAGAGCAGGTGCATTTATACGGAGACTTGATTACACACAGGTGCATTCTATCTATCATCGGATCCGGATCAGTCATTTAGGACAACATTGGATCATTCAAAGATCCTCACTGAACTTCTGGAGTGAGTTTGCTGCACAGAAAGTAAAGGGGCCGAATAATATTGCACGCCCCACTTTTCAGTTTTTTATTTGTTAAAAAAGTTTAAATTATCCAACAAATTTAATTCCACTTCACGATTGTGTCCCACTTGTTGTTGATTCATGACAAAAAATTAAAATTTTATATCTTTATGTTTGAAGCCTGAAATATGGCGAAATGTTTAAAGGTTCAAGGGGGCCGAATACTTTCGCAAGGCACTGTATAAGTACGTATTACTGATTTCAAACATATAATGCATATTTTGCTAGAACTATGTATTTTTGTACATATAGCTCAGTTGGCAGAGCATTGGCCTTTGAGCCTGAAGGTCGTGGGTTCGAGCCCACTGTAAGACCTACTTCACGACTCCCACTGATGACTGCTGTCGTTGTGTCCTTAGGCAAGACACTTAACCCCACTTTGCCTGAAGCTCCCACTGAAAGATCTCAGCTCCTGTGGACTCACCACCTGCAGGAGGATCAGTGAGGGGCTGGTGCTCTGTGTACTGGGTGGCATCTCTGGCCACCCCCCCGACCCAGAAATGGATTAAGGGGAAGAAAATGGATGTATTTTTGTTCACTTTTTTTATGATTACTTTTAAGGCAAGGTATAATTATTTCACATTTCAAGTAGGGGTGATACCCCTACCCCGCGATTCGATTATCGATATGCATTTGCCAAGTATCAATTTTTACACTTTTTTTTTTTGAATAGGTATCAATACTTAATATATGGCTACATTACGCATCTCCATTCCATTTATCATAAAATAAAGAGCATTTTTTCTTTTATTTATGCCATAAAATTGGCATATTTCTGACCAATATATCAATAATCGTCATATCGTGATAAAATCGTTATTGTGATATCGTTATCGTGAGCTTTGTATCGTGTATCGTATCGTGAGGTACCCTTAAGTTCCCACCCCTATTTTCAAGGTAGTTTTAAATGTTGATAATGTATTTTTTAACTTAAGCTGATCATTAAGAACATTCAAAATGTTTACTCCAATGACAGACACGCATTTATTTTTAATGTTAGTTCTGGATTTTCTTGTTTCCAACTGAAGAAAACCTCGCAGATTGTAGCGACTTTTTCTCATTTTGAAGAAAGATTGAACACCTGCAGGAATATCTTTGTTTGTTCCAACTCTGAAAAAGATCTCTAGTATTTTTAACTTGACTATGTCCATACATTTTAGCATGTTATGTTTTATTTCACATATCTTTAGACTAATACAGGTTTGAAATCCTACATTCAGCTTCAGTCGATATCTCTGCTGCTCTTTTGTAATCGCAGCTGAAAAGCCAATAGTCCGTGTTCTCAAAGTAAATCCAGCCCCAGAGCGACTTTGCAGCAGTGATTAAATACTTGTGTCAAACCAGGACTTCTGTGTCTCCTGTGGTAATACTTTTAATGTCCCCGTTGTTGAAATGTTGCTCTGAGCAGAGAATGCATCAGCTTATTCGTTTGGGACTCGGTTTCTCATTTGTTGTTTTGCAGGGAATCCAATAATATTTAGAATTTTCATCAAAAAGAAATAAAATACAGCTTCAATTGTTTTCTGCCCGTCAAAGAGTGGAGTGAATCGGGAGAGGCTATTATAGGGGAACTGGAAGGTAATTTTTCTATATACATATTATGCTTCATCTACAACATCAGGAAGCATGAATCACCAAATATGACAATTATGTTACAACTTGGGGTGGGCAATATGGGCAAAAATAAATATCTCATTTTTTTTTTTTTTACCAACTCCTGATAACAATATTGTCAGGATATCTTTAAAATCACATTTTTAGACAAAATGATGTGTAATGTTTTGCCAGTGCATCTATAGATAGAGACAGTGTAGATCGAAAAGCAGCTTTTTATTTGTAAAGTGCTTCACACATCTTTGCAACACATGCACAAACATACATTTACATTAAAAATCAAATTCAAGAAACACGGGAAGAACACCTCCAATAGAGATGGACAAATAAAGCAGTGATTGGCTTTTAGGCACACATTTGACGAATCTTGCCTGCTCTGATTGCAATATGTATTGGAGATAAAAAATAAATAAAAAAAAGACGAGAATGCAAAAAAGAATGTCTTCAAATTCACTTTTGCGATATTATTGCCTACAATATCTATTGCCCACCCATAAATACAACTTATAGTACTTTCTAGACCAGTGTCTCCCAAAGTGGGGTCCGCGGCCCCCTGGTGGGCCGCGAGGGTACTGCAGGGGGGCCGCGGGAGGTCATAAAAAAAAATAAAAAAAAAATATAATTATTTGATGTTAAATTTATAATGTTTTGTTTGTAATATTAAAATATTTGTGTTCATTATTTGACTTGAATAATCCACTGTAATCATTTTTGTATTACAATGTTTGTAGCAGAGGCTATTTCCCCAAAATAAAATAACCAGAAGAGCCTATTCTTAATGTTGTCTTCTTGGTTATTATTTTGGGGGGCCACGCAGACCCGTCAGATTTTTAAGGGGGCCTCGGTGTTACTGAGTTTGGGAATGGCTGTTCTAGACTATAAGCCTCTTTTTTCAATTGCTTTTAATCCTGTGGCTCTAGTATATAATGATGCTGCAAATGTGTGTATTTTATATTCTTTTGGAGTGCTCCCTCGAGTGCAAGAAGAGGATTTGGACACAGCTCTATCAGCTGTTGATCTCAAGAGCTGATGATGTAACACACTTTCCTGCTGCCCTTTGTGTTTATGTGAACAGCAATGACATTCTGATTATGTTTTTTCAGTAAAAAATTAAAATGCTGATTAATAATTATAATGAATTTGTTGTTTTGCAGGAAATCCAATAATATATTTAGTAGTTTAATCAAAAAGGCAATAAAATACGGCTTCAATTGTTGCTCGTTAAAAAGTGAAAATGAAAGTCTTTTAAAGGGGAACTGGAATACTTAAAATGCTTAAAAAATGCTGAAAAAACAAAACAGATTTATCTTTCTATTGATCCAAACTTTGATACGTTCTGACTTTGCTCACTCACATTTTGGCTTACTCCCAGATCTGCTTCATCCACTGGAGGCAATAGTGAAAGTGAAAGTGTCTGGGAGGTGGCAGCAGCTGTGTGTCTCCCCTTCTCCTGTGGCTTTACCAAGACCTCCCTCCTCTTCAACAAATGTCACTTCCCTCTGGATTCCTCAGATATCCGCCTCCTCCACAAGAACGCACGGCTATGTCCCGCCACCGACAGCTGGGACTAAAGCCGCTAAAGCCGCCGCAAAATCCCCCTCTGAACTCAAATGCTCTTGGAACCATAACCGGGAAAAATTAAATATTGGCATTTCAATGTTACTTTTGCTGGTCTGGATTTTTTTTTTGTATTTCAGAAAGGGTAAAATTATCTCAAAATGACAGCTTGAGATGATTCTTTGCATTGTTAGGAGTAGTTTTGATATGACATAAAAAGAAGACAATTATACCCTTACCTGATATAGGGTTACGCACGTGTTTGTCTGAAGATTACCAGAATAAAAACATAATATATATTGATTTGTCACCTACTATTCATAATAAAATAACAGAAATAATGAGTTTTAAAAGGTGCATTCCTTAAAAGGTGGGATTGACACTTTACCTTGTTAGAGTAAAAACATGACACATTTGACCGTATTGAGTTTAAAACCTGCATTCCTTGACTGTCCTGGTGGTGCCTTTTTCTTGTAAAAGGACTGTTTAAATCATTAAACAAATTAAAATTAAGTTAACTGAATGGAATTGAGAAAAAAAAAAAACGTTTTTTAAGCTCTAAAACCATCCGTTATTGAGGAATCTGTCTTTGAAGCAATATTTCAATCAAAACAATAACGTATACATGGCTTGTACGGCTGGGCTTTTTTCATACACATCTAGATACAGGGCACTTTCAATTCCATCAGATAGGTTTCTTAACGCTTCAGTAAAATAAAAGACATTTGGCCCCTTCTCTAATGCTGTGTCTCATTTGAACAGAATTACAACAACATTTTTCAAAAGCATCTGGTGTGGTTCATAGACAGGTGCACTTAGTAGTCCAGGAAGTACTATAGATATATTTTGTTACTAACACCTCTAATTGCACCCCTAAAAGCGGTTATTGGGTCATTTCACATAAGCGGATCAACACCAGGACACTTTAAATTTTAAGTTCATGTCACTGTGCCCAATTTGCACCACAGTTTTGGCGACTTTAACACAAAATTTCTGCTGCAGATGCTGAGGTAGAGTCTATGTGAGATATATTTTGATGCATCCAAGCCACCGTTATAAAACAGAGAATGTGTAAAAAAAATAAAAAGCTAATCGCACGAGGTGGATTCCTACTCACGGCTGTCGTAGCAGATGTTTCCGAGTGCGCGGCCCGTCTGCAGTAGAACCTCCTGGTCTGGGGACGTCAGCAGCTGAATAAGAGGAGGGATGAGGCCGGCGTCAACACACGAGGTCCGCATGAACTCTGCACAGAGAGAACCAGCCACAAAGACAAGGATTCGGTTAAACCTGGACTTGAACTTAAGACCAGCGTTTCCCAGGATCAGGACAGTGAATGACAGTGACTAGATGCCTATATGTTGTCCGTGCCTTGCTATTCACCCGTTGTCCCTCTGTCTGTTCTATGAATGCATGGACGGGACTAAAAACCCTGGACCTGAGAACCAGTCCCCAGCCGGAAACCCTGGACTCCCTGGACCTGAAGACTAGTCCCCGTTCGGAAACCCTGGACTCCCTGGACCTGAGGACTAGTCCCCGTTCGGAAACCCTGGACTCCCTGGACCTGAGGACTAGTCCCCGTTCGGAAACCCTGGACTCCCTGGACCTGAGGACTTGTCCCCGTTCGGAAACCCTGGACTCCCTGGACCTGTGGACTAGTCCCCGTCCTGAAACCCTAGACTCCCTGGACCTGAGGACTAGCCGCCAGCAGGAAACCCTGGACTCCCTGGACCTGAGGACTAGTCCCCAGCCGGAAACCCTGGACCTGAGGACTAGTCCCCGTCCTGAAACCCTGGACTCCCTGGACTGCTGCTGGGAGTTGCCAGTGCTGAGTCACCCCTCAAGACGTCTATTGTTGTGATTTGCGGGAACATTTGGTTTGCTTTTGGTCATCTGCTCTCTATGGACCAATGGCTCCTATGTGTTTGTTATTATTGCATTTCCTGTGTTTGAACCGTTTGATTCTATGATCTGTTGTTGATAAATTGACAACTCTGTAAATTGATATGGGGCTAAACAAAAGTAAATTGGATTAAATATACTGGTATCGCATTTGTTATAATCAGAATCAGAATCATTTTTATTGCCACGTAAGTAACAGGAAGTCACAGACTTGGAAATTGCTTTGGCTCAGTGCAACAGTCAAAAAGAGATAATAAAAATAAAGAATAAAAAACACACATACAATTTAAAATATAGTTATATTACTATTTACAACATACAAGTGCACATGGTGCACACAATGTAAGGTGACAGCCTTACAGTGAAGTAAAGTGACGCATGATGGGCAGTAAAGTGACTTTATAAAGGGCGGGGGGACAGGTTAAGAAGTGTTCAAGAGTCCAACAGCAGAGGGGAAGAAACTGTTCTTGTGGCGGGAGGTTTTAGTCCTGATGGACCGCAGCCTCCTGCCTGAGGGGAGTGGTTGGAATAGTCCATGTGCAGGGTGAGAGGGGTCGGCTGTGATACAACCAGCCCGGCCTCGATCTCGGGCGACGTACAGGTCCTGCAGCGATGGAAGGCTGCGGCCGATCACTTCCTCTGCAGAGGAAGCGCTGTAAAAGAGCAGTGTCGACCGTACGAGGCGCCATCTTGATTTATCCTTATAGAAGGATTTTATCTGTTTATAATGCACTGTTGTTATTCATTATGTGTGATTTGAATATTTAAATGTTTTTAATTACCTGTGTGATTTTAATGGTGATTTTGGTGTTGCCCTGAGGTGCTTTTTCAAACGTACATAACAACATGCATTAACATTCATATTTTCCCTCTGTAACAGTTTGCATTGTTCCCAATTTCTTATCCATCTGGCGTCAAACCAAAACATGTCCAGGTGCCACGGGTCCTTTATCTGACCTGACGTCCATCTGTTGCCATGGTATTTAGTGGGTTAGCCAAAGTCGAGCTGCATTACTAGGACATGTCAGGAGAGGAGTTTAATACGAACTAATAATTATATCTGTTTTTGCACAGCTCAAAAGCTTAAAACAGGGGTAAGCTTGTTTTCGCATCAACTAATTGGCACCGAACCAAAACATTCAGAAGTTTAGGGTTAAGTAGGCAACTCTATTATATCAATGTGCCCTTAGAAAACTGGAGTGATAGTTCCCATAAATGCACATGTGTGTTTAAGTTGCACTTTACTGTCCTCTGAGTTTGACCCATCCTTCCAGAATAGAGTGCCTGACGGTATTTCATTATATTTAATTCGTTTTTCAGGAACTTTCTTTCAAAAATGATCACTTAGGGCAGAGTGCATTGCAGTTAACCTGACTTGTGCAGGGGCCGATAACACAAGCAGTGTAATAGCTTTGACTGGATCACGCTGCTCTGAGTTTTAAATTGAGGAAGTCCAAATAGATACACACTTGACAGACGTGTACTAGTGTTTACTATCGCACAGCTACAGTAGCCTCTTATTTTGGAAGGCAAAAACAAAAGTCAGCATATACACATAAAAGTAACGGCCGAGTTCCAAAGGGTTTGAGCTTCACAACGAGGTAGAGCATGTTTATGATAGTGGAGCTGAAGTTGGAACTTTGGGCTAATTTGGTTTAGCAAGGCACAGGGCCACATGACATACCACAGAGGGCCGCAATTGGCCCCTGGACCCTTCGTTTTTGACATACCTGACTTAGGGATATAACAAACTTTACTATAAAGAAAGTATTTCTATATAGTGGATTTTGCAAGGTTAAGCTATCTTTGTTTTGGACTTTCATCTCAATCAAGTCAATATAAATGTATTTGAATGGCACAGTTCATATTCAAGTCAAAGTGCTTCACATCAACAACTAAAACCAACAATCAGTGATTTAAAACACACTGTAGGACATACACATACAAGCAATTTGAACAGTGATCAGTCAGAGGAATGGCTAAAAAGAGCTATATTTTTATATTTTTTTATATTTCTTAATTTTTTATGGTTTTTATTCCTGTAATGTTAAGCCCCCTGGGTTGCTTCTGTATGAATGGTGCTTTTTAATAAATTTGCCTTGCCTTGCCTAGACTTCAAAATATCCAGGGTGGCAGCCTGTTTCACTGTTTCAGGAAGACTGTTCCAGATTTTAGGTGCATAGGTCTGGAATGATGCCTCCTCATGTTTAGTCCTGACTCTGGGCACCAGCTGGAGGCCAGTCCCTGTGCTCCTCAGAGTCCCAGCAGGAGGCCAGATGTACTTTGGTGAGAGGCCATGGAGAGACTGTTCCACCTCTGCTGCTGTGACCTAAAGTGCTAATAGTACTATTGTTAGTAACTTTTAGAAACATGCATTAGTGTATATATTGTGTGTGCTCCCTGTGTGCTCTTACTACTGTCCTATATGTGCGATGCAACATCGAAATTTCCCCACTGTGGGACGAATAAAGGAATTCTTATCTTATCTTCTTATCTTATCTTATTTATGTTTGTACAGATGGATGCGTTTCTGCTGCTGGACCCTGAATTTCTACTGCAGGGATCAATAAAGCTTCAATCCAACTATCCATAAACAGAGCTGCTTTGAACTCTATTCTCTGAGCCACAGAAAACCAGTGCAGATACTTTTTAGCATTTTGTTTTGAAAGAATTGGCTCAACTACACACAAGTATCAAAGTGTACAGACATTGTCCCTGTTAATAGTCTTAAAGCAGAGCCCTTACAGACCACATCCATCCTTCTCCTTTTGCAGCTTTAAGCACTCAGGCCTGTCCGCGCAGCTCTGGGGAGGGCAGCAGTCAGTTTCCGGAGGCAGTGACAGATAAATGCCAGCCGGCTGTTGCCAAGCTCGGGCCAGCCACAGCGGAGTGCTCATTAGCGACAGTCTTGAATGCGCCTGTAAAACCTATTCATTATCTTAACCTTTTCGATCCGCTTGTGCTTTTTCCACTTTAAAAGCTTCTCCCGTGCTCTGGCGGAGGGACGCAGGACGACGCAGGCTCTCGCAAAGTGCTTCCGTGAGATTTGATAAGCTCAGATAAGGAGAGGTTTGGTTAAAAAGGACACCAAGGCCGAATTGGGTTTGGAGACGCCAAGGTTATCTCGGACTTACTTCCTGAAGGTTTTGTAAATTAAAATGGTCAAGTAATGTGTAAGGCAACTCAATATGACTCAAGTAGTTTTGTAAAGTTGTCTCCAAAACACTAAATAACAGCAGTCTTCTCAGAGGTCTCTACAAATTTGCTGATTTGCCAACAATAGATTTGAGAATCTAATGGTACAAACGCAGGAAATGCAGTAATAACAAACACACAGGAGTTGGTCCATAGAGTAGAGGCCAGAAAATGTCCATAAATATCCAAAAATATCCAGTTTTTCTAATGTAGTTTTACTGATAACGGCAAATAAATTCTTGAATATCTTGAATCTTGACTGTCCTTCGACCCTTCAGCATCGGCAAGGAATGAGTCAAAAAAGCCAGGGGAGAAAAAATGCGAGAAATCTTGGGAAGGCCCATTTTAAAAGATGGATCTGCTCCCTCGGACAGAAAGGCCGACTCAGCGACAAGTAGAGGATAGTGTGGATAGGAAAAGGGACTAATAATGTCATAAATAAATAATTAGGATGTTATAATGAAGGAGTAGCAAATGTTCAGGTCCTGTCGCGCCAAGACATGTTTCTTTATACGTTTAGTCCAAAAAACAAAAAAACACTCAGAGACGCATCATTTACTTCCCAAAAAGGCATAGACATAAAAGATGAGGTTGTTGTTATCTAAAGACATGCCTGGTCAATTGATTCATGAACTAAAAAATGGGGCGTGGCAAAAGCTGTAAATTATATATTTAAACATTTGTAGCCAATCAGGAGTTCTTTCGGCCTAAGAAACCAAAAAGAAGCCAAATGTTTTGCAAAAAAAATACATTTTTGGTCAACTGGAAATTAGGTTTATTAGAATAAAGCTAGATGCGGATTAAATATATGTTTAAATTCAGTTTTGGCTTCACAAATTACAATCCTTCATTTTCCGTCACTGCACTGTAATAAACGATAAAATATAAGGTAATAATTGCTTGAATGGAGTTTTTATCTTAATTTGAGTATGTTCTGACTGTGTTAAAACAAGATTTGCCAATGGGACAAAGCCATATAGTCTTATTTCAAGAACTGTGGCTTTATTTTCCCATTCCAAAAGAGACATTTCTTGCATTTTTCAAAAACAAGATCATTTTGCTTTGTCCCTTTGGCAAATCTTGTTTTAAAGCAGTCAAAACTTGCTCAAATTCATACATTCAGCCAAATTTGAGCAATTTCTGACTTATTTTTCATCGCTTTTTCCAGTGTGCGCCTCCTTTTGAAGTACAACCACCTTTAAAGTCCGCCCTTTTGAAGCAGACATAACAAGGCGAGTGTTTATTTTCACAGCCTGACCTTGGGGAGAAAAATCTTACCATTTTTGGCCACCTCTGCGATGATGTTGGCTACTTTGGGGGTGCAGGAAGACTGGGGGGTGAGCAGGGAGGGGAGCCGGGCCAACACTCCCATCTCCTGGATCTTCATGCTGGCTTCGGTGTCTGCGAATGCAAAGTTTAGTTTAGGTTAGAGCAAATACAAACAGCTGCAGATCACCAGATGCCGCCCCTCTTGCTCTAAAGACATTAATAGTAGAGGTGAGAAGCGCCGTCAGCAGAAATAGTGCGACCCACATGCATTACTCGGCTGTCTGGCCTCGTGCCTTTAATCAGTCACGCATGGGCGACTGTATAGACAGAATATAGACTCACGAGACAGTGCTGACAATCAATTACTAGCCTAGTCTCAGATTAGCTGTGACATGGGGAGGCCAGTCACGGATTCAGACTTGATTCTATGATTGTATTGATTTTATGGTGAGTGTTAACATGACATAATTATCTGTGTTATGTAAATGTGAGGTGTTTGGTTCTAATATACAGGTATGAGGGTGTGTGTGCGTGTGCATGTGCGCATGTGTATATGTGTGTGTGTGTGTGTTTATGTGTATGTATATTTGTGTCTGTGTATGAACGTGTGTGTGTGAATGTGAATGTTAATGTGTCTGTGTATGTATATGTGTGTGTGTATGTGTGCGTGTGTGTTTATGTGTATGTATACATGTGTCTGTGAATGTTAATGTGTGTGTGTTTATGTATGTGACTGTGTGTGTATAGGTGTATGTACAGTGCCTTGCAAAAGTATTCGGCCCCCTTGAACCTTTCAACATTTTGCCATATTTCAGGCTTCAAACATAAAGATATAAAATTTTAATTTTTCGTCATGAATCAACAACCAGTGGGACACAATTGTGAAGTGGAATGAAATTTGTTGGATAATTTAAACTTTTTTTAACAAATAAAAAACTGAAAAGTGGGGCGTGCAATATTATTCGGCCCCTTTACTTTCAGTGCAGCAAACTCAGTCCAGAAGTTCAGTGAGGATCTTTGAATGATCCAATGTTGTCCTAAATGACTGATGATGATAAATAGAATGCACCTGTGTGTAATCAAGTCTCCGTATAAATGCACCTGCTCTTTGATAGTCTCAGGGTTCTGTTTAAAGCGCAGAGAGAACCATGAAGACAAATGAACACACCAGGCAGGTCCGAGATACTGTTGTGGAGAAGTTTAAAGCCGGATTTGGATACAAAAAGATTTCCCAAGCTTTAAACATCTCAAGGAGCACTGTGCATGCAATTATATTGAAATGGAAGGAGTATCAGACCACTGCAAATCTACCAAGACCCGGCCGTCCCTCCAAACTTTCATCTCAAACAAGGAGAAGACTGATCAGAGAGGCAGCCAAGAGGCCCATGATCACTCTGGATGAACTGCAGATTACTACAGCTGAGGTGGGGATGGTGTGTTCAGGGTGATGAGCTGTGTTGCTTTTACGCCAAACATATCGTTTTGCATTGTGGCCAAAAAGTTCGATTTTGGTTTCATCTGACCAGAGCACCTTCTTCCACATGTTTGGTGTGTCTCCCAGGTGGCTTGTGGCAAACTTTAAACGAGACTTTTTATGGATATCTTTTAGAAATGGCCACTCTTCCATAAAGGCCAGATTTGTGCAGTGCACGACTGATTGTTGTCCTATGGACAGACTCTCCCACCTCAGCTGTAGTTATCTGCAGTTCATCCAGAGTGATCATGGGCCTCTTGGCTGCATCTCTGATCAGTCTTCGCCTTGTTTGAGATGAAAGTTTGGAGGGACGGCCGGGTCTTGGTAGATTTGCAGTGGTCTGATACTCCTTTCATTTCAATATAATTGCTTGCACAGTGCTCCTTGAGATGTTTAAAGCTTGGGAAATCTTTTTGTATCCAAATCCGGCTTTAAACTTCTCCACAACAGTATCTCGGACCTGCCTGGTGTGTTCCTTTGTCTTCATGGTTCTCTCTGCGCTTTAAACAGAACCCTGAGACTATCAAAGAGCAGGTGCATTTATACGGAGACTTGATTACACACAGGTGCATTCTATTTATCATCATCAGTCATTTAGGACAACATTGGATCATTCAAAGATCCTCACTGAACTTCTGGACTGAGTTTGCTGCACTGAAAGTAAAGGGGCCGAATAATATTGCACGCCCCACTTTTCAGTTTTTTATTTGTTAAAAAAGTTTAAATTATCCAATAAATTTCGTTCCACTTCACGATTGTGTCCCACTTGTTGTTGATTCATGACAAAAAATTTAAATTTTATATCTTTATGTTTGAAGACTGAAATGTGGCAAAATGTTGAAAGGTTCAAGGGGGCCGAATACTTTCGCAAGGCACTGTATATACGAGTATGTGTGTGTGTTTGCGTGTGTGTACGTGTGCATGTGTATATATAGGTCTGTGTGCGTGTGTGTTTATGTGCATGTATATTTGCGTCTGTGTATAAGTACATATGTGTTTATGTGTACTGTATGTATGTGTGTGAATATGAATGTGTTTATCTGTGTGTGTGCGTGTGTGTTTATGCATGTGTATGTAAAAATGTGTCTGTGTGTGTGTAGGCTTTATACTATGATACATTCCTATTGTTGTAATTTGACTTTAATTTCATGTTGTATTTTCTTCATGTTACTGGAGACCACAGAAGTCCATGACCTTAATGTAGACGTGCACTGTCTCTTTAAAATATGAACTACACTAAGTAACTTCCTGTTTATCTCCCAGATTTTTCACTTCTCAAATTACAGTACTTTTTTATGTGGTTGGCATTGCAGCAAGAAAGTCCTTATATATCACCAATATAGAAACTGTATCAAATTAAAAAATTAAGGCAACCTCTTGGCACTGAGTCGGCAGTGGATGACACTTTGGTTATCAATGCTTCTAATCTTATTTAGCATCTTCTTCTAAAACGCCAATTTACTTCATATTCAATTTAGTCCAATAACTGTCACTGCGCTTCCGGGAATAACATAATGAATTGGCGTTTGTTTTACGAGCATCCGATTCTATTAAGAAATTAGTATCTGTTATAGACCTTTATTTAAACCGGGAAATTCTCAGAGATTTCAGAATGTCTTTTATGCGGAGGAGTCCTGGCCCCAGAGAGAGGGGAGGTATTGTGCATGTTTTTAGTGGTAGGGGAAATTAGAGCACCCAGAGGAAATCTACACAAGGAGAACATGCAAACCCTAGTCAGAAAGGCCCTGTCTGGACTGGAGGTGGAATCAGAACCAGGACCTTCTTGCTGAGAAGTGAGGATGCAAACCACTCAGCTACCATGCTAGAACCATGCTAGATTGATGGATAGATAGATTGATTGATAACTAGATTGATAGATACTTTATGGTTCCCCCACAGCAGAAACCCATCCATACACACATACAGAATACAAAATACATATATTAGCTATATGTACATTCAGAAATACTTCTTCTAACATGTACAGATGTATACACCCAATTATATATTACTTGCACTAGAATATATAGCAATTTATACTGGCTTCTTTTTTATGCATTTAAATTTTTGTCCTTGTTATGCTAACGATATAGATGTTTTTTACTGCTTCTTTTTATGCTAGAGTAAGAGACTGTATTTTACTTTAGTATAGAGTTGTAATTCATTTGTCTTGTGCTGCGTGCTTCTCATTCCTACAGTCTGTAACTTGTAATGCAACACTGAAATTTACCCACTGTGGGACTAATAAAGGACCTCTTAATCTCAATCTTTTCGTCACTCACAACATCATGTTTTCTCATTTCACTTGAGATAAAAGACAATTCACCACACCCTTTCCTTTTTGACAATGTCTAAACCAATACCACCAGATTTATCTCATCTCCCGTTTGATCTAGAAAAGTCTAATTTTGTTTTTTTTATTTTCTAATTTCTCTGTGATATCGGGCTGAATGGTGATTGTGCGTCTGTGCAGATGACTCACTGTTATTGGCCAGAGCTTTGAGCAGACAGTCCACGCAGCCTTCCACGTTGTCTGTGGAGCTGTCCGCAGAGGCCAGCTTCAGCTTCTCCAGGGCCTCACTCAGATTGTCTGCGGAGAGAAAGAGAAAGAATTGTGTGAGGCTCTTGAAGCTGTGTGTGTCTGTGTGTGTGTAGTGTTTAAATATGTGTGTGCGTCTGTCAATTCAATTTATTCTTGTATAGCCCTAAAGAAAAAAAAAACTAATTTTTACACAACCGGTGAATTTGCCAACACAGATCAGAGAATAAAACAGATCAAACACAAGAAGTGCAAAGTATGTGTGTGTGTATGAGGTGTGTGTGCGTGCATGTATTGGTGTGCTTGTGTAGTATTTGTACAGGTGTATGTGTATGTGTGTGCGAGTGTATGTGTTTGTATGTGAGTGTGTCCACTAGGCAAGTGACAGACTGAAGGAAAGAGGATGTGTCCTTTTTTACTAAAACGTGTTTCACCATTGACAGAATTCAACACTAAACTAGTCACTGATTTGACCAAGTATAAAGAGAAGGAACAAATTCACATCAAAAAGGAAAACCAGATTTTTCCAAATGTTAAACAAAATCTTAATCTATTTGACAACTCCATCTCCACCACAGGGTCTCTCTCTCTGCAATGTACCATTTATATTCTTGAATAACTATGACAAAATAATGTATGTACTGATGCAGCAATCCACAATATGGACACTATAACACCAAACTAAAGCTAGGGTACCAAATTGTATTTTCCCATAGATAGTACATGATTGCCCAAACAGATGGGCACAGAAAAAGTAAGCATACTGTACTTGTAAGAGCCATGTGAGTCACTATTTGAACTAGCAAGATGTATTTATTATATTTCATTCATTTCCTTTCTCATTTTTATTTTCATTTAGTACATGACAAGGTACAAAAAAATAACCAAATTATGTTTTATTTTGTTTATTCGGTTGGGACAGTGCATGTTAAGGAACACACCTCTCCGGATTGTAGCTATGGCCTAATTTGCATCCGTTTTCGCACAATCACACACTCATTCACCCTGGACTATTGTACTGTACATGTTTTTAGTAGTAAGGGAAACCGGAGCACCCGGAAGAAAACCTACGCAGACACGGGGGGAACATGCAAACTCCACACAGAAAGGCCCTGTTCCGACCGGGATTCAAACCCAGGACCTTCTTGCCGAGAAGCGAGAGGGCTAACTACTCAGCCATCGTATCACAAGTTTACATAAATACATATACATATAGTACCTGTAAATTATTTTTGGCGGTTTTAGAAGTTAGGTACCCAAGCTTTAAAGTAGCAATTTGGATGATTTTCATGTCAAGTCATCATCAAAGAGCTCTTGTCTATTCAGTTATTATGTTCCCAGCTGGATTCGTCTGCATATCTGGCAACCTGAGTCAGGAATAGTGTTAAAGATTGCAGTACCACTTTTGGCCAGATTTTTTTACATACTGCTCCTTTAAAGATACGGATATATTGACGATTTCCTATTCTTGCATGGACATAATCATAACTGAGATTCGATTAAAAAAAGTAATCATGGAAATACACAGAACTTCTCAACAATTACTACTGCAGTCTTCAAGAGAATCTTCTATATATTTCTGTGTTATTTAGTAATATTTACAATAAAAAATATATATGCCTGACATTCTGTGCTTGTTTATACTGTACTCTATAGTTGGAATGCCTCGTGGCCGTGTTTAGTATTTGTCTAAGCGTTATACAGCAGTTTTTTTGCATGGATATTAAATCGGTCTTCAGCTGTCTCTTAACGCCTTTGAGACTTACACACCATTGTCACGGCAACAAAGGAGAAGAGACTCGACCCGGAGCAGGAACAAGGACAAGTAGGCGAACAAACTGAAATATTCTGAATTTTAAAGAGGACGTTTTACATGTGACGGCGACGCAGCCTGCATTCGAATCTCATCGTCTCATTTCTGACGTGGTTCAGCTAAAAGTGTAGTGCAGTTTATGAAAGCTGGTGTTGGCTCCAGAGAAGAGATTTTTTTTTTTTTTTTTATGGACTTTGAATGAGTAGGTTTTTTTCCATTAGCTGCTTCCTCTATTTAAGCACGTCAAATCACCACCACATGTTCAATAAAGCAGGAGAAAAATGCAACAGATTCAGGTCTTTTTCCATCGTTACCGGAGGATCCATGGAAAAATTTCCAGTTAGTAAGGTTGTATAAAAGTAACAAAAATCGGATTTTAATTTATGACTAGTTGTTTGAAAAATATTCTAAAAAAGTCACATAAACAGGAAAATACGAGAGATTTTCTGAGCAGTTTTTGAATGATTTTGATCCCAGAAATTGAAATGAAAAAATATTGTGGTGTCATTTAAATTACTACAGTGTTGTATCATGATTTATGTTGATAATTGCAGCTTACGCCTGCCAAACTTGATGTGCTAACTCATGCGATTAATCCAAAAAATGTTCGCACTAATCGTGGCTTACTCTCATGTTCTCAAATACAGCTATAATTCCAATTTCTCAGAGTCTGAGATAGTTCATATGGCACTATCATGTCACAGATGTAGTTTGGTGCGAGAGCCGCTTTAAAGTCTATTCTCAGAGCCTCAGGAGCCAGTGCAGAGACTTGAGAACTGGACTAATGTTTGGTGCACAAGTTTAAAATTATGATATGCTCTACTCTGTATGGTGTATGTGGCGTTTCAGTTGAAGATAACCATATTATATTCTTACTACAGCAAAAACAGTTTATAGCCCTATGACTCTAGAACAGGGGTCTCCAACCTGAAGATTGGGAGCTAACGGTAGCTCGCCAGCCCCTTTCAGGTAGCTCCCGAAAGTATTTAAGAGTTTAACACGTGATCCTGAATGATTATATTTTGAGTCATAATGTCATTAAATGTATATTTTAAGTTTAAATGTAGGGTTACAAATATACCATAATAATATAGTATTATGGTATTTGTGTTCTCCATGTTTTTTAGTTATTATCCATTTCAGTGTTCCCAACCTTTTTGATCCATGCCAACTTTTTCATTGCAAAAACCGAATTTGATACAAAATACTCCACATCCTTTATTAACAAAGCAAAGTCATTCTCATCACTGTGTATTGTATAGCAAATCAAACAACCACATAAAATGTTCAATCATCTGACATTATTTTCTTTTCACGTGATTTTGACCAAGCATGATGAGGTGATATTAGATCATTTCCAAGGCACACAATAAACATCTTAAGGCACACAAACATGCCATGGCACACTGGTTGAAAAACACTTCTCTAGACGTTTAATAAGAGTACAAAAACAACTAGCTCACTGCCTCTTCTGTGGTATAAAAGTAGCTTTCCGATTGGTTGGAGACCCCCGCTCTAGAACAACACTAGCACCACAGCACTAGCACTACATTCTCTATACTATATTCACAACTTTGCATCCTTCTTAGAGCGAGTCACACGACGCCGCTCCTGATGCCGAGGCAGACAAACCAGCGCGTGTTAAATCCAGCACACCTTTTATTAGAGCCAGAGATGCTTATTCCCCACAAGCCACAACAGTCCCTCATTCACACTTTCATTTAAAACAGAGAGAACTGACATGTATTGAAGGGAAGACTTGTTGCCTTAAGGGTCTTAAATGAGACGACGGTGAGATGTCGACAAGTTGGAGAATTATTGGACGTGTTTTAGTCGCTAACTCCTAACTCTGTCGGTAAATCCTGACAGGGAATTTGGTTACTTCATTAACAGCTTCCTCCAACTGTCACAGAACATGCAACTTAATTTGTATGATCCTAGTTTATGGTATACTCTAGTAAAACTAAAACATATAGTAGAGATGTGTAATAAAGAAGTAATATCTATTGTCAGGTTCAATTCAATGTATTTGTCTATAGCCCTAAGCCAACAGTAGGACTTTACAAAGCTATCGATTCACTAATACAGATAATAATAAACACATAAGAGCCATTAGTCCATAGGGAGTGGGATGACCAATGTCCATAAATGCCCTAGATCAATCAACAGCGAATGGGGAATTTTGCCTAGATTTCACATATGAAATAATTATGCGTCAAGACTGTAATCAACCGAACAAATCCTCGGTAAGGCATGCCCAGTCGATTGATCAGCGGACTTACAAAAAGGGGTTGTGGCAAAAGCAGTGGAAATGAGAAGATTTTTGGCCTAAAAGCACACAGAAATAGCTACTCATAAAGAAAAGTGAACCTTGTGAATTGAGCCTTTGATCTGGCTTGAATATCAAAGTAAATCTACAGCAAAAGCTACAGAGTGACTTAGCAGTATTCCCATATTAATGCTTGTGATTTCATAAAAACAAAACAAAAAACATTTAGCTCCAATAAGACGCCACCAACTGATTAATTGACTAAAGAGCTACCACGGTGCCACGAATAAGGTTAACATTAGGGATGGGAATACAGATAGCCCGGTCTTTCCATCCATGACCATTTGCTGTCATATTATCATGGTGTTTTTGATCACAGCGCTTCTGTACTGTAAATTTCATACTGCCCCATCCCTATCATCAACTATGACGATGATAGAGACTCCTATAGCCAGTTACGAGCAAACCCCATGTCCTTATAGTTCATTGACAATCCAGTATTCATACATCAACCCACGAAGAGTCAATCTATTTTAAAGCAGATGCAATATAAATACTAGTGAGTAGCATTGTTGTGGTTTTTAAGAAAGCTATCCTTGCTTCTTGCTTTCTATTTCTCAAGTGTGCAGTGCTGCAGAGGGGATATCACAGCTGCATAAATAATAACAGGGTTGTGTCTCACATCACATCAGAACCAAACCTAAGCTGAGGATGTGTTCTCCCCCAGCAGCAACAGCAGCAGCAGCAGTAGCTAGTCAGTGGGCTGATGGCTCCTATTGCATAACAGCTGTGAAGATAGAGGAGTGCCACAGACCATCACCACTGCCATGTCAGGCGATCTCGTCACGCTCATCCTTGGGGGAATCTGTCACCAAATTCCTGCTATACAAGCCCAGCACCAGCCTCTTCACTGGGGGTTAGGGGATGGAGAGAGGCAGGCGATACTACAACTACTACTACTACTACTACTACTACTACTACTACCCCACCCCGAGTGCAGCCAGCAAGCAAGGCGTGTTCGGTATACCGTCCTTTTACGAGTATCTCCAGTATGCAATCAGTCCAGCAGAATGAATGACCTCGCCTTTAAACATGTGCTAGTGTTATGTGTAAATACTATAGGCAAGATCGCAGCAGGAACTAGCCTCCAGTGCAGTAGTTAGCTGGTAGTAGTCCGAGCTCCGCGACCGTATACTCACCCATCTCTACAGCAGGAAGCAAGCCGACGTGAGGCGCTCTCTCTCCGGGTGCAGTGAAGGCGGATGCGTCCCCTGACCAAAAAGCCGCAGTGTGAGGGCCGTAGCTGGGGGTGGAGGTTAGTGGCTAGCTCGCCCCGGTTCTGGAAGGCTGGTGGTGACTACAGAGACCGGCTCATGTCCACTCAGCGACACCAGGGCTGGACCTATGCCTGTCACAGAGAGAGAGAGAGCGGAGCCGACTGTGCTCTGTCTCCCGCTACGACACCGGGCTGGCTTCCGGTCCCATCCTGGCTTCAAAATAAAACAGCGAGATCAGTGGTTCCCGACCTTTTTTAGTCCAATGTGTTGTGTATGTGATGATAATTAGCATGTGTGCTAATAATACCGCTGTAATAACACACTAACGGAATATAAAGACCCACCTCACATTTTTATTTTCATTATAATTTGTTTTTCTTTTCTGTTATTCGTCCCACAGTGGGGAAATGTCAGTGTTGCATCACCGGTTACAAAACTGTAGGAATGAGGAGCACACAGCACAAGATAAATGAACAATAACTCAATACTAAAATAAAATAAAATCTCTAAAATTAGCAAAAAAAGGAAGAAAGTGTAAAATCTCTAGCTTTAATGATTGTGAGAAGCAGAGAGGATAAACATTTGACCTTCCCTGACTTTCAGCTCTGCGGTCAGCCTTTTACCGTTTCCAGAGACATTAAAAGGCAGTGCTGTAAGCTTTACGCCCAGGCGAACACGCTGATGAGGAGGTTCAGCATGTGTTCATATCCTGTTAAATGTGCTCTGTTTGGAGTGTACTGCACTCCGCTGTACACAGCTCCTCTGTGGACCAAGTACAGTCGCAGGTCAAAGTTGCATACAACGATGCCTTCAGGCTGCTGCTCCGGGTGCCCAGGTGGCACAGTGCCAGTGAGCTGTTTGTGAACGCTCACATTCACTCCTGTGAGGCTCTGATACGGCATCTAACCTTTCGGTTCAAGGAACGTCTGGAGGGGTGGGGTCTGAGAACAGCATCATTCAGACTCTGACCAACGGTAAAATAAGCTCATGTTGCCATACGTCTGCTCTGAGAAAGCACTTGACAGATACACTTTACAATATATAGATCTGCTGGGACTGATTCTATACATTTGAATGCATTGTCCTTTTATTTTTAATTTTGTATGGACCATTTTTATCTTGAGTCTGAAATAAAGATTAATAATAATTTAGCATAAAAAAGAAAGAAGTAAAACATCTCTAGCTTTAGCATAAAAAAGAAGAAAGTATAAAATCTCTAGCTTTAGCGTAATGAAGAAGCAAAAAAAAAGTAAAAAAACTCTGGCTAATGTGAACTATTATTATATTCATATTCTTCATTCTGGTCATATTCTCTGCTGATAAAGTACAATATAAATCTGTAAATACCTCAAAGTGCTGATACAGAATATACTCCATATACACCACACTTATCCTTGAACCAAGCGCTATCATACCTTCAATGTTTCATTTTATTGTTTTATTTTGTTATATAAAATAATAAATCTTGTTTGATATGTGCAAAATCTTCTATTTTCCTCTTTTATTCTGCTGTAATTATGCGCATCGATTAATTTCTCCACTGTGGGACGAATAAAGGTTGAGCTTAATTTGCATTTTTTAGACAAGCGATACTAAAGTGACCCATGCAGGCAGCTAGAGGCAACTTGAGGATCTTGGGAGGTTGTAGTTGAAAAGGTGAGGTTTCTCTTGTGTTACAGGTAACAAAGACATTGCATTCATTTTTATTATATGACATTACCAACATTATCATGCTTTTTGGTCCTTGTTATGTCATGCTTGTGCCATGTAGTTATAATGTTGATGCTAATGCTGTCTATAAATTATTTAATTTTATTGTAAAGATTTGAAATGTATGTGTTTTTAACCTGCCTTGCATTCCACCGTTTAAAATCCTGCATGCAGTTCTCTAATAGGGCCAAGAGGGGGCAGCATTTCATTAATAAAGTCACAGGACATAAGGGAGCGCTGGACCATGTTCAAACTATAGTCAATGGACAATGCTCATGCTAAAGTTCATTCAAACCCTCTAGGGAAGTGCTAATGGACGAAGTTTTGCTCCTACTTGCCCTGGCTCCTATTGGACTTACATCGAGAAGTAAACTCCTCTTCGGTTCGTAATGCATGTTTTGTATTAAAATAATAAAACACAAACTATAAGGACACAGATAAGGGGATTAAGGGAGGACAAAAGGGTTCCATTTAAGCACATTTTGTTCATCATTTGGCTTATTTTTTACTTTGCACTCGTTATACAAAAACAGTTGTAGCACAGAATTCAACCACTTATTCTTTGACTATACAACAGGATAACAGCGGTAAAGAGACAGCGTAAGAAGACAGCGTAAAAAGAGACAGCGTAAGAAGACAGCGTAAAAAGAGACAGCGTAAAAAGACAGCTTCAAAAAAACCAGCGGTAAAAGACAACAGTAAACAGTAAACCTCGAAATTTCCCCACTGTGGGACGAATAAAGGAATTCTTATCTCAAAGACAGCGTAAAAAGACAGCGGTGGTTGTGCTGTGCACGTGCCTCACTCGGGCTGTTCCACTGCAGGTTGGACACGTTCTCAGCAGTTCTCATTGGGGAGGGAATGACTTCAGAGGACCACCGGGGACCACATGTGGGAAAGTGGACTTTTAAAAAGGACTTTTAACTGCTTTTATTTTTGTGATGTGTTTTGTGTGTATGTATGTATGTATGTATGTATGTATGTACTTTATTTGAACAGGGACAGTGTACAGTTAAGCATTAACACAAAAGGAGAGATGCATGTACCAGGTTATAGCAGAGATGCTAATTTCCACCTGTAGTCCCTGTGTTCTCAGCACAGAGAGAGGAAGAGAGACAGAGCAGTCCAGAGGAGGAGGACACGGGACCGGGCCAAGGACGAGCACCGCCAGCCAGAGACCACGGGGCACTGAGGCCAGCGGGGAGAGCGGCACCGGTGAGGCGCGCATTGATAGCGCATTGGCGCGTGCGCGCCCGGGCTAGGCCCACAGAGAGATCGGGATGTGCCGGCTCTCCCCCACGGGTGCCCGGTGGCGACCCGTGGTTGGCGAGCGGCTGGCGGGACTGCGGCCCGGTCCCGGGACTGAGAAGAGCGGAGGCCAGTGGGGAGGAAGGAGTGGATTGCGGGGTTTTTTATCATCTTTTATCGATCCTTTTTGTACATATTTTATTAAATTGTATCCCCTTTTTATCCCCTTCTGCTTTTTTATTGATCACACCTCTTCAACAGACACTTTTAAACCTGTGACACACACACACCCGGTCTACACTGAAGCGCCACCCAGCTGCGCGTTGAAAGCGCCTCCAGAGCCATCAGCGCCACTACCTGCTACACGACGTATAGACACCCAAACACTCACTCCCGTATTCGTCCCAGAAACCGGATTTGTCCGGAAGTTCAGTTTGCGCATGTCAAAGTGTAATAAGTCCTTAAGTGGTGAATGGTTAAGTTTAGGTGTCTAAGTAAGATGGTTAAGTTTAGGGTTAAGGCTGGGTTGGGGTTATTTTATGGGAATGGCTCGTTAGGTTTAGGCATGAATAGGTAGTTTTTTATATTTACTTCCGCTTCCGTCCAGATTCCGTGATTCCGTAATCTACTGCTGCGTATGCTCATTCGATCAAACTGAACTTCCGGACGAATCCGGTTAACAGGACGAATATAGGAGTGACAACGCAGACAAGCCGAGCGACCAGCACCCGAAAGTACGGCAAGCGGGACAACGTCAATAATCTGCAGGGTTTTATAATCTGGCGTCTGGCGCCCCCAGCTGGTGGGCGGATAAACTGTCCACACTACTACACTACCTTGTGTTGGAGCTATTTGTCCATTCGTCCACGAGCCCTCCTCGTCGGGATCCCTGACAAAAGCCTTCAAAAGCTTCAGCATATTCAAAACAGAGCTGCCAGGGTCCTGACGAGGACACGCAAGTTCGACCACATCACCCCCGTCCTCCGCAAACTCCACTGGCTCCCCATATACACCTCCATCTTGAGTATAAGATCTTCTTTTTATACCTGAAAGCAGAGGACCCTCCCAGAGCGCCCTCTGCTGTATTTGCTCCACCATTCCGGCCCCTAATTGTTATGGCCAGACATTGCAATTACATAGAAAAGGAGCAAAATACAACAACTTGTACCTTATTATGCAAAAATACACTAGTCAACATTCACAACTTTGTCACTGGCCTCCTGAGAACATTTGTTTTTGTCTATTTCTACGGATCTAACGACTCCGCATTTGTCTGGAAATACAGTTTTCCTTTGTACCGTTTACAAAAAAAAACACAAGCTAATACAACATTCCTTGTTAATGCATTTGCATGAGTGATCCAATACATCTCTTAATTTTGCAAGAACTTGATTTCTTCCACTGTGTCGGGTGCATTTGTGAATATCTTTGATGATTAAGGTTGATACATGTTGATCCTTGGACAAATTCATCGGGCATCGCTGAATTTGAAAGCTGACCACCAACTTTAAGTAATCCGTCATGAAGAAAAAGACTGAGTTTATAGATGTGACTGTTCCCTCTTTGGCAACAGTCACATTTCTTTGGCTTAACAGAGAGTTAATTTAATTGGAAAACCTATGTTTTTGACAAAACTTCACTATAGCGTTTTCAGATTGACACAAATCTTCAGTTGACAGGCGAGAGGGTTTGACTTTGTCTTTAATCTTTTGGAGTTCTTTATCAATGTGTGACGGAGTATAGCTCATTGATAGAGCTTTTCGTACTTTGCAAAGTTCAAATAGTGTCCTTTTGTTTTTCAAAATCCAAGCAACTGCAATTTTTTGCCTTTTCCAATCGGAGTAATAATGGACAAATGTGTTGGTTGGATTATGTTCAGTTTGTGTTAAACAAGTAATCTCAGTTTTGATTTCTGGATCCTCCATGTTATCCTCCTTTTCAATTATTTTCAATCCAAGTGGCGCAACACGCCACTCCACAACGCCCCGCACTACGCCGCACCACACCGTACCACGCAGCACCGCGCAAAGGAGGTGGGGCCGCCGTGTGATGATTTGTTGCTTTAGAAATAGAAGAATGTTAGTCAAATTGTAATGAATGTCATGATTAGAGCTGTTTGGCACCCCATGAAAACTTTGACTCAGTCTGTAGGGGGCGCTAATTGGCCAATTTCAAATATTTCACTTTCACCTGACCTAAACCCTGGAGTTGAACATTGGATTCAAGTTTTGTGCAAATCAGACTTTGTGCATATGGGAGCAAAATTAAAGCTGCACTAACTGACTTTGGGATTTTGAAGCCGCGGACTCTCTGGCCTCTCTCTTTCTGCTCCCCTCCCCGCACCCACAAAGCTATCGCCCCCCACACACACCCACTGTTGGGACGGAGCTAGCCTCTCCCAATATGGATAATACATGGATATGGATTTGCACGTGGATGGCGTGACCATAAAACGATAGAACCGGGAAGCGCGGAGGAACGAGACTTTCTTTTGGATGGCTGTTTCGCTGTGTAAGCAGTACCCGGTGACGAAGACGAGAAAGTTTCAGGTTAGCTCCGCCGCTTGTTGTGCTAACTCAGCTGTCTGTGCTAACGGACCTGGAGATTTCTCACGAAAGTGGGGGCTAGTGGTGCGCTGTGATTGGTCACAATCTGCGACCCGAAACACATTCTCTTCCTTGTTTCATCAAAACTCGATCTAAAATATAATGTCACGCCAGCACAAATCTGCGCTACTTTTTCTTCAAAAGGACGTATATCCCAATGCACTGCATGGACATGGATAGCATTTTCGTAATGAATACAAAAATAAAGTCAGTTAGTGCAGCTTTAATGTTGTCAAAAACGGCCAATAAACACTCACATTTTGGTCATTTTGAAGGTACATGTGTTGAGATGATCTGGAGCGATTTTGAGGCAGGAGGAGAACATTTCCAACCGACATGTATGAAAATTATTGCGGCTCATTTTTCCATTTTGCAGTGAAATTTATGGGCCTCCTGTTTGTCAGAGGGCGGAGCCATGATAACATTTCGGTCGTATCTTGACTTGAGGAACATGTGTACCGAATTTCATGGCTCTACGACAAACTTGACCTCTGAAACTCCCATTGGCTGTTGTAGGTGGCGCTGTTCTGGCATTTTTTGAGTCCCATAAAAATAAACACCAAAATATCACATTTTTCACCAGGTCTAATGTTTGGGCAAAATTTTACAACTTTGTTCAGGGGGTGAAATTAAGCTCAAAGTGCAGAATTTGACATCTCTCGAGCAAAAACAATGACTGAACTCAAATCCTTAAAAGTAACACATGTAGCACGGTGAAAAATCTGTGTCCTCAGCACCACACCTGCACCGTGATTGTGGCTTCTTTTCATACCTGAAAGCGGAGGACCCTTCCAGAGCGTCCTCTGCTGTGTTTGCTCCACCTGTGTGTGTGTGCATAATTCGTCCCAAAAGCACTTTTAAAAAATACATTTTAAAACATCAAAAAAAGATCCCTGCTTTTGGGACCAAACATGCACACTTTGAGCCCAATTTTCTCGGAATTTCTATTGTAAAAGTGAATGTTATTCTGCACAGGGGTAGAGGGCATCACAGTGAACAAGTGTGCAGTGAAAGTAGTCGCAAAACTATTTTTGTTATTTGTAAATGATTTTGTTTTAAATTGCATTTCGTTTCCCTATCCACGTTTACCGTAAGTAACAGCATAAAGGAGCCAACCGTTTTCAATGTCCTCTTTACCTCTGTTGGCGAAAAGCGGGGCCACTTTATCGTGGTCTAACTTTTCCAGCACAACATGCTGCAGTTTTACTTTTTACCTTTCCCATTGCCCTTATCAATTGTTTTTTAACTGTGCCAAGTACAAACATTTGCCAGTACACCAACCACCAAATGCAAAGTGATGCAAGTTTTTGCCTACGGTAAGTGGTTTTTAAGGGAAAGATTGGGCAATTAGTCATCAGAGAAAAAGTCTGTTACTTCTTTTTCATTTATGGGAAATAATTCTAATGTTTCAAGAGGAACATTTATAGAACATCATGAGGCAGAACACAGTGGCTTGCACAACAATGGCAAAAAAGTGATAAAAACATTTTAATAATCCATGGACGTGCTAGCCTTAATGCAGAAGATGCCAAAAATAAGCTAGCATGGAGCCAATTTCCTTATATGGGCATTTCTTCCGAGACAGCTTTGCGCTGTAAGATTTTAGATTCCTTATTTATTATGTTAAAGTTAGAGATTTTATACTTACCTATTTATTATGCTAAATGGAGAGATTTTATTTTAATTTTTATTATTTAGTATTAAGATATTGTTCATTTATCTTGTGATACAACACTGAAATTTCTCCGCTGTGGGACGAATAAAGGATCTATCTTAATCGCTTAACAGGGGTAGACGTGCTGCTAAGACGTTTGCTATGGCAAGCTGGAGTTTTCCCCTGGAATGAAGGTATCTGATTGGTCAATCCTTAAATGGCTCATATCTGGATTTACAAAGACAATATCTCAATGTAAACACCGGGATCATAGAAAGCCAATTCTTTTAATGCAAACGGTTACTGAGCTTGAGAAATTTAGTTTTTATTGTAAGTCAATCGGAGTCCGAGTGAACAAAACTTCATCCATGAGCACTTCCCAATTGGGTTACATTGTGTTAGCGAGTTTGCGTTGTCCATCTACATACAGTCTGTAAGAAACAAAAAGAGGCTATGATTTCCTATTCCGTTCTTTGTTGTTGTTAACTGTGTTTTTTTACACAGGTGTAGGATGGTGTAGAACTGAACCTCTCCGCTGTGTCTTTGAATAAGATACAAAAAAACATAGTTAGTAAATCATCTTTATTTGTAGCGCATTTCATGAATCTAGATTGTACGGGGGCGGCACAGTGGCTGAGTGGATAGCACTCCCGCTTCTCAGCAAGAAGGTCCTGGGTTCGAATACGGTTGTAACAGGGAGTTTGCATGTTCTACCCGTGCCTGCATAGGTTTCCTCCAGGTACTCCGGTTTCCCCTACCACTAAAAACATGTACACTAGGTAAAATCCTCCAGCTCTGGTCCTGACCAAGCCGAACATAAACATCTGAAGATGGGTTCCTGAGCGCTGTCACTACGACAACCACTGGTCACTACGACAACCACTGGTCACTACAAAGACCGACTGATCAAGCTGTCGACTTCCGAAGCTGGAGAACTTTACCTATGATGCATGTTATTGTATGTTACAGGGAAACCGGAGCGCCCAGAGGAAACCCACCCACACAGAAACAGGGAGAAGTATGCAAACTCTACACAGAAAGAACCAGGCTGACACAGGATTTGAACCTGTGACCGTCTTGCTGTGAGACCTGAGCGCTATCCAGTCAGCCACCTCACAAATATGTAAGTGTTCCTACACCGTGCAGCAGGTAAACTTTATTTATGTAGCACTTTCACAGACTGAGCATGCTCTTTTCAATTGTGGGCATTTTTCCTCTCCAAAATTGAGATGGAAGCTAGGTCGCTGTACAGGAGGCACAGGCCAAATTGTGGTCTTATCAATTCTTATTATTATGTCTAATGTCTAAGTCTCCGCAGAAATATAGCGTTTATTGACACAGGTGAGACACAGATCAGGTTTAACAGGTTTGAGACTATTAAAAAAGGTCTATTTGCACTAAAGATAAGAAAACGTCACACATGCATAATAAAGTCACACATTTATTCAAGTGATAATAGACTTTAAAGCAGCTCTGAGTGTGTGCAAGTCTCTCCATGGACTTACCCCAAAGTACATCTGTGACATGTTAGTGCCATATGATCCCACTCGGACTCTGAGGAGCACAGGGACTGACCTCTTGCTGGGACTCTGAGGAGCACAGGGACTGACCTCCTGCTGGGACTCTGAGGAGCACAGGGACTGACCTCCTGCTGGGACTCTGAGGAGCACAGGGACTGGCCTCCTGCTGGGACTCTGAAGAGCACAGGGACTGGCCTCCTGCTGGGACTCTGAAGAGCACAGGGACTGGCCTCCTGCTGGGACTCTGAAGAGCACAGGGACTGGCCTCCTGCTGGGACTCTGAAGAGCACAGGGACTGCTGGTTCCCAGAGTCATGACTGAACATGGGGAGGCAGAATTTCAGATTTATGCAGCTAAAATCTGCTAAAAACAGTCTTTCTAAAAATGTGAGACAGGCTTCTTCTCTGAAAATGTTCAAATCCAGGTTAAAAACAGTTTAGCTGTGCATACAACTGATTAAATCTTCATTCTTTATAATGTACTGTTATTATTTGTTATTTTAATACCTTGTGTAATTTCAATATTTGCATTTTTTGGGTTTTGTTATGCACTTTGAGCCGCCTTGTGTGGATTAGTTATTATTCCGTTCATTTGGTTCCACTTCAGGTCAGTGTTTCTCATAGAAGGAACATATCACAGACACCTTGCATGGGGGAGGGGTGCCCCAGCCTCCTCTTCCTCCCTCCCTCCTCCCTCCTGCTCCCTCCTCCTCCTCCCTCCCACCTTGCCTCCATGTCTCTGTACACACGTTCCCTGGCTCACTCGGACACCGGCTATCAGCACCTCCTGACGGCCACCTCCTCGCCACAGTCTGCATCTGACAGCAGCCTCTTTTCTCTATCCTGTCGTCATTGTGTCGCCCCCTGCCAGAGGAGAACCATGAACATAATGGAGGACAAAGAGGAGCGAAGGCTGGACTTCAAACACTTGCTTAAGAAGAACTGGCTGCTTATAGCTACAGTTGTGTCAGTGCTGCTTGGTATGTATATGACTGTATGTATGAATGTATGTGTGCGTGTGTGTGTGTGTATGGATAGTGTCTGTTCTGAAAGCTGTGGTTGTCATTGCGGCTATTTTTTTATTTATTTTTTTGCATCGGCTGTGGCGTCTTTGCTGCTAGAGTTGTCATAAATCATTACCTCTTGCGCCTGACTGGGCGGCAAGAATACATTAGACATACACACGCACACACACAGACACACACACAGATTTTCCTATAGCCAGGGCTTTGGGGAGAGATTGTGGAGGTATAACAGAGAGGAGCGTTGTCATAGTCTTCAGGGGCAGAGAGCACGTCTGCACACAGTCTGGATGGGTCTCAGTCAAACGTGACCAGACTGGGGTGATGGGGTGATGGGGTGATGGAGAGACCCCCCCTAGTGTTGATGGACCCAAACTGACGCTCTCACCGCATCCGGAATGTTTCATGTGGAGTTTACTATGTGTAGTGGTTGAATATTTAGATGAAACAGTGTGTGTGTGTGTGTGTGTGTGTGTGTGTGTGTATTATGATGGACTAAGCTGAGGAATTTGTGGAATGAATGCCTTGATTGATGGGGAGAAAATTCCAATGACGGTATTTGGGATATTTTTGTAATTATTATTATAAGATGCTAATAATTTTCTGAGTTGATCTGTTTGGAAATGTTGCTTAATTTCTATATTTTAACCTTTGTTTTGCTACTTCTCAAGACCAGCACTTGAAAGCCAGATCCTGTCAGACCTCTGAAGCTAAGCAGGGTAGGGCCTGGTTAGTATTGAGATGGGAGACTTTGCAGTACTAACAGGTGTCTTAGTGGGGTGGCTGTAAAATGCCAAACTGTTATTGTGTCCTTAGGCTAGACCAGGGTTTCTCAAACTGGGGTACGCGTACCCCTAGTGGTACGCGGGCGCCCTCTAGGGGTACGCCAAAGAATCTGTAAAAAAAAAAAAAAATTCTAAAAAAAAAAAGATCACTCTGAGCACTCTGAGCAGGAGAGACAGAGGTGAAGCAGACATGGAGTAATATAGTCAGGGTCAGGCTACATTTGGAGGCAGTTTGAGCAGTAAATGTGTCTCCAGAGCTGACAGAGACCATGTGGAGGGTCCTAGCAGCAGACCATGTGGAGGGTCAGGACAGCAGACCAGTGGAGCACCTCAAAAAAGCCACAGAAAAGTGGACTATTGCTAAAATTATCACTGAGTCCACACCAGGAGCCAGCAGCAAAGTCCAGATATGGTTACAGCGCACGCTGGACTAAACAGACGCTCTGTAGATGTAACCACACAAAAACACACAAACGCGTGCATAAACGCACATACATGCACGCCCAAACACACAAAGACACACAGCAGTATTCTGTTGCACTTATACTATAAGTATAAGTATTCACTTTGATTTATTGTCATGTATAGTGTTTATCATTGTAATTTTGTTATTCTTTGATTTACTCTTATTGACATAAATATAGTGCCACCTAATGGATGAATACTGGCCATTCTATCTGGCATAGTTTGTCATGGGCTCTACTTTCAATATGTACATTTTGACATTTTTTGGAAGAGTACATTTTGAAATTTTTGAGCAACACTTTGTGGATGTGTGTGTGCCATAAAACTTATTATTTTACATTAAAAAAACTTTCTCAAAACGTGTTGCTGTTTTCTAACATGTAAGATCCTGGACATGTTTGAGGAGATGCTAAAGTTAAACTAAATAGTTTTACAATCACTTTTCTGCAGTTCGTCTGTTTTCACAAAAACCTAATTTTCTAATTTTTTTGTCTAAGACTGGTGCTTACTGGTGCTAGGTACACTCTCCTCTGTTCGACTGGAGATCACAGGAGAACGAAACAAACTAAGAACAAACTTCTTTTTGCCTGCTGAAAGTAGACAGTCCTGTCTTTCAGACTCTGGTTTCATATTTTTCATAGCACACAATATTCTGTGAGTCTTAAAAATCAGTGAAGTCATCAAAAAAATGGCTGGCAGTCAATGAGAACCTCTTTTTCGTGTACAAAAATTACATAAAATTACAGATGATAAAACAGTCACATACAGATGATAAAATAGTCACATACAGATTATACAACAGTAACACACAATTTCATAAAATTACGGATTATAAAAACAGTTACATTTCACTGAAGATGTCTCAATCTGGATCTAAAAGCATTCAAGGAAATAAGATCAGATCATTTCTAGTCTTTTTGCAACACGTTCCATGTAGAAGGAGCAGTTTTTTTTCCCAGTTCTGTGCAAAAGGAACAGAGAGCAACAAACGATCATTTGATCCAAACCATGAGAACATGTCTCTGTGAGTAAACGACAGATGTAAGAGGGCAGCAGAACAAGCCTTAGAAACTAAAGTGCACCAGAGTCCAAACCTTCTGTGGACAAAGATCTCACTCCAGAATATAGCTCACAGTGAGGCTTTGCAGTTCGCAATGAATGAAACATTTAAAACATTTTTTTTTCCTATATTTAAGCGCAGTCTTACTGTTGAAACTGTTTAAAATATTACATTAAATATACTTCTTTAGGAATGAAACCTCTGCCTTGTTATTGATGAATACTTCGGCTTACTACGCTACTGTGTGGTGTTGGTCATTTGTGGTGGTACTTGGAGAGGCAAGTATTTTCTGAGGGGGTACTTGGTGTGAAAAGTTTGAGAACCACTGGGCTAGACATTTAACCCACATTACCTAGCATGAGTCTAGTGTGTGTGTGAATGGTTGGTGGTGGGAGGGGCTTACGGCACATACTGGTTGCCTTTCCTATGTCAGTGTGCCTCAGGGCAGCTGTGGCTACATGAGTAGTTTATCTCCTCTGTGAATTAATAAGGCCATGTGAAGCATCTTTGAGTGTCTATAAAAAGGGATATATAAAACCCATGCATTATTAGCATCGACAGAAGAGAAGGAACCAGTCTGCACCAACAGCCTCTCTCTTCACCAACGATACACACACACACACTCTAGGCAATGTAGGTGAAGTGTCTTGCCTAAGGACACAGTGATTGTTTGCGACTTTACAGCCACCCCACTGTGACACCTGGTGATCCCAGAGGTCTCCCATCACATTACTAACCAGGCCCTGCCGTGCTTGGCTACAGAGGTCTGAGATGATCTGGCTTACACATGCAGGTACTGCCATCTTGTGCCATGAGCTCTGGTCTCATCACGAACAGTTTCTATGCGTTTTTAGCCAATCAGATTTGAATCTCTCTCTAACACACGCACACAGCCTATAACTGGGGTATATTTGCCGATTCTGTAATAATAATGTTTCCCTTGGCATATACTGTACACACCAGGTTTACCATTCTCTTTCTTAACCCCTTTTATTTAATCTTAGAGACTCGTCATTGTCCATCAAAGTGCACCTTCATATTTTTATATCACCGGTGAGGCCTCATCCAAGACATCCATTCCACATCAGCAAATTTATCGCCTACATTTTTACAAGCTTTTTTACGTGGTCTGCTTGGCACGATAACACGTCACTAAAACCAGTTTGGTGGAATACATGTGGTCAGAAAGCCATAAATATGCATCATTTTTCATTTAGCCTGATAGAATTAACTGCAGATTAGAAATAGCTGACTGGATAAACAGCAGCTCTCTCAAATTATTCTGCTGTATAACCTTACCACACCCTTCGTTACATACTGTAGACTATTTTTGCATTTAAAGTTGGACTTTGCAACTTTTTTGTGTTTACAATATGTGTCACCTGTTGTCACCAGTATTTTCTCCTGGGGGTGATATTGAAATATTATGGAGGGACGAGAAGAAGAGAGAAACTTGGAGCTAAAATATCCGGTTTTCTTTGTATTTTTTTTTTTACCTTTTCACATTATGACGGTATTTTTGAGCAAATGATTAGTTTAGTTTGTATGGGTTTTTCTGTTTGGATTGAACCAAAACTCGACTAAACATTAAAGCTGAGATTTACGGATTCATATTTTTGACAAATTATTTCTGGGGAGAGTCTGGAGCCCGCGTAGAAATGTGAACGGGACCATTAGTGGCCCCCAGCCCACAACTTGGCCAGGTCTAATAATAATCTATACAAATACTCCAGATATTGGTTCTTCATGGTATTACTGTCTGTACTTTCTCTTTTGTATAGTGAGGTTTTCCCAGAAAATCATTGACACTTGCATTCAAATATGTGTGTTTGCATGTTCTCCCATTGTCTGCGTAGGTTTCCGCCGGTTTCCCCATCAAAAAGATTAAAAAGGAATGAAAGTAAAGTGAATGGAGGGTGCCAGTGTGTTTGGCGTCTTGCTCCTGTCTTCACCGTGTGTGGAGAGATAAGACATTTTTTGTTCACCAAAAAATTGTAAACCGCGCTGTATGACCTTGGTCAGAGAAATGCACTATATAAACAAAAATTACTTTCTCACTAGACAGATGAGGCTCCTCACCATTGGTCGAACTATTATACTCTTGCAAATACTGGTGATGCTTATGTCAAAGAGAGGGACTGTATTTAATATATTCATTATGAAATATACTTACAGAGGATCATATCTTCAAAAATATGTATAATTTTACAGATGCCGTGTTGGATTTGAACATTCTCTTCTCTGTGTCGTCCGCAGGGATCAGCTTGGGACTTGTTGTCCGAGAGTACGCGCCGCTGTCTCACCTGGAAAAGCAGTATTTTGGATTCCCTGGAGAAATCCTGATGCGGATGCTGAAACTGGTCATTCTCCCTCTCATCATATCCAGCATGATCACAGGTACACCAGAGGAAACTACTTATAATACTTCATTACTTTTTGTGCATTTACAGCTAAACTTGATATTGATATAGAAGCATTTACAGCTAGCTAAGAAACATAGCAGCTATATATATTATACATTGTGTGTGTGCTCTCATACTGTCCTGTATGTGCGTTGCAACATTGACATTTCCCCACTGTGGGACGAATACAAGTTTTCTTATGTTATCTTATTTTAAACCCTGTGCTCTCAGGTGTCGCTGCTCTCGATTCTGAAGTTTCGGGGAAAATTGGTCTGCGGGCGGTTGTTTATTACTTCACAACAACCATCATTGCTGTTATCTTGGGTAAGTTATGCTTTTCTTTTCTTATTGGGAAGGGAAACGTTTCTATTATGTCAGTTACTTAGGTCAGTAAATCATGGGAGAAAGAAACACCGCTTAGACCCGCCCATTCTCACCCCCATTGCTTCCCGATTGGATGGAATACATTTATTTACTATAAAATGTTGAAAAATAAATATATATACTAAACGCATGGATCTATTCCGCTGATGTTATTTTGCTTGTTCCCTTTCTTTCAACACACACTTCTTTAAAAAAATGGTAGCCAAACTATAATTCAATTCCTTTCAATTTCAATTCATTTATTTTTTTGATAGCCCTAAATAAACACAGCAGTGGTCTCGGACGACTTTGCAAAGTTGTTGATTCGCCAACACAGATTAGAGAATCAAACAGTAGTAGAAAGTGAGAAAGCTCGAGGAGGCCCAGATTGAGAGAGGTATCTGCTCCCACAGACTGAGGCTATAGATCCAGGACTCAGACTGTAGAACGAGGACTGAGGAAGAGTGGGCATTAGCAAGTGTGAGAAGACGTCAAAATCATTAGCACTGGATTTTATGTCTTGTGTTGCAGTTTGGTTTTCAGTGCTTAGTGAGGAATATTGTGGTCCATAAACTTTATATCCAATCCACTTTGTTTATAGCACATTTCATATGACAAGTTTCCAAAGTGCTGCACAGAGATAAAAGTAACACAGTTAAAGATGCAGTCAGTGATTTTTTCTAGACACATTTTTTTTTATATATTACGGGGAAAAGTCCCTAAACCTTAAAAGTATCCAAGTTATCATGTGTTTTCAAATAGTAATGAAATTGATAAGATGCCCATAGTCTCCAAAAATTAATATTTTGGAGCGGATCGATAAAAATAAACCAATGGGATTTGTTCATCCCCAACGAACCAATGGGATGCGTTTAACCCCTTCACCCTCTTCCTGTTTCTCTTGAGTGCACCTGAGTTATTGGATTTTCTAAAACCTAAAACGGCTGAACAGAAAAGGCCAATTCCACATTTGCCACACTCTCTTCCTGTTGAGACAAAGAAAAGAAAATGCAGGATGTTTGGTTTGGTGGAGAGGGGAGGGGGGGAGTGGTTTCGAGTTGGTGCTGCGGCTAAGCTAACAAAATTGCTTACTGCACCTTTAATTAAATATACAGCTTTGCTATATATATGTAATAAACAGAATGGGAAAAACATCTTGGTAAAAAATCTATTGCTTTTCTTCCAGGAATCATTTTGGTGATGACCATAAAACCAGGGGTGTCTCAAACTGCGGACCACATCGACAGAGCCGGGACCACCCCTGACGTCACCACAGTGGACACGCTGCTGGACCTCGTCAGGTGCGACACCCAAAAAGCATGCTGGGATATCACTCATTAACAGACCTGTATTTTTATTTATTTTTTTGACTGCAAATGTTTTACTATGTTTTACACAGAAACATGTTCCCTGAGAATCTGGTGCAGGCGTGCTTCCAACAGGTGCCTTTTTCACTTTTCTCTCCTCGTTGATTCTCTCCACTGACATGTTACTGATGTTTTTTTTCTAGTACAAGACCAAGCGTAAAGAGCTGGAAGCTGTAAAACTGGTGACCAACGTAACCACGACAATACCCCCGCTGACCACGACCATCATGGCGGTGGTCCAGGTAGTGACACACCCAACGCCACTAACAAAAAACCACTAACCAAAACCATGACACAACCATGACTCATTATGACCATATTAACAACAACAACAACAATTCTCTCAACAAAACTTCTCTCTTTTTCTTTTTTGTGTCATCTCTCCTTTTGGGGATATTGTGGGAGGGACTGGGGGTAAAATGTGTTATTAAAATCCAATAAAAATATAATAATATTAAAAGAGTCATTCAAGTCATACAGTACATATACTAACTATTTACTTAATGTATTACTTCTAATGTTTCTAAGTGCTTTGTAAATGGGAACTCCCAGGAAGCTGCATTTGCTTATAGACTGTCATGAGATAAAAAACAGAGAAGGGCCCAAAATGCGCGAAAAAACAATGATTTAAGGACGATAAATAAAAGTCCAATGTAAAAACAAATCAAAAATCCCAACGTAACACCAGGAAAACGACAAAGACAATGGACCTGCAACACATGGGGAAGAGCACAGGTACAACAACAAAAACAAGCTCAAATTTGGCTAAATGGGACAAAACAAAATGATATTGTTTAAACATATAATTTGTAACGATAAAATAGTTAATAGTAAATTATTTGTCCCATCGGTAATATTAATTTAAGACATTTCTACTAATCAAAAACAGACTAATAGCGCAGGAGAGTGGGAGAAATGGATTGTTTAAAAAGAAAATAAATTGTGTCTTGTTATGTTGTATGTAACATGAAAAAAGTGTGAATAAACAAACATGAAACAGTAATGTATCAAAAAATATATATAATGAAAGTCAAGAACCCCAGCTTTAACACACACACTTTTTTTCTCTTCCTCTCCAACTATGAGTCAATCAGCCTTTTATTTACTTCCCACTTACTCTTACATTTAAATAGTAGCTCCTCTGGGAACAATGGTGATCTGTGTGGGCTATTATCACAACAACATGCCTCAGATCATCCACGTGCAGCCAGGCCTCACGTTACTGCACCTGGACCCGGCACCTGGACCCGACCCCCCTGGACCCGACCCCCATGGACCCGACCCCCATGGACCCGACCCCCATGGACCCGACCCCTGTGGTGTTCCCTCCGCAGTCATGGACCAGCGGACGGTCGCCCTCAATGGCTCCTTTAGACTTCCGTAATGTGTGGTGAAGGAGATTCCCGAGTCCCTTTTCAATCCCCTCTTTGTTTTGTGTTTTTCACCAGAATATCACCAAAGACTACAAACTGGTGGGATCCTACTCGGACGGCATCAACGTACTGGGTCTGATCGTGTTCTGCGTGGCGTTCGGGTTGGTGATCGGGAAGATGGGTGAGAAGGGGCGGATCCTGCTGGAGTTCTTTGATGCCCTGAACGAAGCCACGATGAAGCTGGTGCATATCATCATGTGGTGAGTGACGGCGGCTTCTTGTGGTTTTAGAGGTGGGATTGCACAAACGTGAAATACACCGGCTTGCAAAAGTAATGTTTGTACTTTTGCACGTTCTGTCCTGTTTACAACCGCAACTAGAAAGTAAGAATGACCACAAGTAAGTAACACACAACTGGGAAGTTGTCTGTCTCTTTTTCTATATATTTTTCTATTTTGTTTACTAAAAAAACTGAAAAGTGAGGTTTAAGGAATAAAGGAATGAGGAGCAGACAACACAAGATATTTTTTATTTTATGTTATTATGTACTAGATCCATAGCTATTAAGATAAATGAACAATAAGTTTATACTAAAATGGAATAACATCTACTTTAGCAAGAATTAAGAATACAATCTCAAACTTTAGCATAATAAAGAAGCAAGAAAAAAATCTCTAGCTTTAGCATAATAACGAAGCAAGTACACCATAAATTAATACTTTGTTTTGCTACATTAGATTTTCCTCCAAACTTGCTCTGTATTTGGCTCCATCCATCTTCCCATTAATGTTTCCAATCTTTCCTGTCCTTGCTGAAGACAAGCAGCCCCACAGCATGATGCTCCCCCCACCATCTTTGCCTCTGGGGGTGGTGCACTGAGGGTGATTTTGGACCTGACCAAAGTGCCTTCTGTATCCACATTGTGATGTACTGTAAACTAGTGATTATCTATTAGTGAAACTAGGTACTTTCTATCTTCCCACTTCGCGGTTTATAGCTAAAGATTAGAAAGTAGAGTTCAAGAACAAGGCTTTTTGACATATTTCTATTTGTTATCGAGATCAAATCAAACTGTTTTTGAGATCACTTTAGAATTAATTCAATTTCCAACTTTGGCTCAACACTATCCAGGGTCCAGAAGGGATTAGAGATATTGTTATGTCAGTTTATCTCTGTGCTCTTTGTATCGATTTGAGGAAGTGGCCAAAAGGTAACTCAACACATTTTAGGAATTTGCCTAATCCTTTACTAATTGCTGCTTGCTTGCTTCTAAGTAACAGGAAGACACAAACTAGGAATTTGCTTTGGCATATGGTGCAAACAAGTTATAAAAAAAGTAAAAATAGTTATAAAGGCATGCCTCGTTATCAAATGATTGTTAAGTGACCAAAAGTATGAGATTATAAACCGACAAAATTATCAATGGTAATGAGGAAATGTTTTTGCCCAAAATATATATGTTTTTATTATGTAGTTGTACTTGTTTTTTTCTTATTTTGAAGTGTTCCAGGGCATGAAATGTGGCTTACTGTATCTATCACTGCAGAGATGAGCTGACGAGGACAGTGAGAAGGCATAACTGTATATTTCACTGTAAAAAGTGATGAAAAATAAGTCAAAAATTGCTTACATTTAGCAAAAATAGATTGACAATGGGGCAAGCAAAATTATCTTGTTTTAAAAAGATAAACCAAATGTTTGCGTATGTTGATGAATGAATTAAATACAATAAAACATGTTCTGTTTTTATGCTAATGTTATTTTAACTGTGTTTTCTCAGCTACATGCCAGTGGGTATCCTGTTCCTCATCGCGGCCAAGATCGTCGAAGTAGAAGACTGGGAGATCTTCAAGAAGATGGGGCTGTACATGGTGACGGTCCTCAGTGGGTAAGCCACCGGTGCCCCTCCCACCTATCCCACACGCTTCAGATTTATGGCTGGCATTTGGGTTCGTTCTGCCTGCGATGATACAGTAAAAGCTAAGGAGTGTGTGTGCGCGCTGATAAGGGCCAAGGACATTTAAAAAGTGGCCAACCTGCAGAGGCAGCAGTTAGAGCCTCATTCACAGCTCTAAATCTCAATAGCGACATTAAAGAGAGGCTAGTAAATGTGTTCCAGCGGGTCATCGGGCCAAGCCAAGGGTTCTACAGTGACTTTGGAGTTTTTTGCAGCGAGCACAAAGCATCTAGTCTATCGCATTGGGTTAATAATGCCAGACGGATTGTTTACACTAGGGGAAAAATTTATCTTAATTAGAGCACATTCGGACTCCCTTAAAACAAGATTTGCCGATGGGACTAAACAAAATGATCTTGTTTTTAAAATATTAAAAAAATGTCTCCCTTGGAATGAGAAAATAAAGCAACAGTTCTTGAAATAAGACTAAATGTCTTATTGGAAAATCTTGTTTTAAAGGTAAATAGGAAAGAAGAAGAAGGTCCTTTATTCGTCCCACAATGGGGAAATTTCAGTTTGATGCATACACATACACATCAAGGCAAAAGGCGAACATCACTTCCGCGTTTCTTATAGGCAAAGTGGGTTGAGTGTCTTGCCCAAGGACACAACGACAGCAGACAGCAGACATCAGTGGGAGTCAGTGGAGAAGGTCTTGTGGTGGGCTCAAACTCACGACCTTTGGGCTCAAAGGCCAATGCTCTCCAACTGAGCCACTGTTGCCTTCTCCACTTTTTGAACAAAATCCTCTGATCTTATTTGACGAGCACCAGAATGATTGACAATTAGGAGAACCAATGGTCTTGATGATCCACCTGGAAGTAGAAAATCCTTCTATATACCTTTAAGAAAGTCAGAATGTACTCAAATTAAGATAAAAAACTATTATAAAAACTGAATAAGAATCAATTCAAGCTATTATTACCTCATTTTGTATCATTCTTTGCAGTATATCTCTTAGAAGTTTCCTCTTGTCTGTTTTTAATATTATATTCATGATGGAGCAATAAAAAATCACACAACAATACTCTCTTGGTTTTTCAGCCTGGCCATCCATTCTCTGGTCTGCCTGCCGCTCATCTACTTCATCATCGTGAGAAAGAACCCGTTCACCTTCACGTTGGGCATGGCTCAGGCTCTGGTCACAGCACTGATGATCTCCTCCAGGTCAGACCCTCCTCCAAAACCTATTACTCCAGGAGTCCCCAACCTGAAGCTCGCCACCCCATTCCCCATGGCTTTACCAAAGAATTTAGAATCTAGAAATATTGTGATAATTCTTATACTACATACTTATGTTGTGCTTCCATTTTATTTGTCATTGATAAAATTCAATAGTCATTGAAGTCGTTTTTTGAGGATCTAACTGTAGCACGTTTAAGAATAAAAAAAGCTTAAAATCAAGTGGGAAATTGTTCAAAGTTTATCCTAATTTTAGAATGTTTTGACCATTTTAAAAAAAGATTTTCCAATGGGACAAGAGATGAATTAAGCTGCTCGTCTCATTGGTAGATCTAGTTTTAATGTTCGCTCTTCCTTCCAATCCAACCTTTGTTGCAAGAATCTTAGTATCAGGCTTGTGCAAAAGTGGCTCAAAAATGTCAAAAGGCAGTTTAGGAGTTCTAATAGAAAAAGGCTAATATGCAAGAAAATGCTAGATGCAAGAACAGGAGGAAACAAGACAGAGGCAGGGACAAACTAAATACACAAGGACATACGTAGGTCAGACACGTCAAGGGAGGGGCAGTAATCAGGGACACAAAGTAAATCTGGAAACAAGAAAAGAAAAGGTGATTTAAAAATAAAACTAGCCTGGACTTTACCATCCACAAACTTGGGTCTGTAATAATTTCCTACATGTACGTCTGGGTCTGATCCGAGTGGCTGCAGTTTCCTCGGTTGTATCCCCTCCGACCAATACTTGGGTGCATTACATACGCCACGGTAAACTCCAATCGTTTCAATCTCCAAAAGGAGTTAACCCCTCCCACCTGAGCTCAATGGAGACAATCCAGACCTTAGTACAAAATGAAAGGAGTACGATGGTATGGTAAGACCAGGCTACAACAGGACAATCCATGGCTCTTAGTTGATTGGCAGACCCCTATTCTTTATTTTTTTAGTACCACAGTGTACGTGTTTATGTATTTTGTAGTTTTGTAATATTTTGAAGTACCTGTTACAAGGATGTAGGTTTGAAACATTTTTGCACACTTAGAAATATAAAAGCAATGGATAATAATTTTGGTTTTTTGTCTTTCTTTCTGCTGCCTAAATCATTGTATTTTTCACCATTTTCCCAGTTCTGCCACTCTGCCCGTGACCTTCCGATGCGCCGAGGAGAACAACCGGATAGACAAGCGCATCACCCGCTTCGTGCTCCCCGTGGGCGCCACCATCAACATGGACGGCACGGCGCTGTACGAGGCGGTGGCGGCCATCTTTATCGCGCAGCTCAACAACTACCCGCTGGATGTGGGTCAGATCGTCACCATCAGGTACGCATTCACTCTGGATTACTCATTAAGACAAACAAAGTAGAAAAGTGTCATAAAGGAATTTGTAAAACACTAAAAATTATAATGTTTTTGACTTCTTCTGCTTATAAAGTTTATGGCCTGGGTCCACCTCATCTTGACATATTGACAAGAATATCAATCCAATCCACTTTATTTATATAGCACATTTTATAAAACATATTTCCAAAGTGCTGTACAGATAAAAGTAACACATTCAAATATACAAGTCTGCAAGCTTAAAAATAACAATAATTAAAAAATATTTTTTTAAAATTAAATTCAAACTTAATTCAAATTAAATAAAATACAAATTAAATTAAATAAAAACAAATTCAATTATATAAAAAACAATAAAAAAACAATAAAAAAAACAAATTAAATAAAAACAATTTAAATAAAATAAAACAATTCAAATAAACTATTCAAATAAACAAAAAACTATTTAAATAAAAAAAATAAACAATTCAAATAAAAAAACTATTAAAATTAAATAAAAAAATATTTAGAAAATATTCAAATAAATTAAAAACAATTCTAATAAAATAAAAACAAATATCTATGCATATATAAATAAAGATTAAACAATAAAATAAATGAAATAGAGGACCACACAACTGACGCTGTGTTTAAAGCCAGACTGGTTTGACGTGAATATTGTGTGTGACTTTTTAATCAACATTTATAGACATTGGTCTCTGCCCCTTATGAACCAGTGGCTCTATGTGTTTTAATTTAATTGCATTTCCTGTGTTTGAACTGTTTGATTCTCTGGTCTGTGTTGGCGAATCGACAACTTTGTAAAGTCCTCTGAGATGTTGTGATTTAGGGCTATACAAAAAACATTGAATTGAATCACAATAGCTGCTTCAATGTATCTAAATTTGACAAAGTGGTTGACATACAAGGTTGTATTATCAATTCAATGTATTTGTGTATAGTCGTAAATCACAGTACAATGTTGTAGATTCACCAACAACAGATCAGAGAATCAAACTGTTTAAACACAGGAAATGCAATGATAACAAACACATAAGGAGCAGGATGACCAATGCCCATACATTTTCATAAACGTCCTTAGTTGTTGTTAATTAAAGTGATAGTCTGGAACTCTAAATTAATTACACATTTTAAGAATTGTATTAAATTGACCTCCTGGCCTTAAATGTTGATATAAAATAAGTCATTTTATGAATTCTAATGTCACAGGTAAGTCCCTCCTTCCCTTCTCTTAGCTATAGAATCCACGATGTCGTCCACTTTAACCAATCAAGTGATGCCAAGAGCTGTCAATCATCGGCGCTCATGCTCGTAGCTGCTCATGCTCAGTTATTTGTTTCGACGGAGCCTCCAAATCAAGCCTTTATAGGCTCTGGAACTACATGAAAACTGAACAAGGAATACTGAACATCCGTTACCCATTTATAAACTGAACCTATATCCATAATCATTTATATACTGAACCTATATCCATAATCATTTATATACTGAACCTATATCCATAATCATTTATATACTGAACCTATATCCATAATCATTTATATACTGAACCTATATCCATAATCATTTATATACTGAACCTATATCCATAATCAGATCCTCTGCAGATGTGTCCTAAAATGTTCAATTCATGTTAATAGCTACTTCCGGGTTTACCGCGATCGTTTTTTGTGTGCATTAAAACAATATTTTTGTCATGAAAATGTGAACAGATCATTCTGAAAAACCTCCGTGCATGTGTATTAATAATGTATATGTATAATGTGTTCTCCGATTAACATTTAAATATGTTGATTGATTGTTACGGAAACATAGGCGTAGACCAATCAGAAAGAAGGGGGAGGAGCTTGGGTCGTTTTTGTACTCTCTTTATGTACTCTCTCTTTTTTCTGAGAAACTCGAGACAATCAATTTAAATTGTTTTTGTTGATTGATTTCATTACACAATTGTTTCTTGTACTTTTTAGCTTGTTTTATTGCATGTACATTTCTGGTGCACACTGGGGACACTTTTGCACATTTATTCCAATGTGGTTTTACTGCAATTGGCAAATAAACTGAATCTGAATTTCTTTCTCTTGCAGCATAACGGCTACAGTGGCCAGCATCGGAGCAGCCGGAGTTCCAAACGCCGGCCTTGTCACCATGGTGATCGTTCTGACCGCTGTGGGACTGCCCGCCAGTGATGTCACTCTAATCGTAGCCGTTGATTGGCTGCTGTAAGTTTGTGTTATTCATATACTGTACGGCCTCCCAAGGGTCCAGCTACTCAGTACACAGCGAGAAGTGGTTAAAAAATAAGTCCGAAATGGCTCAAATTTGGCAAAATGTATCTTAATTTCCTGTTTTTCTGTGTTTTTGTTTCTAATTCTGACTTGTATGTGTATTTTCTATGTTTTAAAGTGTGAAGCGCTTTGTGATCCTGGTCTGTGAAATGCGCTATACAAATAAACTTTGCTTACTTACTTAATTTGAGCACATTTTGACGGCTTTCAAACAAGATTTTCCAATGGGACAATGAGAAAAATTATCTTGTTTTAAAAAGATACAATAAAAGTCTCCCCTGGAATGAGAAAATAAAGCAACAGTTCTTGAAATAAGAAAAATCAGTCAGAACGTACTCGAGTTAAGATGAAAACCAGTCAATTCAAGCAATTATTACCTCATATTTTATCATTTTTTTGCAGTGTAATCGTGTTTGTGTTCCCAGGGACCGCTTCCGCACCATGATCAACGTACTGGGCGACGCCTACGGAGCCGGGATCGTGCAGAAGCTGTCCAAGAGGGAGCTGGAGAGGATGGACCTGGTGTCGGACGTGGATGTGGCCAACCCTTTCGCTCTGGAGACCACTTTAGATGACGAGGAGTGCGAGAAAAAATCGTACGTGAACGGCGGCTTCACTGTGGACAAGACTGACGCCATCTCCTTCACTGAAACCTCCCAGTTTTAGTTTTTAGCCGCGGGCAAAAACACACACAGAAGAAAGTGCCATATACTACTGATAGCTACGACACTGACAGTAACCGCAGTGGGGTTTTCATTGTAAAATCCCAATTATGCCCACTGTCTAATTTATTGTGAGTGATGTAGCATAGCCAGACAAGTTCGCCAACATCAGCAATAGAAACGAACCATCAAACACATTCAACGGAGAGATGGACTAGTGCTTCCTCCAACTAAACCAGTGCCAAGATGATGAAGAAGAATGACTTTTACTCAAGAGTTCTTTGTTTGAAAATGCAGAAACTACTCCCGGTTGCTTGTGAATGTGTTATATTTGTACATAGTTTGCAGATTTTATTGTGTTTCTGTCCCATAATGCACTGCTTGTACAGCTGTATTTATATTTAAGCCTTTTTCACTGGTTTGCATGAAGCAATAATGACTGCAATGGTCACACTTAGACCTTACGAAGACTGAAACTGAAGCTACTGAAGCTAGTGACGTTATCATACACTGTGAAATTGAAGGTTATTTATAGCCAAGCCAAATCACACCCCTGATTGTACTTAGCCAAAAGAGTGTCTATGTCGAGAAGTCTATAATGACATTTTTCATTTCAACTGCAGTGTTGCTACTGTATCTAGCCTGATGTAGCATAGATGCTCTGGCCCAATGCTCCCAGTCGCATGGCAGCCTCCGATAAGCTTTTAGTGAACCTTAAAGACACACATGTACGGCAAGACATCTGCAATACAATAACCAGGCTGTTTTAAGCAATGCCTAAAGCTTAAGATATGTTTACATCAAGAAGTCTATTTAATAGCTTTGGATTATGAGAAAGTCAAGGCCAAACCAATGTATTTATTCCTTTAAAACAGCAGTTCCCATGGTCTCAATATGCAACGTTTTTACTTTAAACATAGACAAAAACATGCATGATTTAATTTGTAAAAAGAAAATATACTCCTTTAATAATTACTATCAAATATGTGTAGATTACAGGCACTGGGGGGCCTCGGACCACACTTGGGAAGCACTGTTTTAAAGCAATATTTACATGTTTCTTTGTGAATAAGTGTCTGAGTGGTTAGCAATCTCCCGTATCGGCATTAAGGTCCTGGCTTTGAAAGTTGCTCTGGTTTCCGCAACCAAGAAAAACATGTACAAAAGGTAATAATCCTCCAGATCTGGTCCGGACCAAGCCGAGCATCAATATTTGGAGATACAGTCACTGAGCACTGTATCACGGCAACGGCCTGCCCCTGATAGAGACCCTAGTGGCATAAAGGAGGACGGGTCAAATGCAGTGGACACATTTCCCTATCGCAGGGGTCTCCAACCTGTGGCTTACAAGTAAAGGATATAGAAGTTACATAAATATTCTGAATATTAAAACGTATGATTCACATGCCCACAACTTTTGTAATTTATTAAATGAGAAATTATGACTTTTTATTTCAATTGTATACCATATGAGGCTTGGTCTCAACATTCAATAGACTCCTTATTTCACCAGCAAAAAGTCGTGAAAAATAACCAAAATTTGGCAACAATGTATTTTAATTTGAGCACATGTCAAATGCCTTAAAACAAGATTTGCCAATGGGACAAAGCAAAATGATCTTGTTTTAAAAAGATACAAGAAATAAAGCCACAGTTATTCAAATACGGCTAAATAGCTTTGTCCCGTTGGCATAACTCAGATTAATATTTTTATTTTTAAACACCCCATTTAATCAATTAGTACCTCATGTTTTATCATTTTTTGCAGTGTAGTTCTGTCTGGTTCTAGTCCTGAGAAAGTCTCCAGGTGAAAAAGGTTAGAGACCCCTGCCCTATGGGGACAATGAAATAAATAATCCCATCCAGACACTACTTATAGCAGTACTGGGTAGAGCGTCTGTGTCTGGGGTCGAAATATTCCAATTCTCTTGTTTTTTGCACTTTTGTCTTTAACTGCAGTAATCTTGGTGTTATTTGGTCCAAGCTCTTTCTGAAATATCGTGTTATTGGAATGTTCTGCACTGTTCCGCTCTGTCCTCGCTGCTCAGGACGCGGAGAACACGCTTCTATGGCCACAGGGCAGTTACTGCAGTTTACCATTTTCAAATATATATAAAAATACATTTGTAACTATTTGAAATCTTATGGGAATTATTGTTTGTTTTTGCTCACACTCTCACGTTTAGCTTTCACAGTTATGTATCAAACATTCAAATTCCATCAATGTATCGTTATATTGTTAAAGCTATTTATTTAAAAATCAAATCATGTGCCTGATACTTGTTACAACGAACAATTTACGGATCATACGAATAAAATACATTGCCAGAAACCCTGTAAAGGAGCATTTACACTATATACTCTGTACTTGAGCATTTACTCTCTTACTGCCGAGTGTGTGAAGGGGACGGGGCTTTATCGCCTCGTTTCTACTTCAACATGGACAAAACAATGATTATCTCGTGTCAAAAGCACATTCAAGCAGCTCACGTTCAACTCTGTAACAATCTGTGTATCTGCAATCTGAAATAAAGGACTGACCATTGTCTGCTGTGGATTATTCACCAGAATCATTGAGAGGGATGTGTTTTTTACAGTAGGGGCGGGTCCTGGCTCAAAAAGCTCCATGAGCACGTGCACTGACATGTTTGCAATACCACTCCTAGCCGGTGGGGGTGTACCCGGAAACAGAATTACCCAATGCTTTTGTTTGCCGCCTTCTTTCCTCTCCAAAATGTCTTAACAGGATGGTCCAAAAGTTGGTTCTTGGCCCAACGTTACATTTCGGATGTGTGTCCATTCTGAGGTTATTTATTTTGTTTTATTTTGGACCAGCTTAGTTAGTTGCTGTGGACTTTTGAATGCACTCGTTAAATAAAAGGGGCTAGTGCCGGCTAACGCATGCAACAAAAGCGTTTTTTTCACATTTTCCACAAGAGGTGGCATATTAGTTTCAACTGCGGAGATAGACATGACTTTATCCGTTAATATTTACAGTCTATGGTTTTATATCACACTGATGGTTTTACTTTTGAAAAAGTAATTATATTTAAGTCCAAAAGCTATTTGAAATTATAAAATGTGAATTTATGACACAAAAGCTTTTCAGAAATATCTAAGATTGTATTTGACTGAGCACTTTTTATTATAAGGAATAACATAACATTTGAAGACCTCGAAAGATGGATGATTCATCACAAGGGGCAATCCCTCATAAATAAATAAATATGTGCTTCTGTATAATTCTCACATCACAACTGTATATGTGTGTGTGTGTGTGTGTGTTCCTAATATTAGCGACATTAGCAGGTCTGTTTTTGATGAGGAAAAATGTTTTATCATTGCTAAAAGTCCATATATCTCCTGTTAAACACTGCTGTGAATGTATGTTTGTCCCCATTATATAAATCTATTATCTATCTGTTCGTTATGATCCACAGACACTTTTGTCACTGCTGTCTCTGCGTCTCCAATGCATCACAATGTTCCTCCCTGATCCTGAGGCCGATCCTTCAGACAAACCAGGGGCTATTTCTGTGATATACGGCCGCAGTCTGCACCGCGCCGCCTTGCCAAAGACACAATTTGCTTTTAATGACTTTTGGGTTGATTTAGCAGAGGGCTTTACAATGTCAGCTCAGCAGTGACAAGAGCACAATACCAGCAAACGCCACGACCCACACAAGCTGCAAGAGAATCCAAAATGCGGTCTTTATTGGACAGATCATGATTTTGACATATGTAAAATGTAAAAAAAAAAAAAAAAAAAAAAACTAATGCAGGGAGATAGTAAAATGTTTTGTACTGAAACCACCAGTTGCGACCCATTGGCATGAGGATTTCTGCAAAGATAAATAAATATACAATAATATTTGAGATTAAAAAGTGTGTTTTAGATTTCCTTTTGTGTGTATGTTTTTAAATGCTGATGCCCAGAGTCAGGACTAAACATTGGGAGGCAGCGTTTCAGATTTATGCAGCTAAAATCTGGAACAGTCTTCCGGAAAATGTGAGACAGGCCTCTACTCTGACAATGGTCAAATTAGCTGTGGATACAACTGAAGGATTTTATTTTCACTCTTTTTAATGTATTGTGATTCTCTATGAATGTAATGTCTTGTGTGACTGACTTTATTGTTTTGTGAGCACTTGTGTTGCCTTGTGTATGAACTGTGCTATACTTGCTAACATTTTGATTAGTTTTATTTTTGATTTGTCATAAGAAGAATAGAAAAAAAATCCAATTCTGTTTGGATAAATGTTGTGTTCTTTCTCTTTTTACCTTGTCCAGTGGAGGTTATGACGGTAAACCAGGAGAGATCGATCTTCGAGCTAGAACTTCATCCATCTCTGCGTTTGTGACTCCCTGGATAAAAAAAGAAAAAAGCTTTGTAACGATAGATATGATTTCAACTTTAGACTCTTTCAAAGGTTTTGATGTCACAAGAACGCAACCTTGAAGTGGATTCTGGTGCATCTATGCTTTTCTTATGAGACAAAACACAGTGAATCTTCCGTTTAGTCATCTCTGAATTAAATGAATTATACTTTTACTTTTGAATGCACTGAGATGTTGCTGCAGTACAGTGTTCATGGTTTTGCACGGGTCCAGACCGGAGCAGAGAGGATTCATGGACTGAACCAAGCGGATCAGATGAAAATCCACTGGAGGAATGCTAACTTTTTGAAAAATGCTAATGAACCATTCAGCTTTTTACTTTGGACTAGAGCAGAGAAAATGGTCCGAACCAATCGGCTACTCCACCATGTGACCCATTCCTGCTCCACCCAGAGGCTACTCCACCTCTGCTGCTGTGACCTGAAGGGCTGTTGCTGATTATTACTGTTGTTAGCTTTTTGGAATTATCAATTTTATTTTTTATTTTTACTGCTACTGGACACCTGATTTTCTGCGACAGGGATCACTATAGTATCTATCTATCTATCATATCTATTATAATCCAATTCTACGTCTCATTGATGTCACTCACATATGTAAGTCTGCGTACTGCTTTGGGGGTGACAAGGAGACCGCGCACTCGATCCTGGACCTCCTCCCACATCTGGTGAGAACTTGTGGACCTGCGCAGACAAAGGACAGACACACATTTGCCCAATTGTCTTTGATAGATGTAGAAACTGGCCTACCTTCTGGGCGCAGCAGAGGTCATGCTCAGGGAAAGGTCTGTGCTCTGAAACGAGTCGAGTAGATTTTGATCCCCATTGACCATCTCCTCCTCCTGCTAAAATAAATGAATCTAAATAAATTATATATATATATATTTGTCCCACAGTGGGGAAATTTTAATTTTGCTGCTCATATACAGGACAATAGAAAGAACACATAGGGAGCACTCAAAATATACACTATAAGTAGCTGCTATGTTTTTTTAGCTAGCTGGAAATACTTTGATATCAATATAACCATATACTGTATCTCTATCTATCTTTATTGAGTAAAGAACGGGGGCTGCGTTGATAACCCGTAATAAGCGAAATATGAAACACAGCAGTGAGATGTTTTAAATATATAATGTATATTTGTTAGTATTTGGAAGATACTATATGGGCCGGATTTCCTTATTTTTTAGGGCCTGATTTGACTCCCGGGTCACGAGTTGAATAAGCCTGTTCTTATAGCTACACAAATGTAACAAGTGTTAGCATAGGTCTCTACAATATCATATGATTGAAACGTTACTTGCCAGACCATTAGAATAGAAGTGCCTCGGCTCCGGTGTCGCAAATCTCACTAAAATAGAAAACAGAATGCATCCAATGCCTTTATGTGGGTAGTAAAACTTTTAATGCGCAGTCATAAAAGTTATAGGTTGAGAGGAATTACAGGAGAATATTTGGCGATAATTAAGGAATGGCATGCCAGTAAAAAGCTCATTTAAGACATTTCTGAGTTAATGGTATAAAACATTACCTGGGTTCACTTAAAGTCATTGACACAGCTGTAATTTAGCCGGATATGAATAAACAAGAGTCAAAGAAGTTATTGAATATGATTGGAATAGCACCTGTAGACGGAGACCTGCTCACGGTTGGACTGGTCAGAGCGGAAGTGTGATGTGGGGAGGCCGATCGGGCGCCAGATCTGGTGGACAGAACCTGGGAGCATGGCAGAGAAAACCACTGACAGATTTGAGATTTATTTTTCAAACCCCATTTAAGCTTCCTGGATTTCATAAGAATCTTCTCACTCCCTTTAGGACTAAACACAGAACCTTGGGGACCGAGCCTTTGCCGCAGCTGCCCCCACTCTCTAAAAATCCACCTGTTTCACCTGTGGCCTTTCCGAAACTTGGTTCATCAAGGTTTATAATTGCTATTCACCCATCGTCCCTCTGTCTGTTTCCTAGACACAATGACGGGACCCGAAACCCTGGACTCTGGACTCAAGGGCTGTATGTTTTATTTGTTGTCATATTCTGTGGCAGTGAGAAACCTTTTTACAACAGATGTCAGTGATTATCCAGGACATTTAAGGCCATCTATGGACATTTATTAACATTTATGGGCAGTGGTCATCCCCCTTCCTATCCACCAATGAGAGAGGGATGACCTATGTGTTTGTTATTATTGCATTTCCTGAGTTTGAAGTGTTTGATTTTCTGATCTGTTTGAGCTACACCAGAATACATTGAATATAATATGAAGTGTTTCAGACGCAACAATCAAAATGTCTGAAATAAAGACAGTGTCCAATAATGATTCAACAAAGCAGAATTCTACATACTGTTTATGTCCAGTTTGTTTTCAAATTGTGAAGCTGGAGACATGTTTATGACAGCTTCCTGATTGGAGACATTGAATTGGTCTCCTTTAAAGGTGCAGCAAGCGATTTTGTTACCTTAGCTGTAGCCCCAACTGGAAACCACTCCCCCCTCCCCTCACCTCTCTACCAAACCAAACATCCAGCATTTTCTTTTCTTTGTCACAAGAGGGAGAGTGGTGCTATGAGACTTGGATGGCATCTCTGATTGCCACCCCCCTGACCCAGAAATGGATTAAAGGGTAGAAAATGGATGGATGGATGGATGGAAGAGGGAGAGTAGGTGTCAAACGTGAAATTGGCCTTTTCAGTTCAGCCATTTAATGTTTTAGAAAATAATTCGATAACTCTCGTGCGCGCACTCACGAGAAACAGGAAGAGGGTGAAGGGGGTAAACACATCCCATTGGTTCGTTGGGGATGAACGAATCCCATTGGTTTATTTTTTTTGGTCCGCTCCAAAATATTTCTTATTAATTTTTGGAGACTATAGGCATCTGGTCAATTCCATTACTATTTGAAAACACATGATAACTTGACTAGTTTTAGGGTTTAGCGTTTTCCCAAACTATTTACAAAATGCGTCTGGAAAAAAATCCCTGACTGCCTCTTTAATAGACAGCAGAGGTCCTTCACTAACTATTTTCGTCCACTAATTCTTTTTGGATATTCTTATTCCAAGGGGAGGATCTGTTTAAAATTAATGTATTATGAAAAGTAAAAGTGAAAAGTAGTTACAGACATCACCTTTAAGTACAAGTTTGCACTCAATGATTTCAATGCATTTGTTGTCAGAGTGTAATCTATATCTGTATAATCTATGCCAGGGGTCTGCAGCCTGTAGCTCGGGAGCCACCTCTAGCTCACCACCCCCTTCCAGGTAGCTCGCCAAAGGATTTAGAAAAGAACGAATCAGATAATATACTGAATATTTGATGATAAATAATGACTGTTCCCAATATCAGGATCGTTCTCATCAATATATCACCTAATTTTTCCCGGGAGCGCTTAAAGGAGTAGCTCTCTGGCTTTTTTGTCACGGTAAAGTAGCTCTCTGGGTGAAGAAGGTTGGAGAAGCCTGATCTTTGCTTTTGCCACCTCTGTGATAGATGTGCCCTTTGTCTCCTTCTGCTGGTTAGAGCTGGCACTTACAGGCTTGGGACTGCTACTCTGCTCCTGAGGCTCTGAGTCCAGGCTGAGACGGACCAGACGCTGCTTGTTGCTCCTGTACGGAGACATGGAGCGGGACCTGGAGACCGCCCTGTCCCCCCGGGCACCTCTCCTCCCCACCGCACTGCCACACCTGCGCTGGGGGGAGGCCGTCCTGGGTCGTCTCCGTCGCTTCATCAATGGCCTCTGGTGTAAGAACAAAATGTTTTTAAAAATTGTTGGTGGTTTATTAAAGCTGGGATACCTGACTTTTTGGTTTCATAAATAATACATGTTGTTTATCCCAACAGAAAGGGTTATGTTTGTAAAATTTGTTAGAAAGAGCCCTGTGAGTCACTGTTCAACATTTGGGGTTCTGAGCTGATGGTGGTCCTATATTTTCACTTTTCTGTCTGAAAACGTTGATCCAAAAATTGCTTTGAGAGCAAGGAAGTGGTTACATGAGGTTTGAAAGTTAGGTACCCAAGCTTTAACATCAATAAACACAGAAACAATGTCACTTGATGATTGGAATGGAATATATATTATGAAAGACTGAATACAGAAAGGCACATATTCAAAAAATAATCCGTTAATGATTATTTTTAAGTGGAAGACAGAAAACGCCATACTGTGGGAAAATAAAGCTGGGGTATGTAACTTTCAACACACCATCAATACAGTTTGATTCTATATCTAGATTTCCACTATTCCATCTATTAATCATCTATTAGCTTTATCAGACAGAAAAGTAAAAAAAAAACCTCAGCCAATCAGCTCTTAGCCCAAAGCATCAAAAAGTGACTCACAGGGTCCTTTCTGTTGTACTGTATGTGTAATATAATCTGTTTTATATTAAGATGCATGTTGTGGTCTGATTTGTTCACTACATTTTATGAACTTTTATGAATCTCTTTCTGAAATACATCATTCACAACACAAAAACTTAGGTACCCCAGCTTTAAGCACACGTTTCCAATACTTACCAACGGCACATTTGGGTAATTCATAATCTCTGCATGCGCAGCACACTCAAAGATGGTTGTTGTTGTGGAGAATTCCAGTCTTGGACAAATGCCCTACAGCAAAACAAGTTAATGTACATATATAGACGGAACCCACATCTGTTAGATATATATGTTTGAATAATCACATGTATGAAAAGTCCAGGAGAGACTCACAGGGAAATGCTGGGATCGAGTCATGAAAACCTCCTGCTCAGTCCCAGATGATGGAGGCACAAGTTTGGGTTCTGGGAAGAGGAATCGGCGAGCATCATTTGTGTAGTAGGCCAGAGTTCTCCCCACTGGTCAGAAGACAAAAACAAGACTTGTAAGTAAGTCATCCTTATATAACGCATTTTTACAGACCAAGGTCACCTAAAGCCCTTTACAATGTTTAGATATCAGATATTGTTGCCTATAATACTAACATGTCTAAATTACACTGTCAATATGTAACTAATCTGACTGAGAATAATTTAGGTTTGTGTGTGTGCGTGTGTTTTATGTGTATACAGTATGTGTGTGTGTGTGTGGTCATGACACTTACTTGGTGGACAGAGTTGCACAAGTTCAATTCGTACAGTCTCGTCTAAAAGAAAAAGGTGATGTTGAAGGCTGTACACAAGATTCTGAACATATATATGAATAACAATAACAATAAACCACAGCTGCCCTGGGCACACTGACAGAAGCGAGGCAACCAATATGTACCATCGGCCCCCTTACACCATTCACGCTCACACCAGATTCATTCTCAGCAGTGTGGGTTAAGTGTCTTGCCTAAAGACACAACAAGAGTTTGGCACTTTACAGCCGCACAACTGTAGCACCTGGTGATCAAAGAGGTCTCCCATCACAGTACTGACCAGGCCCTATACTACTTAGCTTCAGAGGTCAGACATGAACTGGATTTCACATACAGATGGCAACTATGGATAATATATCAATTTTTTTATGACTGAAAGAAAACATTTGTGGTTTAATGAAGGAAAAGTATATAATTGAACATAATCAGGATGGATTTTTGACTAAAACTTGCAATTCCGCAGCCATCAGCAGTAAATTATAAAAACTAAGACTTTATTATGAATAAATTAGAGGTTAAAGAGGTTTCAACTATTTCTCCTCCTATAATTGATATGGGTCATAGCCAACAAAGGCAAAACCGAAAACATATACGGACCTAGGTATAATAATAATAATAATAATAATAATAATTGTATTTTTTATCTTAAAAAGTAACATTGGTATCAGGGTAATAGGGTTTTAGTTATTCCTTGCAGATGCAGTAGGGTCTAAGGACAGTGGTGATGTAACGACATTTTGATTCTCTGATTTGCATTGGCGAATCAACAATTTTGTACAGCCCTCAGAGATAACTGCTGTTGTGATCTAGGACTATACAAGTATACACTGAACTGAATGATGTTTCTTACACTCCAGCATCACTGCGATGTCTGCGGGGTCAAGAGCAAATCTGAAAATCTGAACAGAAGAAGTCAAAATAAGAAATGCACAAAAATTCCCAAAATCCAAATGGAATGTTCCGGACCTTTTCGAACGTCATCTTCTCCTGAAACTGCAGCGGGAAGACGGAGGGCAGGCCTTCAGACTGACGGAACTGTCCCATGAAGCGCACACTCAGGTAGATGTCTTCATACGCCATAAGCCGGACCCCAGGACAGGACACCTCACAGACACAAGTAACTCAGTATTTTACTCAAGTACATCTCCTGCTTTTACTGGTACCTGTACTTTACGTTGTTTGCATTTTTCCCTTTAGTCTTTACCCAAAAACTTCTTTAGCCTTACTCCTTTATCCTTATCTCCTTATATTTCAAAATAGGTACAATAGTTTAGTTAGTCTGGATTAAGTCAATGTAGTTATCCATGCTTCTAAGTTAATTAATTGTGGTAATCCTTGCTTATAATTGTATTAAGTAATTATGGTTAACCATGCTTTTAAGGTTATTAAGTAATTGTGGCTAGCCATGCTTCTAGGTTTATTAAGTATTTTGGGGAGCCATGCTTCTAGGTTTATTATTTGTTGTTAGCCATGCTTCTAGGTTAATCAGGACATTGTGTCAAGCCATGCTTCTAAGTTTATTATCCACTGTAGTTACCCATGCTTCTAAGTTTATCATAGTGGTTACTCATGCTTCTAAGTGCATTATGGTTAACAATACTTCAAAGGCAAAAAATCACAAACAAAGGCTTCTTTAATTTGACACAAGTAAAGAAAGTTATCTATTATTTGTTGTATTGAAACGTTATAAATGTATTCATTTATATTATATAGTTACTTATATCCACAAGTAGTGCTACAGAAATGTAATATTGTAACATTCAGAATCTGCCTTTCTTCAGTTGTGCAGCAGAGGGCGTAACCCCCTCAAGGTGTTTCTGTAAGTAACTTGGGGCAGTCGCGTTGACTCACGTTTTGAAAAGATAAACTAGATAACATAATGTGAAACTTGACTGTGCGCTTCTTCCTTCTCCCAGAGATGAACCACTTTTATAAGTAATGGAATCTAGACAATGATACACAAATCCTACAAAAAAAAGCATTCAGAAAAATTATGCATATAGGGATAATTGTGTAAAAAGTGTGGAACATACAATATTTACGATGCTAGTTTAAGGAAACAGTCAGATATTGTATTTATAATGTAGTTAGCTCATTCGCTACACTTGACACTGACTTGTTTTGACATCAGCGGTCCGAGAGCCTGCACCACTCCGCTATTGACAAAACACACGCTTCTGACCCATAGACTGTGAATATGAGAACTTACCGCTCGAATATTTATTTCCACCAAGACTTTCAACGCTTTTCTGGACATGATGAATTTTTTGCAGCCGAGCGTCACCTCTACGTCGTTACCATGGATACCACAACTTCCGCCTAACAGTGAACCAGAGCAGGGTCATTGGAGAGAGAAATGTTTTACTGCCGCTCAGAGAATTAAAGCTGCGTTTGAATGTTTTTTTACACACCGAATCAGAAATGACTTGGCTTTGGCCATTTGTTGAGAATACGATTATGACGTTTTATTTAGCTATGTTTGGACACTTAAGGCGCGTTCAGACCAAAAGCTTCAAAAAGCTTTTGACGCGCTTCAACTGACGCCGGGATAGTTTTGTCATTTTGGTGCTTGAAGCTTTTGACGCGAGTGACGCGCCTGACGCCGGTGGGAGGAGCTTCTCTGTTGTCTGTGGGAGGAGCTTCTCTGTTGTCTGTAGTCAGGACAGCGGTGGATTTTTCAATGAGCAGCGAGCCTTTATTTGTTATATAAAGCAAAATAACGTTGTTGTAGGGCTTCAACAAAACATGTTCTGGGTTCACCACAGACTTGAGAGGCTGCAGTGTTTGCAGAGTTCCGTCATTTACTCCAGGAGCTGCGTACGGAGGAGTCTCGCTTTCAGCGGTACTTCCGCATGTCACTCGCCCGGTTTGAGTTCTCAAACCCCGGAGCTAGCCTCTCCCCGCCTCGCTCTGCCTCTCCCTGCCTCTCCCTGCCTCTCCCTGCCTCTCCCTGCCTCTCCCTCGCCTCTCGCTCGCCTCTCCCTGCCTCTCCCTGCCTCTCCCCGGCTCGCTCTGCCTCTCCCTCGCCTCTCGCTCGCCTCTCCCTCGCCTCTCGCTCGCCTCTCCCTGCCTCTCCCTGCCTCTCCCCGGCTCGCTCTGCCTCTCCCTCGCCTCTCGCTCGCCTCTCCCTGCCTCTCCCTGCCTCTCCCCGGCTCGCTCTGCCTCTCCCTCGCCTCTCGCTCGCCTCTCCCTGCCTCTCCCTGCCTCTCCCCGGCTCGCTCTGCCTCTCCCTCGCCTCTCGCTCGCCTCTCCCTGCCTCTCCCTGCCTCTCCCCGGCTCGCTCTGCCTCTCCCTCGCCTCTCCCTGCCTCGCTCTCGCCTCTCCCTGCCTCTCCCTGCCTCTCCCTGCCTCTCCCTGCCTCTCCCTCGCCTCTCCCTGCCTCTCCCTCGCCTCTCGCTCGCCTCTCCCCGGCTCTCGCTCGCCTCTCCCTGCCTCTCCCTGCCTCTCCTCGCCTCTCCCTGCCTCTCCACGGCTCTCCCTGCCTCTCCCTGCCTCGCTCTCGCCTCTCCCTGCCTCTCCCCGGCTCTCGCTCGGCTCTCCCTGCCTCTCCCTGCCTCTCCCCGGCTCTCGCTCGGCTCTCCCTGCCTCTCCCTGCCTCTCCCCGGCTCTCGCTCGGCTCTCCCCGGCTCTCGCCCGCCCGGAGCTGCCTTGCTCTGAGCCAGACTCATCGTCAGCCTGTTCTTATTTTAAATAAACTACGTTTACTACACAGCATGTGTACAATGATTTTGTTACTCAGAATGTTACTACTCATACAAATAATATTACTAATAACAATAATGACAATAAAACAGCAGCAGCAGATACATGACTTCTCTTCATGACAGAGACAGACCCTCTGCTGCTGCTGCTCCTCGTCTCCTGATTGGTTGAAGCCCGCGTCAAAGCTTCAAAAGCTCAGCTTTGCTCAGCTTCGGCGTCAAAGGGATTGTTGTGATACGCGAGCGTTTCGCGCGTCAAAAGCTTCAAGTGAGCGCGTAGTACGCGCGACTCTTGAAGCTTTTGACGCGCGTCAAGTGACGCCGGGCCCCTCGGCTTCACCTGACGCGCTTCACCATTCACTTTCAATGGAAACCTGACGCTTTTGACGCCGAAGTTAAGTCCGGTCTGAACGCCCCTTTAAAGATGCATCACGTCATTCATTTTTTCAGGCCTTAGCCATCCGTAAACTCCGGACAATTATTACAAAAATGAATTAGTACGATGGTATGGTAAGACCAGGCTACGGTGGTGATAAACTACTACAGTAGCCACCCTTACTGATTTGGCCCCTCCGACCTCCACCAATAATTCCTTCACAAACCAAACATTCTGGGCAATGTGAGAGACACTTATCCTGTGTGCTCCTCATTCATAATCAGAATCTTTTTATTGCCATGTGAGTAACAGGAAGTCACAAACTAGGAAATTGCTTTGGCTAAACTAAATGTCTTCAGTTTACTATATACAAGAGTGTGGGAGAGTGCAGTAAAGTGACAGTAGCATAAAGTGACGGTCATAAGGCCAGAGGTGATGGTTTATTAAGTGTTCATGAGTCCAACAGAAAACTGTTATTCCTATTGTTTTGTAACTTGTGATGCAACACCAACATTTCCCTACTGTCGGATGAGTATAGGATCTCAATCTTAATCTATAATCTCCATTTATTCCTGGCTGTGTAAACTTTCAAGCACACTGTACATAAATATTCAGATGCCAAAATGTTGATGCCAGTCACTTTATTCAAAACAAAAAGTATGAAGACACAAGCATCCTCTGGCTGTGGCTTTGCTCTCAGTGGGAGCCATGGTTTTGTAAAACTGGAGGCAAAACAAAAAGTGAATCTTGTTGTACACAGTTCACTTCATCAATTCAAAATTTTCTTCCTGAAATGACAGCGGGCTAAACTTTCAAAATAAATACTATGTAAAAATAAAATTCCATTATCAAGAATAACATGAATAGTCCAAGTGCACTGGTTCACTTGTTAGCTGAGTGGTTTTTCCTCTTTCTGCTGAGGAGCATCGTCGTCAGAATCAGAGTCCGACTCTTGGTCCTGTTTGGTTTCGTCCTGGTCCAGAGCCACAGCACCTTTCCTCTGTGGGAGCACCGTGAAGAAGGCGTCCTGCCAGGTCCCCTTCTCCAAATACCACAGGATGATCTCAAACACTGCAATGTTAACAGTTAGGTCATTAGGTCACAAATACCATGGTGACCTAATGGTTCATGTATTATGATCTGGATAAGTTAAACCCGTCTCCACGTGGACAAGAGGCCATCCGCAGTACTGCGGCTTAAATTCATATGGGCTGTTAAAAGATTTCCCATACACCTCATTTTGAACTAAACGGATCGTCCTCAGCTCATAGGAAACTAACAACTTTCAAATGTTGGAATTTTTGTACTTTTTTCATCAGTTTTCTATAAATCCACTTTTTTTGCAACAATCTTGTCTTGCTTGAAATACCCACTAGAAATACTAAATATAAATTGATAAATTCCTATTATGCATGTTATGTGTGTTATAATGTAAAAGCTATGGTTTGTAGATGGTGCCGACTGCAACTGTTGATGATAGTTTTTTTTATTTCGTCACAAGGCGACGCTAGTGTGCATCTTATTATCGCAAAAGTTTTATTTTATTTTTGTACATTTTTATATTTGTGTTCTGACTATTCGATCAGTATTGGTTAAATTTGAGGTTAAGATAATAATTCATGTAGATTATTATTTTTAAAAGTATGGTTTTGCTTTTGAGGACGCTACTTCCGGTTTGCCGATAGTTAGTGCAGCAAGTCAAGTCAAGAAGACGGACCCGACAAAGCAGAGTGAATAAGTTATAAGAAGATAATAAGAAGTTACAGTCCACCGGGTTGCTCGCCAGCAGGCCAAAGAGGTGTTTATGATCGTGTGTTAATTCATATTTTGTTTATTATATATTTAATATCTTAAGTTGTACCATTTTGTGTTTTGTTGCTAGTTCCATGGTGTGAACAGTAAAAAGTGCAGTAAACATTTGTGAAAAGAACTCTCACGCCTCTCTGTGCGTTCGTGAACAAGCCGGCATACCGACTTTACCAGACTATAACCCACGAGTGTTTCCTTTGTATACTTGGTTGGAAATATCTCAAAAATTGCTCTTCCACTTTTCTATTACTTTAAATCACCCATACATTTCCAGGAATCTGAATCTTACCATGATTGACAGCCAGGACTTTCCGACTATTCATCTTTACAAAACTGCTGAGTGGAAGCTGGGCATGAGCAATCCCCAGCTCCTGTGCCTTCTCAAAAGTAAGACCCTGGGATAGAAAAAACACACATCCAGTATAGTTTCGCATATAAAACCAAAAACGCTGCCAGTTAGTCAGACCTTATGATGGTTGTGGTCCACCAGGCCCCCGATGACGTAGGCCTTGCTTTGGTCCAGTTCAGTCAACACATTGGGGGAGTCGGAGGTGAGGTAAACCAGGTCCTCTTTGGCAATAACATCGATGTAGTGCTCCGACTTGAAGGAGATGTCCTACGCAGCAGTAAAAATAAAAGGCATATCGAGCATCATAATGTGTTGTAGATGGAAAAGAAATGGCACCACGCTTTCGACTGCGACTCACCTTCCAGTTCACCCATCCTTTGTCCTTTTCGTCCATACTCTGCTTCAGCTGGCCTCCCAAACTTGTCACTATAAACTGAGGAATAAAGTGCATGAATGTCATCACAAAACAATGATTACTTGGTGTGTGAGAGATTTCAAAGATGGCTCACCTGGACAGGATGTAAGACCCGCCTGTTTGTAGCATAGCACCGCTGGAGTTGTTTGTGAAGTTTACTGACATCCTTGGAAACAAAAGAGCAAGAAAGAAAACTTTAAAAGAACTACATCACAATATTGCAACTCAATCTGATACATCTGACACTAGCAGTCCCAGAGGAGTCAATTTGACGGCTTTTAGTTTTGAAACTGTAATGGCTCAGCTTGTGTATCTTTTCGGTCTTTCTAGTCTTTTTTGTAGTTTATTTCTGTCATTTGTATGAAATTATCTTTTATTATTGAAATGTGAGTAGTTCTCCCTTTACCACCAAGTGCAGACATGTTTACTGCTCTGTTTATATGAATGTAAAATTAAATTCTAGTCTGGGCCGGCTTCAAAGCTTTTCACCAGACTGTTCAGTGTTTTTTTTTGGCTTTATTTCAAGTTATATTGACCAGTTCCAGCAAATATTACTGGATGGAAAACAAACTTTTGGGATTTTTTTCAGAATTCGATTTATTTGAATGGGAGCAGTTCAAATGACAGCTTTGTGAGTTTGATTTGTTTGAAAATGTTAGGATTCCTGTGTTGAATATACAGTAAATGTCCAGGTTTAGCTGATAACACCGCTGATATATGCATTTATTTAATCGAGAGGGCACCTTCTAACTAATACGCACACTACATGGATTTGTCCGTGTTTACCTTCATTAGCATGAGGCTATCGAAGCTGCAGTCCACCACCAGCCGGACGGAGCTGGGGGTCACCTCTTTCCGGAGACGTTTTCTAGGATTCCAGTCGGCCTCAGCCTTGTCCTCGTCCTGATTATTCTGCCGTTGGAGCCGACGTTGTTGTCTTCTATCTTTTCTCTTTTGCCTGTGACACACATCGACAAGGTGCACAAGTACATAGTATCAGTATAAAGAACTTGAGTAGACTTTGTATGCTTCGAGCTTGGTACAAATACATTTTTAAAAATGATTATCCAGTATAAAATTAAAGCTGGGGTACCTAACTTTCAAACCACAAATAATTTAACCATGTGAGAAAATGAATCATATTTTAAATTCAAATTCCTTTTATTTGCCATTTTCAGGAAAAACACTTTAGAATACATGTTCAAAAGTATCACAGTGTGCACACAGACAAGTATATAAAATAACTTGTCGTGGCCTCTGTCAGATCTTTAGATCACATTGTTCTGACAGAAAAGTGAAAATGAGACCACCCTACACAGACTTCAGTGTCCAACCAAAAAGAATAATATATAGTCTCACATGGATCTTTATTGCAAATGTGCAAAAGACGACGTGTTATTTAATAATAGGGAGACATGTTGGTGGTTTGATTTGTTCACATTTTACTCATACGAGAATCTTTATATGTTAAATAGTTAAGCACCCCAAATACAGTCACTTCTTTAAATGGCTTAATAATCATACGACTTCTCCACTAGGCTTTTAAAAATGTCCACTTATTGCTCATAACTAAAAATAAAGTCACAATGACACGATTTAAAACATTGCTACAACAATACACATACTCACTTTCGCAGATCTCTCTCTTCTTCCCATTTCTGTTGCCTCATAAGTTTCTTTCTTTGCCTTTTCGACAGGGTTTGGGTCTCTGTGGTTTCCTCTGAGATTGTTTTTGTTTCTACTGTGCTGTTATTGTCACATTCTAGCCCGTTATTCTCACACACAGACACAGCTGTCACATTTTCACTAGCCATGATGTCTTGTTTATGCTGCCAGGTGGCTAATGGGGTTAGCTTCTGTTAGCTTGGTATGAAAGAAGACTGAAATAGAGCAGCGCGCACTCCAGTTTTGATCTATAACAGATACCATTTATACGATGGGAATTTGTGAGATGACGCAGACGGAACAATTATAAAAAATCAAGAAAGAGAACCCAATAACGTTGAGGATGTGTCCAATGAAAACTCTGTACAGTCTGCATGCTGTGGACGATTAAATATGACGACATAAGTGTGTGCCTTGGACCGCCCCAGCATAAATCTTGGCATTTCGTCCTAAATTGAGCACAATATTTAGATAGCGTTACTTTTGCACTATTAAAATAAGTAATTACTAGTCACACTTAGGTTTAGGTTATGTTACCCTATGGGTAGGAAGGGTTAGGGTTGGGGATGAAGATAAGGCAAGGATTCGCTTTCAGTAGCATGAAATACCAAGATAATCGGTGGTCTCACCAGTGGGGGCGGGTCTCAGCTCAAAAGTTTATTTATTTATTTTTTTTTTTTTTTTTTTTTTTTTGAACTTTTTATTTACAATATACATACAAGTATACAAAACTCTCGTTAGGAGACAACACTATTGTTCCAATATTTACAAAAATAAAAAATAAAATAAAGCAAACAAAAAACATACAGTCAGTAAGGCCAACGTTTAGTAAAACAAGTTATAACAAGATATTTTGAGACATCCATACAAATATTTTCAATATCTTTTGATGAATTCTTTAACAATGAGAGGGAAGCAAAATAGTCTTTGAGTTCAATTTTAAACTTCGTGAGGGATGGCATTTTATTTTGCCATTTGGTTTTGTGTAAATGGTATTTACCCATAATTATAACGATATTACAAATCTTTGGTAGATTCTTGTTACCAAAAAGCACTTGCTCCAATTCTAAATATGCAGTTTTTTTCATTTTAATTTTTAACCAATTTATTACTGCTTGCCAAAAGAGTTTTGTTTTGTCACAATTGAAGAAGAGATGTTCAATTGTTTCTTCTTCTTTTGCACAAAAGGCACATGGCTCCACCTCAAAACCAAATCTTTTTTTGAGTATTGCTGCTGCTGGATAGTACTTGTTAATAATCTTAAATTGCATTTCTTTGACTTTAGGAGGTATCGGCCACTTCATGAATTTAATACATCTATTGGCTCTTATACTTCCATCTGTATCATATATTTTAACATGTCTATCAAAAGTATGAAAGAAATTGCACTTGAGTAGTTTGTTTATGCGTTGATTATTACATGTTTTGTCTTTTAAAGAGATGTAATCTAATTGTAGTTTTGGTAAAGATATCTGACCATTTGAATACTGCAAATAATTTTTTATTAAAGTCAATAGAGCGACAGGTATTGCTCTACACACTTTATTAAATTCCCTATTTGAGCATTGAATGTTAAATTTTATCTTAAAATCCATGAAATTCAATAAGTTTCCTTGGTCATCCAAAATGTCAGAGATGAAATTTATATTTTTCTTGTGCCAGCTTTGAATGAATAACGATTTCCTATTTAATGTTATTGCTCGATTATTCCACAAGGTGGAGCCATGAGGAGTAAAGTTATGGGTAAATGCCATTTTCCAATAGTGCAAAACTTGTTTATAATAATCAGACAATTTCAAAGGCAATTTGGATACTTCAAAATCACATTTCAAAAGAAACTCAAACCCCCCTACCTGATCAAAAATGTGTTTGGGAATACTATACCAAAGTAAATCAGGATTTGCCAGAAAAGATTTTATCCAGTTAATTCTAAAGACGCCAATCATTGATTCAAAGTCAATAGTTTTTAAGCCTCCTTTATCATAGTCTCTGACGAGTTGTGCCTTCTTAATATAGTGAGTTTTATTACGCCAAATGAATTGATATAGTCTAGAGTTTACTTTTCTTATAGTTTGGGGAGAGATATAAAGAGAATAGCTTGGATAAACTAATTTAGAGACACCTTCTGATTTTGATAATAAATTCCGGCCAAGTATAGTTAGGTCTCTTGTTAACCAATGATTAAGACTTTTTGTTACTTCTTCAATTTTCCCATTAAAATTTGTTTGTTCTCTTGTTTTGGCATCTTTACACAGCTGAATTCCCAGGTATTTGATTTGGGTTTTCACAGGAATTGATTCTAACTCGTTATCTAAGCAATTATATAAGGGAAGTAATTCGCATTTTTTCAGGTTCAGGCAAAGCCCTGATGCATTGGAGAAAACTGATATAACATCCAAAGCTTTTTTAAGAATGGATTTGTCTTTCAGAAAGATTACAGTATCATCAGCAAATTGACTCAATCTATATTCCGTGTCATTTATTTTAATTCCTTTTAATTCGTTATTGTTTAATATGAGATAAGCCATTAGTTGAGTACACAGTATGAATAGTTTAGGTGAAATTGGACAGCCTTGCCGAATTCCGCAAGAGACATTGATTCTAGGGGTGATTCCGCCATGTAGAGAGATATAACTATAGATTTCATGATAAAACATCTTGATGATTTTACAAAATTTAGCCCCAAAACCAAAAAATTGCAGTGTATGGAGTAAGAAATCATGCTCAATGGAATCAAAGGCCTTGAAAAAATCTATGAAGAGAATCAAGTTTTCTGGATTTAAAGTGTGATAATCCATCATATCTAAGATCAACCTGACATTGTTTTGTATAAATCTGACTTTAATGAAAGCAGATTGATATTCGCCTATTAATAGGTGCAAAATATTTTTTATTCTATTTGCGTAAACAAGGGCAATTAGTTTATAGTCGTTGCAAAGTAATGTTATTGGTCTCCAATTATCAAGTTTTAAACAAATCTTTATTGGGCTTAGGCAGTAAAGTTATTAAACCAGTTTTCATTGTTGGGGATAATTTACCATCAGAAATGATATCTTTATATGCACTAAATAAAAGTTGTTTTATATCTTGCCAAAATGCAATATAGAATTCTATCGTTAGTCCATCTATTCCAGGTGATTTTCCCTGTTTCATTTCTTTGAGAGCATTTTCAATCTCTGATATTGTGAGATCTTCCTCTAATAATTGTTTGTCTCTATCCGATATTTTATTCCCGTTGTTTTGAATTAAATTGAAAAAATAGTCACATTCATTTTTCTGAAATTTATTTTTATATACGTTACTGTAAAAATTGGTTACTTCTTCCATTATTTTAGTAGGGTCCTCAATAACAGTATTGTCTTTACTTAATTTGGTGATATTTCTTCTAGATTGACGTCTTTTTTCAAGACTGTAAAAGTATGTTGAATTTTTCTCCCCCTGTTCAATCCATTTGGCTCTGGATCTTACATATGCTCCTTTTGCCTTCTCTAAGTACATATTATCTAATCGGTTTTGAAGCAAATGTAACTGCTCTGTTTCTTCATCAGTTAAAGTTAACTTTTCGCATAAAATACTTATATTTCCTACCATCTCTTGTTGTAACAACTTGCGGGCCTCTATAATCTTTTTACTTGTCTCAATAGCTACCTGCTTAACTTTGAATTTTAACCATTCCCATTTGCTAATATTTGACAATTCCAAAATAGATGTTTCAGTGACAATTATTCGAACTTGCTTACAAAAATCTTCATTAAGTAACAGTGCATTGTTCAGTTTCCAAACATTAACACATTTTGCTTTTTTGCTTCCTAGTCTGAAGAAAATATTGATATTACAATGATCTGTAAGAGGGGATGATTGAATATCACAGTTAGTGATTGTATTCACTAAAGTTTGGGACACGAGCCAGTAATCAAGACGTGAACTTATATTAGGGTCTGCTGGGCTTACCCAAGTACATATAATTGAATTTGGGTTTACTATTCTCCAGTAATCAATCAAATTATTGTTTAAACAAAAGTTTTCTATAATACTATTATACATTGGTTGTGGTCCTTTAGGAGGTTTTCTGTCAAGCCAAGAATCAGGAGCAATGTTAAAATCACCACCCAGAATCATATTGTGAGTACCATACGTTATCCTCCATTCTCCCAGATACTGAGTTATCTTTGTTAGCATATTCCTGTTAAGAGCTCTGTTATTGTATCCATATATATTAACTAAGATAAATTTGGAATCAAGCATCTCTACAGCAACCATTGACCAATGGCCTTCGTATCATTTTTATGATCAATAATTGTTCCATTAAACCTGTTAAATAAAATCATCACCCCCGCTGAGTGAGAAGTACCATGTGAATAGAAAATATTATCTCCCCATTGTTGCTTCCAAAACTTTTCATCATCTTTAATTGAATGCGTCTCTTGTAAAAAAATAAGATTAGCTTTTGTCTCTTTACAAAATAAAAATAATGCCTTACGTTTAACAATATTTTGTAATCCTCTAACATTTAACGAACTTAAATGAACAGACATAGAAAAGTTCTTATCCGCTTTGAACTACGCTAGATAAGAATAAAGTGATAAGCAGGAATGAGCAATTTGTCCAATAACATTTATATGATCCATTTCTAATGCTCACTACAGAACCCAAAATATGTTTATTTTCCTTTTTCCTTATAATAAGTTTTATGGATCCACTCTTTTACCATCTATGATAGCATACCCCTCCTTTAAGAACGCTCTTCGACCCCTGCGCCGCGCTTCCTCCACTGCTGGCCACAGCTTCGTTCGTGCCTCCCGATCTTCTTTGGAAAAGTCCTCCTTGAACCGAATGTTCATCTCTCTGCACACCGGCGCTTCCTTCGACCTTCTCCAAATCTCGTCCCGCGTTGTCCTCATACCAAATTGAATGATGATCGGACGAGGCATCTTGTTTGTGGCTACATCATTCTTTTTTCCAAGTCGATGTACAGTGTCCACAGTTTCTCTCAGCTTGTCCACAGACACGGGAATCACTCTCGTGAGAATTCCAATCACTGTTTCTCGTGCATTCTCATTTTCTTTCTCTGGCAGACCGATCAGCCGGAGGTCCCACCGTCTCCGGTATCGGGCACTTTCCAGACATTTCTCTTTCAGATCCTTATTTTCTTTAACCAGTGATTGTACCTCACCTTTGAGCTTGTTTACTTATTCTTTATTTTCTTTGGCAGCCGTTTCATAAGCTTTCATTTTAACTTCGATGTTATCAAATTTAGCATTGAGCATGTCCAATCTTTGGTCCATCCGATTTGACAGAGAGTTTATGGCTTCAAGGACAGATTCAATGCTAACCTGTTTAGATGCCGCTCTTCTTTTAAGCTTCTTGGGGTTAGGACTGCTGACGGGAGTTGGTTCATTTTCACTGTCTCCTTCTGTTGTATCCATCTCCATTAAAATCTTCTCTGATTTTCCTTCAATTGGCGCAGCGTACACGTGATCCGAGATGCTACCTGTTAGCTTTGGATTAGCCATTTCTTCAAATGTTAAATTTGCGTTTTTCTTCGATCCAGATAAAAAGAAACAGATAGTGGGCCCTTTTATCCAACCTTAAAAGTCTCTCTGGGTACCTGTATCTTCAAAATTCGATGTTATGGACTATAAAGTCACTTTTCCTGGAGCCCCGCAAAACTTTGCGACTACTCACTCCGCCATCTTGATCTCCCCTCTTCGACTCGAAAAGTGTCGTCTCAGCTCAAAAGTGGCCAAATTAAATGACGTGCGCTGACATGCTTGCAATACCACCCCGGGCCGATGGGGCTGGACCCAGAAGAAGAATTAGCCAATGCTAACATATAGCATTGGCAGACGTCTCAAAAACGTCTTTACAGGATGGACCAAAAGTTGGCTCTTGGCCCAAAGCTCCGTTCCACATGTGTGTCAATGCTGAGGGGGGGGAATTTTTTTGGTCCACTCTAGTTTACTCACTGTGAATTTTTGAAGTCTCTCGTTCAAATGAATGGAGCTCTCGCCGGCTGACGCATGCGCAGATGCGTTTTTCTTTTTACAATTTTCTTGTGGGCGGGACCACTCGCGGCCATTTTGGATTGCTCCAGTAGAGCCGAGTAGAGCACATTTTTTGGCCCATTAGTTAGAACGGCGGAGATAGGCGTGACTCTGTCCGTTAATATATACAGTCAGTAGCTGCGTTTCCATTGAATAATGCGCAAAAACTTTTTCGATACATTTCAAAATTCGAAAAACCTGTAATTCGCAAAAGCGGCCGTTTCCATTAAGACATATTCGAATAAGTATACACTATGGTCGCGCGTTTATTCACTAGTTTCTAGTACGTCAACATGGCAACAGAAGTAACCAACACTTTGATTTACGTGAGATATATTAATGTCTTGACTTCTGCTGCGGCTCTCATCCTCTCTGACCCCGGGAGAAACTGTGGCTGCTTTGACAGCTCCGCGAACGCGCGTGGTCATGTACCGAGCGCGGACCATAGACGCGGGTCTTGCCTGTCTCCCCCGTCTCTCCCCCGTCTCTCCCCCGTCTCTCCCCCGTGCCTCTCCCCCGTCTCTCCCCCGTCTCTCCCCCGTGCCTCTCCCCCGTCTCTCCCCCATGCCTCTTCCACGTATCTCCCAAGTCTCCACACGAAGCGCAGCCAAAACTCACTGAATAAAGCAGCTCGGCTTCCTCCGCTATATCGAAATAAGTGTTTCCATTGCCGTTTTGCGAAAAACTTAATTTCGATACGTCCAAAAAAACCACCTATTTTAAGCGCATTAACTTTTTATCGAAAAACTGTGGTTTATTCGAAATGTGCGCGTTTCCATTAGACATTTTATGATGCGCAAATTCAAATTTCGAAATTTGATGCTCAATGGAAACGCAGCTTATGTCTCTAACCCGTCTCTAACGGACGTGGTTTATTTGTTTGATCATTTTGAAAAATATCCAATATTATAAATAAAGATGAAAGATCTCTACTGGGGTTCAATCAGGGTCCGTGTACTTTTGCGTTCAATACATTTTCTATTTTTTAAGGGAAATGGAAAATAAAACAAATTGGACTCAAGCCAAATTGTTGTGAGAAAGAAACTTACAACATTAAATTAACTTTAAATTTGGCTAATTTATGTATGGCTAACCAATTCATACCTGTTATTATGATGGATCTATTATATTAACTGGATAGGGTATTGCTAGCTTGTAGCTGAATAACTCACGTGCTCAGGGGATTCTCGCGGTACTGCAGACTAAACCAGACTAAATTCACGTGGGCTACCCAGAAATTTCCCCCATAGAACTCAATGCATATTAAAACAGCTCAACCTCAGCTGACAGAGAACCTACAGCTTTAATGAAGATCGGATTTTGTGGGGATTTTAGTGTCCCTTGTCATCCTGAACTTTTTTTCTTCTTAAATCGTTCGGTTTTGCTTAAATCCACACTTTAGTGCCACAAACTCTACTCCTCTGGCTCTCGCTCTAACTCCCGCTCTGATGAACTGCTCTGATTGGTCAGAGCGCGGCCGAGCCCCTCTGTGCACATGCGTGAGACCGGTGTGAGACGGTCGGCACTAGATCATATACGGAATCGGGACGGAAGCGGAAGTAAATATAACAAAATACCCATTCATGCCTAAACTTATCCAGCCATTACCATAAAATAACCCCAACCCAGCCTTAACCCTAACCATAACCATCTTAATTAGACGCCTAAAACTTAACCAGTCACCACTTAAGGACTTATTACACTTTTTGACAAGCGCAAACTGAACTTCCAGACGAATCCGGTTTCTGGGACGAATACGGGAGTGACAACAACCATTCATTTGAATAGGGCGCCATCTTGGATCGCCGGGGCTTGGTTATTATGTCGCCATCTTGCAAGGTACATGTCATTTTAGTTTGTAGCGAGTATAAATACAGATATTTGGGTTAAAAGCGAAAAGTTTATTACTTACACCAGTATATAACTAACTTCATAGGGGATATAATTCTCAAAATGTTGAATGAAAAAGGATGGACAATAATCACCATGAGTACCACTGTTGTTTCTGCCTTTATTAATGAGCACAACATGGTTACATTTACAATCAATTACCCAGTAGCCCTGAGTAAAAGTACAGTATTTTTCTTACATTGAATTTTACTTCTCACTCAACATTCTAGAAGGTTCCAGAAATAATACTTCATAGTCTCTGCATACTGTAAAGTGTGGGGCACAACTTTAAAATGTTGGGACAATACAATATGTATTACTGTATTGGGTATTTTCTCCTCTGCTGATCTTGTGGTGGCCTAGTATAAAAACAAAACACAACTTATTTTTTTTAAGGCTTTACATTACCACATAATAAAAGCATTACAGTGATTACATTACTTCTGTAACACTTTACTCCCAACACTATTTCTGTATACTTTATTCAAAGCCTTCAATGTCATTTGTATAATGCATAATTTCCATCAAAAGTATCGATAAAACCCCTCTCTCTGTATCCACCTGCCCTTTGAAATGTGTTGACAGGTGGTGCATATGGTAATTATCAAAAATAAAGGATATATGGGTCAGAGATAGCAATTGTTTAGTAGTCAGCAGAAACTGATTACAATGCTAATGGAACAACTCTCATGATGGTTTCTTGCACCAGAAAAGCTGTTTCCAAGCTTGTCTGATATTTCTTCATTTCTTTATTAACGTTAAATACTCAAATGACATCATGGTACTCTCTTTTATACATGTAGAATCCCAAAAAAACATGTTGTTTTACATATGATAACAAAACACTTGAATTGAACACACACACAGTGTTATTGGTTATATGGATTGTACCGTGACCTTCGATGGTGATATTGTTATTTGGTTTTGTTGAATTGTTTTAATAAAAGGAAAGACTTTTTCAGTAAAAGCGTAGTAGAAGGTGTGAATGTGTGTGTTGGTTTGTGCGTCTGAGAAAGAGATGCTTCCTCTGTCCATGTCCAGGTCCACCCTGATCCTCTGAAGCGGATTCTTCAGTGTAAGAACCTTGTCTATGTGAGGTGGAGCATACGCAGTGTAGTGATCTTCTTTGAACCAAATTTCCCAGTATCCACACGATATGTCTCCTTTACGAGGGGCTGATTTAGTTATGACACCAACTGCCCAGTTTCCTTTTTTTTGAACATCCACCTCCCAACGATGTTTCCCAGTCGTGAACCCCTCGTTCCCGAGCGCATTGAGATAATAAATAAACCTCTCAGGGTTTTCTGGGACCCATGGAAGCTCTGGTGCTTCATCTGTTTTTATGTTTGCACAGTGCACACTGCACAGATCATCAGACGTAAACAAGGATCTGTTTGCAGTGTTTGGATCCAGCACGACTGGAGTGTAGGACACCAGATCCTTCATCTGGTTCCAGATGTTAAACCCCAGGTTGCCCAGATGTTTGGCCACATCCACCAGAGCCCCAGAGGGCATTTGTGGAATAACCTTTAAAGGGGCCTCCTGCACTCGTCTCACTGCACCGCTGTATGTCTGGAGGAATGTGACATCACTAGTTTTGAGCTCCTCCTGTGTTTGTCTGATGCTGTTTGACAGAGTGTCCATCTCTTCAGACAGAGCAGTGACGTTCTGCTCCATCAGGCTGATCTTCTGCTGCACCTCAGTCCTCACAGCCAGTACCCGCTCCTGCTCTTCCTTCTGCAGAAAGTCTCTAATTTTGTTAATTTCCTTCTGAATGAGCTTCTCTGTGCGGTCGCCCTGCTGTCTGATGTACTCACTGGTCTGACACCAGTGGTGGATCACATCACTGCTTTTCTGCAGTCTGTCTTGTAGGGGCAGCAGACTCTTCTGCAGCTGCTCCCTGTAGTCCTGTGCCATTTCATTGATGGGCCTGAACTTGTGCTTGTGATGTGCTCTGGAATCTCGACAGACCAGACACACAGGCTGTTGATGATCCAAACAGAAGAGCTGTAGTTTCTTTGTGTGACGTGGGCAGATGGCGTCTGTCTGAGAGGGCTGCTTCAGGCTCAGCTGCTGAGAGAAGGTGTCACACAGGTTCTTAAGGGCCAGGTTACACGGAGGATCTGTCACGGAGGAGCACCTCTTACAGACTGGACACGGCCGAGTCACATTCTCTCCCCACCAGTTCTGCAGACAGGCCTTACAGAAGCTGTGGCAGCACGGCAACACCACAGGGTTCTTGTAGACCTCCAAGCACACTGGGCAGCTGAAGTCCATGTCTGTGAATGAAGCCATCTCTGTTCAAGCACAATAGAAGGACAAACTCATGACCATGAAATTTGCCCCAACACTGAGCTTATTTAGGAGTAAACTCACACACATTGTTTCAAACGTTCTAGTGAAATGTAATGTCTGAGGTTGTATTCACCTTTGTACGTCTTTGTACATCTTTGAAAATAAAACTGCACCGACCCTGTTTCCTGTTTGTTGGTATTGACGCACAGGGAAATTGAAAGCCATGAGCTTTTTTACAACACATAACACAAAGATAAGACACTACAAAGGTGACTTTAACGCAAGCATATGATTCAAATTCATACATGAAGCGTGGTATGTAATCCAAATCTTAAAATGCTTTCACTTTTCAACAAGACTTGAGAAATAGTTAATGTGTCCTCATGTAAACCATAAACCTTACAAATGTATACACAATGGCACAATGTTGTATTTAGTTTTATGAATGAACTTACTGCGTCCTTCTGTTTTGTCTACTCCCAGAGTTTGATTCTGTCGCTTTCTTTGCTGGTTCCTTGTTGTGTGACAGAATGAGGGTGGAGCATCAGACCTGTCATTTGAAATAGGAACTAACTGTTCTTTTTTTCTTTTTCCTTGGCAGGAAACAAACCCGACTGCATTGGCTCAATGTGCTCTGACAGTAAAGGAATGTCAACAGATTCAATCAGAGGTAGTATCACCTCGACTAGTGTAACATGAGAAAACACTTCCCAACCATTCAACACATATCTATTCGTGCATGTTCATCCCTTTTTTCCATTTCAGGGTTGCAGGGACTTCCCACTCGACACTTTCTCCAACTCCAGCGTGTCCTGGATCTTCTGCAGGGTCCTGATGGGAAGTGGTCTCCTCATGATGGGCCCCCTCCCGCCAAAAGGAGACATAAAATTGATCTGTTTTGAGGATTTGTGAGATAAGTGAGAAAAGTCCAATATTTGTGTAGGCAACACACTAAATAATGATAAACTAATGTAATCTGCTAGTAGTATTTAAATGTTTGGTTTGAACTTGACTTGCAAATCCAAATCTAATCTCTTTTTAATCTCTTTTTAATTTTCAAACATGTTCATGGCATACTAGATTCAATAGTAATGTTCCATTTTTCTTTTAATTTTTCAAAACAAAGCCAGTAGAAGACTGGACACAATATGATAATAACAATATGTATGAAGCCCAATGTTGACTCGTGATGATCAAAGCACTCTGGTATATTTAATCTATGTCGACAACATGCTTCCCATTCCTACTAGTGCTTGATGGTGACCTCTGCTCTGCCAATAGCCATAATCCTATGAACTCAAGTTCTATGTATTTCCCTTATAATACATAAACACACGCCAGGAAGCTGGAATGTGTGCCATGTCATCAGCTCTGGAGATCAATAAATGATAGAGCTGTGTCCAAATCTCTTCCTCAACTGCAGGGGGTGCTCTAACAAAATTAAAATATCCCGCTAGGTAAAAATAATTTGAAAAAAAAGTAATGGTTTATAGTTCAGCGACTATGGTAATCATCATATAAAGACTGGTACAAAATGTAACCTCAAGAGCAAAATCAAAAGAGGTACCACTATATAACGGAGAAAATATTAAACTATTTCAAAGCCTCTGTTTAATGCTCAAAATTAATGTTGATTTGACCTCCTCTTGAGAGACATAAATAGCTGTTGTTGGGGGTCTTGGCTCACTGTACATGAGTCATACATGCTCTATGTACATTATATATACAGAGATATGTAACCGGAGTCGTACCCTCACCCTTTCTTACCCCTAACCCAGTTTCACAGAGGGAAGCTTTTAACTCCAGCCCTGAGCCAGCATACATTCCAGACCATGCTGAGCCATGCAGACGGCAGCAAGGCCATCAGAATGACAAGGTATTATACATATTTTTTCACACGTTTATTTGTTTTTGCTGTGGAAAAAAGGTGCACATTGGCATCAAAGCAAAAATATAGCTCATATTAAATGTCAAATTCCTTAACAGTTATCTTGAGCACAAAAATGAAATGAAAATGAGCTAAAACAATGTGTCTTAGTTGCTAACTTTATCACATATCCAATGAAATGCTGTCCAAACGTACTCAATCCCTCAGCTACAACCAGTGAATCCAGAGGCCCAGAGTGAACCCTCCGGCAAACCATCACCTTTTAGGCAGACGTCGTAAAAAACACATTCACAATCTTAAAAAGTGCTGAACAGAAATATAAATATGACAACAACAACAATATCAAAACAACAGTGATTAAAAACTGGAAAACCAATTCAAAATATTGCATCATTCTTGTCCTAGTTCTAGTAGTGGTTAATTTGATGTCATTTCTTCCAGACATGTAAACGTCAAATATACTGGTTGTTTGGTTATACCTAAAAACTCAACATTTAATGCCATGTCACAACAACATTCTGTTCATGTCTAATTCTACAAAACACATGAAATACATTGTCGACTCTTGTTATTTATGGATGAACTTCTGAAAATTATAATATGGTTTCAAAGTTAGGCTACCAGCCCTACTTGTCCTTCCAGTTACTCCGCTTTGGTAACTGGAACCGTGTTCTAGCAACCACAACATACCAGTATCTGGGCATAGGAACAGGGCCAAGCAGGCTCTAAAAAAGTACCTGGTATCGGATAAACAGAGTAGAGTAGATTAGAGAAGAATTAAGTACAGCAGTGTATTGTAGAGTAGTGTAGAGTAGTGTAGAGTAGTGTAGTGTAGAGTAGTGTAGTGTGTAGAGTAGTGTAGTGTAGAGTAGAGTAGTGTAGAGCAGAGTGTTGTAGTGTAGAGTAGTGTAGTGTAGTGTAGAGTAGTGTAGAGTACTGTAGAGTAGAGTAGAGTAGTATAGTGTAGAGTAGAGTAGTGTAGAGTAGAGCAGAGTGTTGTAGTGTAGAGTAGAGTAGTGTAGAGTACTGTACAGTAGAGTAGTGTAGAGTAGAGTAGTATAGTGTAGAGTACTGTACAGTAGAGTAGTGTAGAGTACTGTACAGTAGAGTAGAGCAGAGTGTTGTAGTGTAGTGTGTAGAGTAGAGTAGTGTAGAGTATTGTACAGTAGAGTAGAGTAGTATAGTGTAGAGTAGAGTAGTGTAGAGTAATGTAGAGTAGAGCAGAGTGTTGTAGTGTAGTGTAGTGTAGAGTAGAGCAGAGTGTTGTAGTGTAGTGTAGAGTGTTGTAGTGTAGTGTAGAGTACTGTACAGTAGAGTAGAGTAGTGTAGTGTAGAGTAGTATAGAGTAGAGTAATGTAGAGTACAGTACAGTAGAGTAGTGTAGAGTACTGTACAGTAGAGTAGTGTAGAGTAGAGTAGTATAGTGTAGAGTAGAGTAGTGTAGAGTACAGTACAGTAGAGTAGTGTAGAGTACTGTACAGTAGAGTAGTGTGGAGTACTGTACAGTAGAGTAGTGTAGAGCAGAGTGTTGTAGTGTAGTGTAGAGTAGAGCAGAGTGTTGTAGTGTAGAGTAGTGTAGAGTACTGTACAGTAGAGTAGTGTAGAGTAGAGTAGTATAGTGTAGAGTACTGTACAGTAGAGTAGTGTAGAGTACTGTACAGTAGAGTAGAGCAGAGTGTTGTAGTGTAGTGTGTAGAGTAGAGTAGTGTAGAGTACTGTACAGTAGAGTAGAGTAGTATAGTGTAGAGTAGAGTAGTGTAGAGTAATGTAGAGTAGAGCAGAGTGTTGTAGTGTAGTGTAGAGTAGAGCAGAGTGTTGTAGTGTAGTGTAGAGTGTTGTAGTGTAGTGTAGAGTACTGTACAGTAGAGTAGAGTAGTGTAGTGTAGAGTAGTATAGAGTAGAGTAATGTAGAGTACAGTACAGTAGAGTAGTGTAGAGTACTGTACAGTAGAGTAGTGTAGAGTAGAGTAGTGTAGAGTACAGTACAGTAGAGTAGTGTAGAGTACTGTACAGTAGAGTAGAGTAGTGTGGAGTACTGTACAGTAGAGTAGTGTAGAGCAGAGTGTTGTAGTGTAGTGTAGAGTAGAGTAGAGTAGTGTAGAGTACTGTACAGTAGAGTAGAGTAGAGTAGTGTAGAGCAGTGTTGTAGTGTAGTGTAGAGTAGAGTAGAGTAGTATAGTGTAGAGTAGAGTAGTGTAGAGTAATGTAGAGTAGAGCAGAGTGTTGTAGTGTAGTGTAGTGTAGAGTAGAGCAGAGTGTTGTAGTGTAGTGTAGAGTGTTGTAGTGTAGTGTAGAGTACTGTACAGTAGAGTAGAGTAGTGTAGTGTAGAGTAGTATAGAGTAGAGTACAGTACAGTAGAGTAGTGTAGAGTACTGTACAGTAGAGTAGTGTAGTGTAGTGTAGTGTAGTGTAGAGTAGAGTAGAGTACTGTAGAGTAGTGTACAGTACAGTAGAGTAGAGTAGAGTACTGTACAGTAGAGTAGAGTAGTGTACAGTACAGTAGTGTAGAGTAGAGTAGTAGTAGTATACAGTATACGCTACACTATATGATTATGGCTTAGTTTTTTATATAAAATATGTGTCAAATGTGTAATGAATCTATCATATATTAGTTTACCATTATACATTGAATTAAAATGTAAGTATTTACAATGTAAGTATTTATGCACTTTTGAATGACACTTTACAGACACTGAAGGACCTATCATAAGACTCTTTACACTCTGATACACCGTAGTTACATTAAAATACATAAATAATGGTTTAAAATGTGGGTAATGGACTGTCCAGCAGATCCAAGGTCAGCAGAGTCACACTAAGTAGTCAGCTGTCACCATGAGAAGGCGCTCCTCGGCTCCTGTCAATCATCCAGGAGCCCCATTGTCTGCTGACACCTCATTCAGATTCAGCAGCCAATCACACAATCCCAAACCTTTTATTTTCAGCGTCACACCTGTCAAAAAACATAAAAAACACATGTGAGCAATTCAGACAGATGTATCAGCTTAAGCCATGTTTCCACTAACTCAATGCTCTACGCTACTAGGCTCTACTCTTCTAGGCTCTACTCTACTAGGCTCTACTCTACTAGGCTCTACTCTACTAGTCTCTACTCTTCTAGGCTCTACTTTACTAGGCTCTACTCTACTAGGCTCTACTCCACTAGGCTCTACTCTACTAGGCTCTACTCTTCTAGGCTCTACTCTTCTAGGCTCTACTCTTCTAGGCTCTACTCTACTAGGCTCTACTCTACTAGGCTCTACTCTTCTAGGCTCTACTCTTCTAGGCTCTACTCTTCTAGGCTCTACTCTACTAGGCTCTACTCTACTAGGCTCTACTCTACTAGGCTCTACTCTTCTAGGCTCTACTCTTCTAGACTCTACTCTTCTAGGGTCTACTCTTACTAGGCTCTACTCTACTAGGCTCTACTCTTCTAGGCTATACTCTACTAGGCTTTACTCTACTAGGCTCTACTCTACTAGGCTCTACTCTTCTAGGCTCTACTCTTCTAGGCTCTACTCTTCTAGGCTCTACTCTACTAGGCTCTACTCTTCTAGGCTCTACTCTTCTAGGCTCTACTCTACTAGGCTTTACTCTACTAGGCTCTACTCTATTAGGCTCTACTCTACTAGGCTCTACTCTATTAGGCTCTACTCTACTAGGCTCTACGCTACTAGGCTCTACTCTACTAGGCTCTACTCTTCTAGGCTCTACTCTACTAGGCTCTACTCTATTAGGCTCTACTCTACTAGGCTCTACTCTACTAGGCTAAGTAAGCAAGTAAGTCATCTTTATTTATGTAGCGTCTTTCTCAGACCAGAGTCACAAAACGCTTTCCAATCGATTTTTTTTGTGGCATTTTTTTTGCACTCCACACAGAGAAGGGAGCGAGGTCGCCAGTACAGGAGGCGCATGCCAGACCTATTGTACATGTTTTTAGTGGTAGGGGAAACCGGAGCACCTGGAGGAAACCTACAGAGACATGGGGAGAACATGCAAACTCCCCTCAGAAAGATCCTGTTTCGACCGGGATTCCAATCCAGAACCTTCTTGCCGAGAAGCGAAAGTGCTATCCACTCAGCCACTGTGCCACCCATAGGCTGTACTCTACTAGGCTCTACTTGGCTCTACCATACGCTACCCTACTCTACTCAAGGAAAGGCAAATTTATTATTATAGCACAATTCATACGTAAAGCAACTCAAAGTGCCCAACTTTACTCTGCTCTACTCTATGTTACTCTACTCCACTCAGGTTTACTCCACTCTACAATTACGCTGTAGTATCTGGTACCATCTTCAAGCAGTCTACCCATGAGAAACCCATGGAAATTCCTTGGTAACCATGGCTTCCAGCAGCACTCTCGGCTTGGATAGAACCAGAGGTACTAAAATGGTTCTTGTTTTAGGTCTGGTGGAAATGGGGCTTTAGTCTACTCACATTTCCTATCCTATCCGGTTGTGTTTATGTGAATCTGACTTCTCACTCTGCTTTAAATGACAGCTCCTATAAAAAGCCCCTGACCCGGGTGCCACGGCGACCTGACTCCTGAAGGCCTGGAACAGCTGAGGCTCACCACTGTACTCAGAAACAGTCCCGTGGAACCGGACTGAACCAAGTCCTCACACCCCACTGCTGGTACATGCAGCACTGGCTAAAGCTATTTGTTGGATGTGTTGTAATGGCTTCCTGAAATGTGGTGCATACAACTATTGTCACTACTGGAACCAACTGTTGTTTTAAAGCAAGTTACAGAAAGGACTTAAAGGGAGATTTGATGAGAGAGAGTATGAGAACCATTCCTTTCATATTCTAATAAAGTTCCAGCACTCGATAAGTTTTAATATTTAGATTATTACTCTTTGATCAAAGTGACATTTTACTGCCAGATAGGGGTGGACAATGTTGACAAAACAAATTCCATTTGGGAGTCTGCTCTGGTTCTGGAACTAACATTTCCATTCCAAATCCACATAAGAGTTTTAATATTAAATACAAAGAGATGAAGAGGATGCGATAGAGGCTAGCTAGCTCTACGTGGTGACTATTAACCAAAGCAGAAATGAAAACAAAAAAAGTCTGTGTAATGTGTTCTTAACTTTGCAGATTCTGAAGTCTTGTGTTCATTATTCACAAACTGTTATTTTCCCTTTGAGAAAAATATGTATAATTTTTCATTTCGGAATGATGAGGTGTGCAGACAGTTCCCAATAACAACATTCAGCTGTTGATGTCCAATGTTGATATAATGACTCAGCGCACATTCCTGCTTGAGTGTGTTTATGAGAACAGCAGAAACGACACAAGGTTTTGTTTTTGAATATGTGATTAGGGCTATTGTCAGAGCAGAGTTTATAGACTTATTATTTTGACTCCATCAAGTTTCAGTAGGGATATTATTGTCAAAATAGATTGGATTTATCAGAGTGTCCAGACTTTGTCAACACGAGACAATAGTGGGTTAAAACATCTCGTCATTAAATCTCATTGTGTCCAGTTAAACATTTGTCTATCTGTTTTGATTTGCTCCATCAACTAAGTTAAGAGTAAGATGTGGCCTATATGTGGACAAAATGTACTTTATTATTATTATTATTTCTAATACTTGGGTGGTTCAATGTACAGTACAGTATATATAGGTGTGCTTAACAGTCCAACAAGTTCTGCGATAAAATTTGAATACATTTTCTCAATCCTGCTCTAACTCACAACACCACAAGCTCACCTGTTCATCTGTGCTCCACCACAAAGCTCATGGTGGTCCCATCAAAAGAGGGCGGAGCGATGATGCGGGGACCCTGGTGCGGGGTCGAGATGCTGATGAAGGGCTGCTTGAGCGCCGAGTACCCCTGGGGCGTCCTGCTCACCGAGGCCGGAGCCGCCTGCGGAGACTTCCCCGTGGCCAGGTAGTATGGACTCTCCATGTAGGGGGTCTCGCTCTGCTGAGGTGGGGTCTTATCCGGGGGGTCCGAATGCACCGACATCTGCGACTGGACTAGGGTGCGGGCCGGGATGACCGTTGGGGACATGAACCCGGGGTAGAGCATGTAAGTGTGTGCGTATGCCCCAGGGCTTAAGGCTAAAGGAGACATAGGCATGGGCGTCATGGGAGCTTGGGGCAGCGGTACATCCACATACTGTCCAGTCTCTGGGTCAAATAGCCGCTTGCTAGTGGGCTGGACCGGCGTATCGACTAAATAATAGCTTCCCGTCGTTGGGTCTAGCAGCATTTTCCTTTGCGTGGGTTGAAAATGATCCAGAGATGGCACCGGAGTAACCGCTGGGGAGAAGCAGTAGACTTGGCTCGTCGGGACACCCATCGATAACGAATGGTAGATGGCCTGCGTTGGGGTTTCTGGTTTTTCTTTGATCACACTGGTGTCCTGGTAAATAGCAGTCCGGGCCGGTCCAGGTGGGGTGCGAGATTTAAAGGCGTACACTGATGTTTTGTCAGGGGGCGGGGCTTGTGGAGGTGGAGGTTTGACAGGTATGGTGAGATAGTTCTCGTGGTCGGACATGGCTTGCTCCAGGTTGCGGTTACGATCTTCTTCTTTATTAGCGTCGGCTCGGTCTTGTCCGCCGCTGAATCGTCCTGGAATGGTCCTCTTGGATGTAGGCAGCTTGGGTGCGTTTGGAGTGAACGTCTTTGCGCCGAAAGGGGATCTCGTTGCTCGGTTTTGTGTTTTCACAGCCTTCATAACAAAGCTGTCATCGGGTACACTACTGCTATGGCTTACCTGCTCATCACGCCTCACCAAATCCACCTTCTCACTAACGGACTCTCTAGCCAGAAACTTTTCCTGACCCTCAAACGCGATTAGGGGATGCACCTGACTATCCGTGACTGAATTAGCCTCACTTTTCCGTTTCCACTCATTCTTCTCAAACACATACAGCTGCTCCATTGTCTTCACAGCTGCTTGTAACTTATCAAAAGCCACCTTGCTGCTTACTGGATCTGACTTTTTGTCTACATTGTCCTTGTCTGGTTTCCAAGCTGCCAACTTACTATCAACTTTAGAGCCATATCCTCCATCAGCAGAACTAGACCTCCCACTTGCTTTAAACTGGGTCTCTTTGGCGCCCTCTGGTGTCGCTCTGTCAAAGTCTTCCCCTTTGCACAAGTCATACACGTTCTCTGCATGTTTCCCGTTATTATTTGTGTTTACAGATTGACATTTGATGACAATAGGTGACACTGATGTAGAGCTTCTGTCTGACGTCTGCTTCTTAGTCTCTGTTTGCCTATCAGAAGTCGCAAACGTTGTTTTATTCTCCTGATTATTATCCACAGTCACGAAATGATAGGAGCTTTTCACCAGCTTTCTAACATCTCTAACCTGGTGTATGGGCGTCTGGAGCTTGCCTTTATTGTCTCGTATATCTCGGACCATAAAATGTGGAACTTTATCCGAGCACTCACCCTTCAGAGCCAGAGCCAGAGATTTGCAGTCCTCGCTCCGGGTGCAGCCTATATTGGGTGCGCGTAATCGACTCACACCGAACGGCTCGCTCTTACCGCTCCGCAGGTTGATTTTGATTTCAGGGGACTTCGCTATGACATTCCTGGAATCTGGCACGAGCAAAGCACCACTGTCCATCCGTGGGTCTTCGCTGGAGACACTGGGCAAAAACAAACTGGACATTTTGGTAAATTTAACTCCACTCTGACCAGCGTCGTTCGCTCCGAGCAGCGCCTTCTCCGGAGCGCTTTTACGATCCTTTTGAAACTCTAGCTCCTCGTCCTTCCAGCATCTGAAGGCGCTATTTTGGCTATGGAGCAGCGTGCTTTTAGACGCTTCCAATGCGCCTTTTTTAGTATCGATTCCAACTTCATTCACACGCTCCAAATTGGTTTCCAACGCAACAGAGTCCTGCCTGGTATCACACGAGCCGCTGTCCACCAGGTCCCCCAATTCATCCATGCACAATATTGCCAGCTCAGAGCTACTGTCTGAATATTTAGAGCTCTGCCTCACCAGCTCTATGCTTCCTCTGCTGATCTTTCCCGTCTCCTCCTGCGCGTTTGGCTCACAGATTTCACCTCGTTCCATTTTGCGCTCCTGCTCAAACTGCATCTTCTTTGAAATAACATTTTTGATTAGACTAGACGCGAATATGGCTTTCTTCTGCTCCATGGTGCTGGGACAGGGCGGCTTGCTGGCGGCCCCTAGTCTCCACTGCCTGCCCCCTGCCACTGCGCTGGTAATTTCATCCTTGGAACGTGATCTGGGGGCTGTTGAGCTTTGGGCAAACATCGGGGGTCTCTCAGCGCCGGACACTCCAACATTGCAGCGGAAATTGAGCGTCTCTGTAAGGCGTATCACTCCGCTGTGGCCCTGCCCCAGTGTCCCCATGAACGTCTGGGGGTTCCCATTGAGAGTGAAGCCTGTGAAACTTCTGTTCCCCAAACTCTGTCTTGACACCACTCGCTTGTCCACATTCCCGTACTTTAAATCAACAAAAGACCACTTCTCTGACGCAGACGACTCACTGGACGTGCTGAAGTTGATCGTGTCGAAATAGGGGTACGCTAAACTTTTAAAAGCCTTGGCTGTGAGGTTACGCACTTCTTTGTCTGCGTCGTCCAGCTCACTCACAGCGCTGGAGGTCCCACTGGAGTCGGCCTTCTCTTTGCCGCGTAATTTGGTGCCAAAGTGGACCCTTCCTGGAGCCGCTATAAAACACTTGGCCGCGTCCCTGTCCACTCCCCTGAAGAGGTATCCACTCACCAGGTTGTCCCCCCCGGCCCTGGAAGTGGTCCTGATTGACAGGTGGATCTGCTGCTGCTGAAGTGGCTGGGTCTGACCACTGGGCACATGTGGGCTGGTCAGCTTCTCACCCTCAACTTTGTTTGCGTTTGGCTCAAAGGCGTCATAGTCCACAAAGGAGAACACCTGGTTGTCCTCCCAGCCCACGCCCACGTCGTTATCCCCCTCGTGATCGGACAGTTCAGTCAGTTGGATCTCGTGCGTGGTAATGTAATGAGACTCATCCTCCGCGACGCACGGTACGCCAAAAAGCAGCAAACTCACATTGTCATCTTCCTCCTCCTCTGCATCCTCCTCCTCCTCGCACATCTTCTCCGCGCTTTCGCCCTGCGCCTCTCCATCCTCCTCGTCCTTTAGCTGCCCCATGTCCCCGTCTTGTCTGCAGTCCACTTGCACGTAAGTGCGCTCGTCTGGGTCGTCGCCCCTGGCACAGCTTTGGAGCGCCCTCATAGCTCTGGACTCATAGCATTTGTTGAGTCCTAGACCAGGCGGTGATGACACGCTCCAAACATTCCCCCCTCAGCGCCACCAGTCCAGGGCTAAAAAGAGAAAGAGAGACATTACCAAGGAGCGTCTAAAAGGCCACGTGCATCAAGCGGGTTTGGCACTTTTACGCATCACTTTTACGCACGCGTCTTTGGTATTCCTTCTTGGCATAATAGTGGAGTTATAAGCAGCTCATCAGTGTCATATCATATCTGCAGACATAATATAATCCATTTGAAACACATTTAGCGACAGCATCACGTGTGTATATTTACTTTTTATAATTTGCAAGATTACTTAATTTAAAGTTTTGGAGCCGTCTATGTATACACACAACTCTGAAGGCATTGGAGAAATTCAGACTCACTGTGTGTCTGAATTAAAGTTTGAATAAGTAAATAAATATAAGCTATATTAGCTTCCTGGGAAATCCCTTTTACAAAGCACTTAAAACATTTAGTAATTAGTCTGGTATGACTTGTTTTTTGTAGATGAAGGGACTTGAATAGAGAAGTTTCAGCACAGTCCTTTTAATGCACTATTAAACCACAACCTTTATTTGTATAAAACTTTTCATACATAAAATGCTTCACATCTTATTTCATACACAAAGATTAAGATCACACTGGGCATAAAATAAGAATAACGAATAATCACAGTACATTATAAAGAGTGACGGTATACAATCCTTCAGTTGCCGGCGCAGCTAAACAGAACTGTTTTTAACCTGGATTTGAACACAGTCAGAGTGTGATACAACCGGTGTATTTTTAGTTGACTGTACACGACATGGATGTAGTGTCTCTATAGCATTTGGAGCAGGGAAGCCTTGAGGAGTAAAGCTACAGTAGCACCAAAGCACACAGGCATGGAGGAAATGCAGAGCTGGTACATATGAGCCACTGTATCTGGTGCCGTGTACAGATGGGTTTCTATTATGTCGTCAAGAGCAGTGGAGAAAACAACAAAAGATGCCAAAGTCTGGGATTGTGTGTCACAGAATGAGACGTGTTTAATTGTTGGTAAACGACACAAGTAGAGTTTTGCGGATCCACATGGTTGTATACAAGACAAAACAAGGACACTCCTCTCAGTATCTGCCATGGCGCTCGTAGATAACTTAGCTTAGACCCTCAGAAAGAACCAAAAAGTGGAAAAACACAAACTTCTGCAGTGTTGCCAATTCTTAACATATAGGTGCACCAAGAGATTCATAATAGTTCCATTTACCACTTTTACAACATTCAGACCACCAAAAAATATTTACCCTCTTTCATTCATTTTTAATCGTGACATTCAAGGCAAAGTATTATCTGTTTGTGAACCTAAAGCTACCGTGCCCTCCACTTAAAAATGACTATGGTTCCCTTTCAAAACACAATCTCTACTTAAAATTACAACTAATAATCATGATACGTTTTGAGCCTCAATTTTAAAAAGCCAAAATCAGTGAGGACAGGCATGTCTGTCATGCATGTTATAGAGTCTGGGTCCAGGACTGAGAGGGGCCGGTCTCTCAAAGAGTACATTTTTAACACTTAGAAGCCAATGTAGGAAAATGTAGGGAAGCCAATGTCGGAAAAAAGTACTGGGGTGATGTGATGACGTCTAACACATCACCCCAGTACTCTACCATGTAATCTGTAATACAATTTATTATATGACTTGGATCGTACGCGCGCCGATTTGCGGTCTGATATTTTCCCATCTCGGACCGTTACCATGACAATTGGTCCGCAGCGCGTATCAAATTTTATATCTTTACTCGGTAAAAAATAAATAATGAGCGATGACTGGGAGCATTCTCCAGTGAATTCTATTATCCGGACGAGTTCGAAGAGCCAGAAGACGTAATAACAGCAAATAACGACGAAAACACAACTCCTAACAGTCAAAATGAGATTGACAATTTCGTTACAGACCAGAACGCTAAAAACACGATTAGGAAAACCAAGATCTTTGTGAGCATACTTCACAAATATCTAAAAAGCATTGGTAAAGACACAGAAGAGATTGAGAACTTACCAGCGGGCGACGTCAATCATCTGATAAGCAAGTTCTTCATGTCACTATTTGACAGTTTGGTTGCATGTGTTTTTTCTTGTTGAAACCGATCGATATTTGCATAAATTTAAAATAGTCATATAATGTTTAATAAGCCGTTATTCCATCCATTTTCTACCGCTTAATCCATTTCTGGGTTGGGGGGTAGCAGTCAGTCACAGTTACTGACCCTCCTGCAGGTGGTGAGTCCACAGGAGTCTAATCAATGTATTCCAGGAACCATTTGGCATGCATTTTACAAGTAGCTTAAGCTGAATCATTTAATTAGCATTTCTCACAGTGCTAACAGTAGTGCTAGAGTCTTTTGAGGGTGGTCTTGGCCGACTCCCCAGCAGCTAGTTTTAAAAATACTCAAGCACCTGACAAGAGAGTAAGTGCTCTTTAGCGTTGCGTGTATGGACCATTGTGACGCCTCGCACTTTAGCACCTCTGCTTTTTACGACGTCCTGCACGGTCAGCTTGTCCACACTGGCCCATGGGTTATATAAGAGACAGAGAGTTTTGGTCCTGACCTCAGATCTGTTAGTTCATATTTCAACCTGAAAAGACTTGTACAGAATTATTGAACTGTGTTGGAATGATGTCTGTTGTGTTATGTTTGCATGAAGTAGATCGGATACTGCTTAATTTTGGCACTTAGAAGCTGGCAGATGTATGGTATGGTAAAGGTATAGAACTACTGACATACAGTACCTGGCAGGAGATTATGGTTTTGACCCTTCAGAATATCACATGACGTATGCGGGAGGGAATCTGAACAGAGATGGTGGAAGTCCGGTTCCCATTTGCTTTGAAGTACTTTGATTAATAAACATATATATACACATAGATACAGGTTTATAAATCATGTAAATATATATGTTTGGCTATAAGTTTGGCTGTGTGTGTGTGTGTGTGTGTGTGTGTAAGCGAAACCTCTACTCTGTACTAAACCAGCCAACTAAGACAAACTGGTTTACAACTACTGTATAGATAGATAGACAGCTACGTGTTTCATTGCTAGTATCCAATATGATAAAAATGGGAGGGGGAGCTTCCCTGTGCTCATAATGGCGTTGTTCCATGATTGTGATGTGAACAGGCCTAAATACCCTCAGCTAAGGTAAGACAATCTTCAGCACCACGGACAGCTCACTGCTCACCACTTCCATACCATTGTAACAATCAGAATCAGAATAATTTTTATTGCCACGTAAGTAACAGCAAGTCACAGACTTGGAAATTGCTTTGGCTCAGTGCAACAGTCAGAAAGAGATAATAAAAATAAAGAATAAAAAACACTTCTAAGGAATAAATTTAAATTTAAAATAGAGTTATATTACTATATACAATATACAAGTGCACATGGTGCACACAATGTAAGGTGACAGCAGTACAGTGAAGTAAAGTGACGTATGATGGGCAGTAAAGTGACTTTATAAAGGGCGGGGGGACAGGTTAAGAAGTGTTCAAGAGTCCAACAGCAGAGGGGAAGAAACTGTTCTTGTGGCGGGAGGTTCTAGTCCTGATGGACCACAGTCTCCTGCCTGAGGGGAGTGGTTGGAATAGTCCATGTGCAGGGTGAGAGGGGTCGGCTGTGATACGACCAGCCCGGCCTCGAGCTCGGGCGACGTACAGGTCCTGCAGCGATGGAAGGCTGCGGCCGATCACTTCCTCTGCAGAGCGCACAATGCGCTGTAGTCTCTGTTTGTCCCTGACTGTGGCTCCAGCGAACCACACGGTGATGGAGGAGGTGAGGATGGACTCGATGATGGCCGTGTAGAACTGCACCAACATCTGTGCAGGCAGCTTGGCTTTCCTGAGCTGCCGCAGGAAGTACATCCTCTGCTGGGCCTTCTTGATGAGGGAGCTGATGGGCGGCTCCCACTTGAGGTCCTGGGTGATGGTGGTGCCCAGGAAACGGAAGGACTCCACAGAAGTGATGGGGGAGTCCAGCACGGAGGGTGGGGGCGGGGGGACAGTGCTCTTCCTGAAGTCCACAATCATCTCCACTGTCTTCTGGGCGTTCAGCTCCAGGTTGTTACCACTGCACCAGGACACCAGCCGTGATCAGAGACATTCGAGACAAGACAGATTTAGTTAGCACTTCCAAGAGCAAGAAGGTTCCTGGTTCCACCTTTTTTATGTTTTCATTATTTATAGACTGGCTTAAAGGTCCCATATAATGCTTTTCAACTTTTCTCTGCTTTATTCATAATCTATTTTCATGCTATTTGTACTTCATACACATGCCCAAAGTAGTTTTTGTATTGATTCCTTCAAGCTCTAGTTAGAGAGCAATCTTTCTCTTTCATTCTCGAGAGGCAGCAAAATAACTCGATTTAATTCGTGACGTAGCACCAATTTGCCTCCAGGACGTGATTGACAGCAGGGAGAAACTGAAACAGCAAATCAGCGCAGTCAAAGGAGCACAGATCCAGCCATTTCGAGTATTTGAGTGTTGTGTGGTGTATCACCCAAATTATTATTACAAACATGCTTAAAGTGCATATGACAGATTAGGGTACCAATGTCACTTAAATGTCGATAACACAATCATATTTATTATTAAGGTTGAAATATATATAAAATATAAGTAATATTAACAGTTTATTACATTTTATGTGAAAATATTTACTTCCGCATTCCAACCCGGTTCCAAGCCCTACGTTACGTAAGGTACACAACACATTGCTGTATATTATATACAGTATAACAATGGAGCGCGATGCATCACAACTGTTGTATGATGGACCTATTCCATACAATTTTGAGCCTGTTGTGATAGATCACAGAGAACGTGAACGCCCGAGAGTGAGGAATGATGGCCATAGAAGGGAAATTGAGCTTTGGTGTCAAGAAAATGAATGGCGAACAGGCCAATCATCTTGGTAATCTAGGCAGCGACAGCCGCGCAAAATTCTAAATTCTGTATAAAACGTAGCCTAACTTTATTACTTAAAACCATATATTGTTTAAATAGGGCATTGTCCATTCATGAATGCGCTCTTAAGATGTCTCACCCGCGGAATTGAGCGCATGGTTTAGTTCTATTAGCAGCAGACAAAGATAAAGACTGTACACTGGGCACGGCTCCTTCCGTCAGCCTCACATTGTTTCGACTTTTGAAGCCCATCTCCATTTCCATCAGATCTCCACTTAGATAGTCCTCTTTCTTGAAATGGGCTTCACAGATGACAGAGCTCGTGGTCACAGAGGCCGCGGTAAAGTCCTTCCTCTTCGTCTGTACAAAATTCACCCAGGCACGGAAAAGAGAAGACTTTTTTTTTCCTTTGGGAAAATAATGTACCCTGAATCCGGAAGATGAAGAATTCGTGCACCCTCCACACACACAATAGTTCACCATATTCACTAAAATAAACGACAAATTGACAGAAAATCCGATACCAGCTACTAGGGGTGATAGCAATAACTAGAGTAAGGCAAGTTCAAACTCCCTTACGCTACGTCACGTCACGTGACTAAGGATCACAAATAGATGTCTATTTGAGGCATTTTACAAACGAATTGTGTAATTTATTATTTAATGAGAACTTTTATCATTTTCATGGGGATGAAGGAATTATATGAGAGGGAAATCAAATGATTTATTGTATCTGTCATATGCACTTTAAGATGGGCGTTGAGACATGAAAAAGAGTTGAATATGGGACCTTTAAGGCTTGAATTTAAGCATAGAGCATTTATATGAACACTTAAGAAGAGGAGAAGTCTGTGATACAATGGGGGAAATACTCCAATCATCATATCATTTCTTCAATTCAATGCAGTTTTAATTTGTATTGCCCTAAATCACAATCGCAGTCGTCTTGGAGGACTTTCCAAAAACAGTTTGAACATAGGAAATGCAATTATAACAAATACATGGAGCCAATGGTCCATATGGAGTAGAAAAACCAATGTCCAAAAAATGTTAGTAAATGTTAATAAATGTCCTGGATCATCCATGTACTTAGACCCTCCTGCATAGAGAAGGAACCACTTCATATAATAATAATAATAATATACTGTACAAACGTGGTTAAAAACAGGGTGCAATTTAAAAACATTAGCATTATTAAAGATAGAAAACAACAGAACTGGGCGAGGGTGTTGGGGCAACTGGTCATGCGACTGGTCATGTGACTGGTCATGCGACTGGTCATGTGACTGGTCATGTGGGGAAAGAAAAGGTGGGTTTTGATACAGTCTATGGTTTTGAGACTGGATTCGAACAGGGGAATAGAGTCAGTATTGCGGAGGTCAGAGGGGAGTGATATCACCAAACACTTTACAATCAGTCATTCAAGTCTGATTATTAACAACCATTTTTTTCCCCCTTTCACTGCAGGACCAGTCTCAACACCACTCCCCCCCCCCACCCCCGTGTTACCCGGTAGAACCAGAGCAACCCGAGCCGCTCCTGGCCCGTGTGAGTGACACCCTGCTCTGCTTGTGTCAATACACCATGACAGCAGAATGCACACCCAACACTCCTATGTATTTTGATATCCGGCATGTGTCTGAGCAAAATAGCACATTTCAACAGCTCGCCGTGGTTGACCTGTTTTAAAATCAGTGCGATCGATCAGCAGCGTTAAATAAGAGTTCTCATTAAAGCTGATGCACTGATGGTTGCATTTATGCCATGACCAAAGTGTTGTTTATGGATGTTATAATCGGTGGAAGAAGCAGCAGTATAGAAACTCGATCCACCGTGATTAGTTTCACATTCAGCTCAGAGTGTAAACTATTTTAATAAACACCTGCTTCATTACATTATCCGACCGATGGACACTCGCCGGACGCCAAGCTGTTTAAGGTGTCGCCTACGCACACTTTAAACTTGAATATATGCATTTTTTGTTTGGTTAAAGAAGATGTATGAAGCAAAATTGGTTTTGTTGTACCACCATGACATCACACTTTTAAAACAAAAGTGTTGCCCATATTAGTTTTCTCAGGAGAAATTATGCCCTTTACAATCGCACTAACTAGCATTGCCGATACAAGTATGTGCGGGGATGCAGGTTTCCTCCAGGTGCTTCGATATACCATTAAGACTAATTTAACTATATTGAAATATTCTATGCATTGTACCATGCAAGTAAGTCATTCATTCAATTCAATAAAAATTTTTTGCAAAGCCCTAAATCACAACAGTAGTTATTGCATCGGACTTAACAAAGTTGTCGATTCGCCAGAACACAGATAAGAGAATCAGAGAATAATCTGACATAGAACGTCATTAGAAAACAATAGATTCAGTGTACATTATTTCACTTTAGAAATATCACAATAGTTATGTTTTTGTTCTTACGATTACAGCTTATTTTGTCCCTTTATTTTGCAAAAAAAAATTCATGGTAATGCAGCGAAATAACAGAACAATCCATTAAGTACAGATTAGAATGAAGAAAATAAAAATCGTATAGACGCCTACCTCATTCTTGACCTATTATTCTTGACATTGCATTGAGGTGGAATCATTGCGACATCATTAAAAAAACCAAACGTTTTACATTTGAACATTTTGTAAGCTTTTGCACACTCAAATTGTTTTTAAAAATGTTTAACTGATCATGTTCCACCGCTGTTCTCTGGTCTGGCTGTCAGACGTCAAGGCTCTCGAAGGCCTAACACCAGAGCCTCAGTCAGTGGGGACTGTCTGGTTCCTAAGTTCAGAACATCGTTGGGACAGTCCAGCTTTTCCTTCAATGGAGCCAAACTGTGGAACGCTCGTCCCACTGACCTAAAACTACAAACAGACTTAAACATCTTCGTCAGACGTCTGAAACTGTGGCTGAAATCACATGATTAATTAACTGTCTTTTTAATTAATTTTATATTTGTACATTTTAAATGCGTGCATTTGTGTTCTAAAAGCCTTCTATGGACAAGTGTTGAAATTTAGCATGGTCTTGCTATAACACTAAAGGCAGTGCATCTGGTCTGTCCAATGCAACTGTTGTGTCCATATCAAAAAAAAAGAAAAAGAAAGCAGAGTCGGAGCTGGCGTCCACTCAGTCCCAGTTAGTCCCAGAGGCATCTCCCCCTCTCTGACCCTAACTGACCCTCACTGAGCCTCCTGTGTCTGTGGGACGATAAGGACTCCACACGAGGGGTCAGTCTCCCATCACCTCGCTGACCTTCCCTGGAAGCACAGCACCCACTGACTGGTTAAGTAGTGTGGATATGTGGCCTCAAATGTGGATTATTCAGAAATGCATTTTAATGTTCCTCAAAACATTGAAACTGTCCCGTGGTGAGATGAAGGAGGACTCAAAAGCAGGAATGCCAAAATAATAATTTCATTAAACCAAATTCAGGCATAATCTTTTCAAAATCCAAAGTAACCAGGAACAGGACAGAACTTGACAAGACAATGAACCATGTCAAAATAAAAACCAAATGGCCTAATCTGATATATTTTCACGGGCACATGTTGGTAAACACAAATAAATAATTACAACACAACAGATTTAGATTTTAAGACCAGAGTCAGAACGTATTAATCTCTCACTCCACAGAGATGGGAGCGGGGTCGCCAGTACAGGAGGTGCATGCCAGACCTATTGTACAGTACATGTTTTTAGTGGTAGGGGAAACCGGAGCACCTGGAGGAAAACTACGCAGACACAGGGAGAACATGCAAACTCCTCACAGAAAGGCCTGGAGGTGGAATCGAACCAGGACCTTCTTCTGTGACGCACATGCTGCATCTATGCCGACACATACAATCCTTGTAGATGAATAAGTCACTAATGCATTAGGACTGATAAAAACCAGCACTGCTGTCAAGAATGAAGCAGACAGAGACGGATCGTGGTGCGCCAAACTCTGGAAGTTTATTTAAGTTACTCTCAAGTTCCAGTGGTTTCAATTGTTTCCTTCTCTCAGACAAAATGGAGTGAGTACACAGTTTATATAGTCATTGTCACGTCACACATCGAAAGACATACGTGTCACGCAGAGACAGTCACATCATAGTCAAAACATGGATACACAGTCAAGAGTCCTTGTACAGTCCTGCACGTAGGCCATATTGCTATCTAATACTGATACTGCTATTGCCACTTTTTCATTGTACATAATTATATCCTGCACAGACTATATGTTTAACCTTTAACATGTTGGACACTTAACATCTTATCTTATGTTACTCATTAGTTTTCATTATAGCCTCAGTTATAGCCTCAATCTCATGGAATACCAACAATATTAGCTACAATCGCTACTAGTCACTTTACCTGTTGATATTATTATTACTGATGGTTTTTCTGCTCATATTCTCCGCTGCTAAAGTACAATATCTGTAAATACTTCTGAACCACAGGCGTTTATAGCTTTATTTTATTTTATACCATGTTATTACCTTATTTGAATTATATTGTCTATTATCTTAAATAATAGAGTCTGTTTGATGTGTGCAATCTGAGCGCTCTTATTTCCTTCTTTCTCTGCTGTAATGTGCACAACAATGACACTGAAATTTCTCCACTGTGGGACAAATAAAGGAATATCTTATATTAGCTCCAATATTAGCTACAACTACAACACAACACAATAGAGCTTATTCTCTCAGATCCTCAGTAGCAACAGGACGGTCTTAATAAGCCTGTGGACGTGCTAAGGCTTGCCGAGTAAACAGGAGCTCTGATAAGTGCACTTAAAATACATTCCGGATCATGTTTATTATTCCCATGTGTCCATTTCAGATGCGTCCGCAGGCGCCGCCGCTCTCCCAGGTGAAACCCAGGGCCCAAACACCCATAAAGCCCTCACAAACACAGAGTATAATTAGACTTCTATTTCAGTGATGCAGCTTCGGTTACCTCTGAGTCCACAGGAAAACGGCTGGCCCTCAAAGCTGACAGCCCATTCGTCAAACCGGATTAAGGAAGTGGCAGTAGTAGCTAACGAGATATGAGAAAAGACACATGTTTAAAAGGGGGCGGGGGGGTGCCATGGGAACCGGGCGGAGGTCACGCAGGCTAAGTCAATTACTTGTCTTATTAAAATGAGCTGGTTGTGAGGAGAGATGTCTTGTTTAGCAGCTATGGGGATGTAATTCTCAGCTTTATTATGGTATAGAATCACCATTTACTACCCCCACCGAGAGGCCAGCTTACATAGATAAAGTTATTATTATCCTCAGCTGGCAGTGGCCTCTCGATGCAGATGGATGGATAGTCAATGTAACCAGATAGAATTTTAACAAAACCAAGAAACCATATGTCGATAACAGCGGCTTAAAGTAGTATCTTACAGTCCGGCGATTATGGTTTGTTAGATGTGGATAGATGTATTTACCAGATTTATTCTTTTCATTTTCATTTTTTGGGGATTTTTTATTGTTGTTGTACAGTGATAACACCAAACTTACTCATTATTCCTTGTTGAACAACTGGGTAATAACTTCTATAAACATTATTATCTACTATTTGAAAGGTATAGTGTATTTTACAAAATTAAGATACAAATGTTTTGTAAAGAATCCCAGAAGGAGGCAAGTCCCTGTGCTCCTCAGAGTCCCAGCAGGAGGCCAGTCCCTCTGCTCCTCAGAGTCCCAGCAGGAGGCCAGTCCCTGTGCTCCTCAGAGTCCTAGTGGGTTCTAATGGCACTAACATGTCTAGGATATACTTTAAGGCCATGGAGAGACTTGTATCAATCAAACAGAGCTGCTTCTATTCTCTGAGCCTCAGGAGCCAGTGCAGAGACCTGAGAACTGGACTAATGTGATAGAACTTCCTGGTTCTAGTCAGGACTCGAGTTGAATCTGTTACAGTAGTCTAACCTAATATAGAGACAAATGCATGGATAAGAATCTCAAAATCTGCTCTCGACCCTATATCTGTGAAATAAAACATTGTGCATCATAACTTTCTACAGTTGTTTATTCCCCTGCCTCATGTAAAATGTTGGGTGAACTCTCTAAGTGCCAAACAAACAGGAGCTAGTGAATATATTCGTCACATAGTGCATCATTTCTGAGTGGTGTTAAATCATTTTCTGTGAGTGCAGTGTAACCAGAGACAGACAAGAGAGCAGCGCTAATAAGCACCAGTGATGGGCTTACCATGTGGATCTGCAGGAGGAGGAGGTGCTGAGGTCACATCTGTGGCTCTGCAGGAGGAGGAGGTGCTGAGGTCACATCTGTGGATCTGCAGGAGGAGGAGGTGCTGAGGTCACATCTGTGGATATGCAGGGGGAGGAGGTGCTGAGGTCACATCTGTGGATCTGCAGGGGGAGGAGGTGCTGAGGTCACATCTGTGGATCTGCAGGAGGAGGAGGTGCTGAGGTCACATCTGTGGCTCTGCAGGAGGAGGAGGTGCTGAGGTCACATCTGTGGATCTGCAGGAGGAGGAGGTGCTGAGGTCACATCTGTGGCTCTGCAGGAGGAGGAGGTGCTGAGGTCACATCTGTGGATCTGCAGGAGGAGGAGGTGCTGAGGTCACATCTGTGGCTCTGCAGGAGGAGGAGGTGCTGAGGTCACATCTGTGGCTCTGCAGGAGGAGGAGGTGCTGAGGTCACATCTGTGGCTCTGCAGGAGGAGGAGGTGCTCAGGTCACATCTGTGGATCTGCAGGAGGAGGAGGTGCTGAGGTCACATCTGTGGATCTGCAGGAGGAGGAGGTGCTGAGGTCACATCTGTGGATCTGCAGGAGGAGGAGGTGCTGAGGTCACATCTGTGGATCTGCAGGAGGAGGAGGTGCTCAGGTCACATCTGTGGCTCTGCAGGAGGAGGAGGTGCTGAGGTCACATCTGCAGTCCGTGTTAACTCAGTAAGTAATTTTTTCAAGACGTTACGTATATTGAGCTCATGTTGTTTACGAGGAGCGACCACTAGAGGGCAGAGTTGGGGCAGAAACAGAAAACAGACCAAGACTTTTTCTATCGCGCATAAAAAACATAAATGTTAAAGATTTTTCTAATATTATGAACATTTTTATTATGTTTTGTGTTTAAAGGCACAAAATAAAACAATGTATTAATTACTTACATATCATTTACTTATATATTTTTTGACCAAAACATGATCTGACTGTACATAGAGGGGCATATTTTGAGAAAGCATTTCATTTGTTATTTACAGCTTTAATCTCCATCCATCCCATTTTCTTCCGCTTCATCCGTTGCTGGGTTACGGGGGCAACAGTCTAAGCAGAGACACCTTCACCTCCCTCTGCACACACCTCCTCCAGCTCATTCGGGGGAATCCTGAGGCGTTCCCAGGTCAGCTGAGAGACACAGTCCTTTCAACGTGTCCTGGGTCTTCCCCTGGTCTCCTTCTGGTCTCCTCCTGGTGGGACGTGTGCAGTACACCCTCATAAGGAGGCGTCCAGGAGGGAGACTGGACTTGTCTTCTCACTGGAAAAACATTTATTCACTTGAAATGGTTTAAAGAGCATGACTCATTGTTTGGCACTTTGAGTCATTGATGCTCATAAGTCTCTGGACCCACAAGTCCAAGTCAAACCCAAGTCTCTAAGTCTGCATGTCCACGTCAAGTCCAAGTCAAGTCCAAGTCTCTAAGTCTGCAAGCCCATGTCAAATCTAAGTCTCTGGACACGCAAGTCCAAGTCAAACCCAAGTCTCTAGTTCTTCAAGTCCATATCAAGCCTAAGTCTCTGGACACACCAGTCCAAGTCAAGTCCAAGTCTCTAGGTCTGCAAGTCCATGTCAAGTCCAGGGCAAGTACTAGTCTCTAAGTCTGCAAGCCCGTCAAGTCCAAGTCTCTGAATCCGCAAGTCCAAGTCAAGTCCAAGTGTCTAGGTCTGCAAGTCCATGTCAAGTCCAAGTCTCGAGACCCACCAGTCCAAGTCAAGTCTAAGTCTCTAGGTCTACAAGCCCAAGTCCAAGTCTAATTGTTTTCTACAGTTTAAAATGATTGTGTAATACAACATAAAAATCACAGAGATATCAAATGACATCACACTATTTTGACAAACATGTGCTGTAAAGAGTTGCCTTGTGTATGAACTGTGCTATAAAAATAAACTTGCCTTGCCTTCCTCTTTCAGGTATGATTAGTTTTGCCTCCTCAGAGCTCTGCAGTTCTCTAGTTTACAGACTGACATCATCACATAACAAAGTCTTCCTCCTTAGAACAGCTAAAGGGGCCGGCCCAGAGCAACGTCAGCCTCGGAATGTGAACTTTCCGCTCAAACTCACCCCAGGGCAGTTCTTATACACTCATTCTCGCTCCTCGCAGGAGTAACATGCTCCGCTCCTGATCCTCTGAAGCCCCCGGGGGACGACATAACGGCAGGAGAATGTGAGTAAGAGTCCTGGCCCCTGGCTGCGGTCGAGGAATGCTGGGTTTAGGGTTTTTTTAGGGTGGGATCTGAACGGACAGTCCCTTCTGCTGCTGCTGTAGAGTCCATGCATCACTGAAGAAAGAAACAAAATCTAGCTTTGTTTGACTTGGCTGTTTAGTTCCTTATTTGACAGTGTTTGTTAATGTTTCCTGTACTTGCTAAAACCATGTACCTCCAGTCTTCTCGTACTGGTCTTAAATTCCAGCCTCCCAAAAGTTGGATTTGTTTTGCTATACATTCCAGCTTTTCTCTGACCTCCATCTGTGAACTGGTCTCCCCCGGGGCCTAGACTCATGGGTTGCATCCTCCTTCCCCGCCTGGGAGTCGCTTCAGGACTGGATCTAAAGTCTCGATACTGGATCTAAAACCTTAGTCCAGGATCTAAAACCTTAGTCCAGGATCTGCAGCCTCAGTCCTGGATCTTAAGCCTCAGTCCTGGGTCTACAGCTTCAGTCCTGGATCTACAGCCTCAGTCCTGGGTCTACAGCCTCAGTCCTGGATCTGCAGCCTCAGTCCTGGATCTACAAGTTATGGTAAACTTTGTAAAGTCCTGAGAGACGACTGCTGTTGTGATTTAGGGATTTGCTAAAATAGAATGTAGTCAAATTCTACATCACTGCTTGCTCTTTGACTGGGAGCAGTGTTGGATTGATATGAAGCAACTGTAGACTATGTGCTGTTGCCTGTGTGAGACAGAGATCTTGAATATTTACGACTGCTGGAGTAAAAGCTGGTGAATTTTATGAGCTGGTGACATTGTAATCTCTCTGCAGAGTTACACACCATGTCTTGTCGACAAACACACACAGGAAAGTCAATGGCGAAAAATAACCAATGAAAAGACAAATGTTAAGAGAAAGACTATGCTATTGTAAAGTCGCACTGTCACTTTTCTGCAGTGGAATGTTTGTCGCTTGTTCAGGAATTTATTTTGCCATTTGCAGTAAAACCACATTGGAAAAACTGTGCAAGACTACCCCAGTGTGCACCGGACAGCGCCTTTTATTGCATTGTGTTGAATCGCTTACATTTTGTTGTCATAAATCATACATGTTGTGACTCCCAGCAGAAAAAAAAATTCTTTATTGTCGAGGTCAAGAAATTTGTCCTCTGCATTTGACCCAGCTTGTATCGTCGTTAGGGCCTCAGTCAGGAGCAGTGGTTGCCATGGTACTGGGACCATCTCCACGTGTTGATGCTCGGGTCAGGAGCAAAGCTGAAGGATTTTATCTCTTGTCCATGTTTTTAGTGGTAGGGGAACCCGGAGCACATGGAGGAAACTTACACAGACACGGGGAGAACATGCAAACCCCACTCGGACAGGCCCTGCTCCGACCGGGATTCACACCCAGGACCTTCTTGCTGAGAACTACTAACCACTCAGCCACTGTGGGAAAAGGCAGAGGGGAAAGTGGCTGGACTGGGCAGTGTTTACTCCGTTTTTTTGTCGTTTTTGTATTTTGTTGGTGCAAGCCATTCCCCAACCTCTAGTGCAAAAATTGAAAAATAGAAAAGTTGGCTAACACACTTGGTAAATCAGTTCCTGGTGTGTGTTACAGGCTGAGCTTCAGACACACTTACATCTTTGTGTACAACCTGCTGCAGTTCTGTGGACACACATGGATCCTGACCAACATCATCGCCAGGTTCCTCTCGTTTGGAAAAGGTAAAGTCTCTTCTCGCTCCGGGCGTCAACATTAACAGACTTAAATCATGTCCATAGTTGTCCAAATATTTAGATTAAAGCTGGGGGACCTAACTTTACAAACCACAATGTAATGAAGCGGTGTATTATAAAACTATGTCTTAACTAGTTCCTCACTCTCAAAATAGTTTGGTTGAATCACTAGTTTTCACGTGTATGTTTGTTTTTGCCTATGTCATGCCTTTAAGTTAGAGATGTAGTAGAGTAGAGCCAAGTAGAGTAGAGTAGGGTTGAGTAGAGTAGACTAGGGCTGAGTAGAGTACAGTAGAGTAGACTAGGGCTGAGTAGAGTACAGTAGAGTAGACAAGGGCTGAGTAGAGTAGAGTAGAGTAGAGTAAGGCTGAGTTGAGTAGTGTAGGGCTGAGTAGAGTAGAGTAGAGTAGGGCCGAGTAGAGTAGAGTGGGGCCGAGTCGAGTAGAGTAGAGTAGGGCCGAGTAGAGTAGAGTGGAGTAGAGTAGGGCCGAGTAGAGTAGAGTAGAGTAGAGTAGAGTAGAGTAGAGTAGAGTAGAGTAGGGCAGAGTAGAGTAGAGCAGAGTAGAGTGGGGTAGAGTAGGGCAGAGTACAGTACAGTATAGTAGAGTAGAGTGGGGTAGAGTAGAGTAGAGTAGGGCCGAGTAGAGTAGAGTAGAGTAGAGTAGAGTGGGGTAGAGTAGGGCAGAGTAGAGTGGGGTAGAGTAGAGTAGAGTGGGGTAGAGTAGGGCAGAGTAGAGTGGGGTAGAGTGGGGTTGAGTAGGGCAGAGTACAGTATAGTAGAGTAGAGTGGGGTAGAGTAGAGTAGAGTAGGGCCGAGTAGAGTAGAGTAGAGTAGGGCCGAGTAGAGTAGAGTAGAGTAGGGCCGAGTAGAGTAGAGTAGAGTAGAGTAGAGTAGAGTGGGGTAGAGTAGGGCAGAGTAGAGTGGGGTAGAGTAGAGTAGAGTGGGGTAGAGTAGAGTAGAGTAGGGCAGAGTAGAGTATAGTAGAGTGGGGTAGAGTAGAGTAGAGTAGAGTGGGGTAGAGTAGGGCAGAGTACAGTATAGTAGAGTAGAGTGGGGTAGAGTAGAGTAGAGTAGGGCCGAGTAGAGTAGAGTAGAGTAGGGCCGAGTAGAGTAGAGTAGAGTAGAGTAGAGTAGAGTAGAGTAGAGTAGAGTAGAGTGGGGTAGAGTAGGGCAGAGTAGAGTGGGGTAGAGTAGAGTAGAGTAGGGCAGAGTAGAGTATAGTAGAGTAGAGTGGGGTAGAGTAGGGCAGAGTACAGTATAGTAGAGTAGAGTGGGGTAGAGTAGAGTAGAGTAGGGCCGAGTAGAGTAGAGTAGAGTAGAGTAGAGTGGGGTCGAGTAGAGTAGAGTAGAGTAGAGTAGAGTGGGGTAGAGTAGGGCAGAGTAGAGTAGAGTGGAGTGGAGTAGAGTAGAGTAGAGTAGAGTGGGGTAGAGTAGGGCAGAGTACAGTACAGTATAGTAGAGTAGAGTGGGGTAGAGTAGAGTAGAGTAGGGCCGAGTAGAGTAGAGTAGAGTAGGGCCGAGTAGAGTAGAGTAGAGTGGGGTAGAGTAGGGCAGAGTAGAGTGGGGTAGAGTAGAGAGAGTGGGGTAGAGTAGGGCAGAGTAGAGTGGGGTAGAGTAGAGTAGAGTGGGGTAGAGTGGGGTAGAGTAGGGCAGAGTACAGTATAGTAGAGTAGAGTGGGGCAGATTAGAGTAGAGTAGGGCCGAGTAGAGTAGAGTAGAGTAGGGCCGAGTAGAGTAGAGTAGAGTAGAGTAGAGTGGGGTAGAGTAGGGCAGAGTAGAGTGGGGTAGAGTAGAGTAGAGTGGGGTAGAGTAGAGTAGAGTAGGGCAGAGTAGAGTATAGTAGAGTGGAGTAGAGTGGAGTAGAGTAGAGTATAGTAGAGTAGAGTGGGGTAGAGTAGGGCAGAGTACAGTATAGTAGAGTAGAGTGGGGTAGAGTAGAGTAGAGTAGGGCCGAGTAGAGTAGAGTAGAGTAGAGTAAAGTAGAGTAGAGTAGAGTAGAGTAGAGTAGAGTAGAGTGGGGTAGAGTAGGGCAGAGTAGAGTGGGGTAGAGTAGAATAGAGTGGGGTAGAGTAGAGTAGAGTAGGGCAGAGTAGAGTATAGTAGAGTAGAGTGGGGTAGAGTAGGGCAGAGTACAGTATAGTAGAGTAGAGTGGGGTAGAGTAGAGTAGAGTAGGGCCGAGTAGAGTAGAGTAGAGTAGAGTAGAGTAGAGTGGGGTCGAGTAGAGTAGAGTAGAGTAGAGTAGAGCGGGGTAGAGTAGGGCAGAGTAGAGTAGAGTGGGGTAGAGTAGAGTAGAGTGGGGTGGAGTAGAGTAGAGTAGGGCAGAGTAGAGTAGAGTAGAGTAGAGTAGAGTAGAGTAGGGCCGAGTAGAGTAGAGTAGAGTAGAGTAGGGCCGAGTAGAGTAGAGTGGGGTTGAGTAGAGTAGGGTTGAGTAGAGTAGAGTGGAGCTGGTGGAAACAGAATAAGAACCAGTGTTTTCCCCACTTGTCGTTTGCAGACGGTTTAGTGGACATGTTCCACTCTGTGGGGTTGGTGATGAGCCTGTGTCAGCTGCTGTCCTTCCTGGAGCTGTTCCACATCGCCGACGGCATCGAGAAGGCCCGGCTGCTGCCACGCCTCATACAGGTCTGGCCTCAGTCACACCCATGCATCTCAAATCTGGAACAGTCTTCATGAAAATGTGAGACAGGCTTCTGCTCTGACAATGTTCAAATCAGGTTAGAAAAACGTCTGTTTAGAACTTCTTCTTCTTCTTCTAGTTATGCATTTTAGTGTTATATGTAGTATTTTGTTTTGTCTTATTGAATGCATAGTGTACAAATTTAATGTTTTGAATATATTTTAGTGTTTCGTAGGACTCGAGTTACCTTCTGTATGAACCGTGCTATACATATAAACTTGCCTTTCTGGTGTGAAGGTGACGCAGAAGAACGTGCTGCTGATGACGGTGATTCTGCTGGAGGAGCTGCAGAGTCAGTCCATGGTGTGTCTGCTCTTTCTCCTGTGGAACCTGCAAGACCTCCTCAGGTGAGTGGGACCAACATCACCAATATCAAAACAAACATTAACGTCTGCTGTCGTCGTGTCCTCGGGCAAGACACTTAACCCCACTTTGCCTGTAACCCCCGCTGAAAGATCAAGGCCAAGAAATGGATGGATGGATGGGCAGTCATATATTTACTAAACAATCATAATATTACTTAATTTAAAGCACAGATACTTGCACCTGTTTTAAATCCTTTTTTCATTATTTTATTAAAGGAGACCTATGGTACAAAATTGACTGTTATAACCATGTTCCAACCTGTAATAGAATGATGTCATTGTAACACTAGCAATGTAGTTTTCCGCCTTTTAAAACAAAAGAATCCCCCATGAATGACTTATGGCAATTTCTTTTTTCAAATGTGGCGGGAAAAAACAGAAAAAAATCTACTCTGTTTGCCCTCTGGTGGAAGCATAGGGATAGGACAGGCCGATTATTTCACCATATATTTTCTACTGAAGATATCATTTCACATTCTAAAATATGAAATGATGTTCACTTTTAGTGGCCAATATATTTACTATCACATTTAGGACTTGTGATGAAAATCTATTGTGATCAATCTAAAGCCGGGGTTACATCTGGCTTAACTGGCTCGCTGAATTTGGGCACCACTGCTGCAGATCAAACCTAATCCTATTTAGGAAATCAGAGAAAAACGTTTTTTTTGAGTTGTTCCTTGCCAATGCAGGAGGGTCTGGGACATTTATTAACAATTATAGACAGTGGAATACCGCTCCTTATGGACCAATTTTCTGTGTTCAAACGGTTTAATTCTCTGGTCCTCCGAGACGATCGCTGCCGTGATTTAGGGTAGCCTGGTCGTACCACTCCATAGTACAAACTACATTTCGTACTAAGGTCTGGAGGTACTCTGGAGGTTGAAACGATTGGATCTGTGTTTATTGACACGTGTGTAATGCGCGCGAGTGAGTCGTTAGCATTTAGCATTTAGCTTAGCCATCTCCTTTGCCGCTAACGGAGCCCGTGGGGAGTAGCGCCACAATCTTCGCCAGCGATTGCATTTGCTAAACATTCCTCTTGCTCCGGCTTCAATTTCTTGATAGAACCAGACCGGAATACTTTACTATCTCATTTTTCACCATTGCTAAACTACAAACTGACCGTTCGGTGCAAACTCTTGACGTCACCCACAATTAACTACAACACCCGCCTCCCGCGCTCGCTGATTGGTCGGATGGAATTCAACCGATTGTAATCGCAAACACAGGGACCAGACCCAGATGTTACATGCAGGGAAATGATAATTGACCGAAGTGTACGGATGGATAAGGCCAGGCTAGATTTAGGCCTAAACGAAAATAAAATTTAATCCTAAAGCTGTGTGCTCCTTGTGGAAGTACAGAGGTGTTCCAGAGATCCCTGTGAGCTCATATTGATAGTGTTGTGCTGGATCTGCAGGTATCCCCATGAGCTGCTGTGTCTGATGGACCGGCCGTCAGTGTCCATGCTGTGGTCCCGCTACACCCTCTGGATCCCCCTCTACGCGCTCTCTGCATTTACAGAAGGTCAGTGCTGTTTATGTAGATTCTCATTTCTCCTTTACTGTCACTTTTACACAACGGCATTTTCAACACATGAATAAGTTTCTTTGCAAAAACAGATATCTTTGTTGGAAAAATCGGTCAAGAAGTTGGATTTGCTCTAGCTACAATAACGTGTTTTGTTATTGGCAGTAAGTTTGAAAGGATTTGCTCAAGAAGAGGTGAGACTTTTTTTAGACTGGCATTAAAATAAAGACTGGGAAGACTGTATATGACACAGGTAAGCAGTTAGGTGTGAAGAAATCAACTGTGAAAGCGATCATTAGAAAAAAAAGGACACACATTACCGCTGATAATCTCCTTCGGTTTGGGGATCCACGCAAGAATTAATCTTGTGGGGTCAAAATGATCACTATAACGGTGAGAAGAAAATCCCAGAACTAAAAATGGGACTAGTGAATGACCTGCAGTGAGAGAGATTGGACCAAAGTGAAAAACCATGTCCTCTGCTTTAGCCACTGTACATGTCCAGGCCTGACTGAGTGCATTTGAATCCAGAAGAGGATTGGGAAAATGTCCTCTGGTAGAATGAAACCAAAATAGAGCTCTATTTCTCTGTCCTGAAGTCACAGAGGGTTTTGTGACTCTACATCACAAAATAAAAACTGCAGATTTAGAGGCAAAAGTCTAAAAATGTAATGTTGTAATTGTCGAAGATATGCCATATTCAAAAGGTCATAGTGAGTGCAAAAAACCTGAACTAATTAAACAAATAAATTCATCTTTTAAGCCTGTAGTATCAGTTGATAAACCCAAACAGAAATGTCCTTGTTTTGGCCATAGTTTAGGAGATAATGAAGACACTGTGGTTGAATCCATTGTGTGAAGTCTTTTAAACTCGGTTTCTATTTTCAAATGATAACATTCTTGAGCCGCTCTGGGGAGGTCTCAAATGTGCTGTTCATGCAAGGTGGCCCAGGAATTTATGAGAGGAAGAATGGGCAGATTTACCGTCACAGAGGATATCAGAGTTCAGAGAGAGACTGGAGAGAAAGACAAGAGAGTCCTGGGAGACCAGAGAGAAAGACTGGAGAGAGATCAGCAAGAGGCCAGAAACACGACAGAGATCAGCAAGAGACAAGAGAGAGACCTGAGAGAATGACTGGAGAGAGATCAGCCAGAGACAAGAGAGAGTCCAGAGAAAAACACCGGCGAGAGAGCAAGAGACCAGAGAGAGGGACCGGAGAGAGACCAGTGAGAGACCAGAGAGAGAGACCAGAGAGAGAGACCAGATATGGCCAATGTTCCAATATACTTTTTCATTCTTGACTGGGTGTGTAAACTTTCAAGCACATATTAGTTAAAATTCCCACATTTTTTGTGGTCTATTTTCTGATTGCTGCAAACCATTTAAAGTACTTTTAAGGAAGTTGGAGCACATACAATGCAAAGCCACATCGATTGCCCAAACCATATACATTTTCAATATGTCCCACTCCTGCAGACTCCGTTATAAAAGACACCTCTGAGATTATAATTGAACCAAGCAGGCGACATATCAAAGACCATGAGAAAACCATAACATATTTTGACTTATTGGACCAAAGGGTGCGACATGTAGCTTTAAATTGCGTCTGTAACTATTTTCATCATTTTCTTAACTGTCGGTGTCAAGAGTGGGGTAAAGGGGAAGTGTTGAGAAGAACAGGAAGTGATTAAGCAAAGAGCTGTGAGGGCACACACAGTATCAGCACAGAGCAGCCTGCTGTCAGACACACAATGAAAAATAAAACACACAAAACACACTGAATCATATATAGTATCTTCTGGAGTATTAGCCGCGCCTGTGTATAAACTGCACCCGTATATTTGGAAAGAAAGTCATTTTTTCCGGAGAAAGACCAAAGCATCATTAAATTGAGATTGCGTTTAATGATGAGGTGTTTTATGCACTGTTGACACGTGATGGACAAACTTTGTCCTCATCGCTGCAGAGTTCAAAGAAAATTAAAACCTTTGAAAAAGATAATTTCTTGATCCCTTGTACGAAAAATTCAAGTGTCCAGCAGCGAGTCCAGGTGTGTCCAAATTTTTGAGTGCCACTTTAGTCCACCAGACTTGTCCAGGGGCCGACAAACCGGATTGTAAAACTGTTTGGGCTTTAAAAAGGGGCATTTTAGCCAAAGCTACATTACTGCTATATATGGAATTTTGTGACACAATCAAAGACAAATGTGAGTTTGTAACTGTACTATTTATTTATCAGTACATACAAATGCACAAATGGATTACAAAGGTTCTGAGCTTTATAACGAGGTGCAACAAGACTATATTAGTAGAGCTGAAGTTGGCTAGATGACGCTGTAAAAGTACCACAATGGCTACTTTTGTTAGCGGCAGACGGCCACATGAAATGACACTACGGCCGTGTTTGGCTCTCGGGCCTCAGTTTGGACACCTCTGTTCTGGTCAGAAGCATTGAATCATAAAAATATCAAACCATTTTCAGTTAAAGAGCACAGAACATTAATCTTTGTTTGTTTTGCTCATAACACTGGCTCATGTTATTGGTGTAAACAATAGTCTTTCAGTCTTGCCAAAAACTTATTATTATTATCATACATTCCTCCACAGTGAATAAGTCTTATGTGGGCGACCATTTTAACTTTCTAATTCACTTCCTTGTCTTTGTATGACTTTGTTTTTGCAGGTTTCACTCTTTACACAGCCTTACCCCACATCAGTCCTGTTTCTCCACCATCAAACGCACAAAACTCGTCTCTGACCACGCCCACCCACCTCCACTTTGTTCTGATTGGCTATTTCCCGCTTCTGCTTCTCGGTAAGAGCGTTTTTTATTTAAAGTTGTAATAGACAACATGGACCCTGGGGTGTTGGGTTGGGGCGGTGTTATGAAATGTTTTGTGTCTTGCAGGAGCTAGCGTAACGGTTTGGCAGTTGCTAAAAGAGAGAAGGCACTATCTGGACAAGTGGAACAAGAAACGGAAATGACAAAGACGCTAAGAGAACTGGGAACGTAGCGACGACAGCGTCAGGGGTTTGAGCAGCTCCTGGTTTGTGTTTGTGTGAGAGGAACGAGCAGACGAGAAGCACTAAGTCAGGTCTTCGGTCCAAACAGAGGTAGAGTCTGTTTGTTGGACTACCAGCCGAACGCTCTGGTCCAAATGGTTTTCTTCTTGAAATCGGGGCAGGACCTCAAAGCCAGGAGACAAGCTGAAAGAACAAACAAGACATTTTTAAGTCTCCCGTGGAGTTTTAAGTAATTTGGGACTCAAAAAATACCACTTCTAGCAGCTGACGAGACCAAACAGCGTTCCAACCGAAGACATAAATGACATTTGTCAGAAGGCAAACAGAGTGATACAGTAAACAAGTATTTATAAGAGCTGTCATTTATTTCATGCATTTTACTTAAGTTGGGCCTATTATATTTAATCTATTTCTTACTATTGTCTGACGCTATGCTTTTCCAATTCAAAGCACAGTTACCCCTGTTTTAAATCCTTTTTTTCTTACGTTCATTTATTAAAGGAGACGTCTAATGCAATATTGACTGTTATAACCATGTTACAACCTGTAATAGTATGATGTCGTTGTAACACTATCAAAGAAGTTTTCTGCCTTTTAAAAACAAAAAAATCAGCCATGAATTAATTATAGCAATTTATTTTTTCAAATGTGGCGGAAAAATAAAAATTCTCCTCGGTTAGCCCTCTGGTGGTTCAATTAGTTTTGGTTGATTTTAAAGTTCTCTCAGATATCTTTCCATCTAAATTTCAATGTACTTTTGTATAGCCCTAAATCACAACAACAGCCGTCTCTGAGGAGTTGTCGCTTCCTGAACAACAAATCAGAGAATCAAACTGGATCACAATAATAGGAGGAGCCATTGGTCTAATAGGGGGCAGAATGACCCCTGTCCATAAATGTTAATACTGGATCATCACTGTCCTTAGACTCTCCTTTATCTGCAAGAGGTTTTGAATGATTATTGGACCTGATATTTACCTTTAAGTGCAGAGAGGCTTGGTGCGGATATATTCTCTTGCGGGGCCTCTGTGACGCTGAGGAGCCAGTCGATGAACTGAAACATAGACATAAGAACCATTAAAGAAGCAATATGCAAGATTTTAATGTCAAGTCTTCATTAAAGGGCCCTAATCTGTCAAAAGGCATTAATAAAACATGCTCTTAAAGCTTGTTATTGTTTTAATTTCGATGCCCCGCCCTCCATCGTTTGACCAATCAGAAAGTCTGTGATCTGGGTTGCCAGAACTCACTGCGTCGAGCTAATCTCACGAGTAAAAAACATGTGGCTGCAGAACTAGAAAAGGTCTCGTTTTGATTCTCAAATCATTAATAACAAAACAAGGAATAAAATGATAATTTCTATCGGGCCCTTTGTGAACAAGGTGTTGGTTATAGATTTGATGTTGACAAAACTCTTGACTGTTCAGATATTATGGTCCCAGCTGATTTCGTCTGCATATCTGGCAACTGAGTCAGGGGGAGTGGGAGAGGCTGCAGTACCACCTTTGGCCAGATTTTTAGATACTGCTTTTTGAAGTATCATATGACTTGTTACTTGTCTGTCATCCTCTCCTCGCTCTCCTGGTCCTGGTCTCACCTTATGAGTCTGCCCGCTCCAGGGGTCTTTGGCCAGCAGCAGGGGCAGGCTGTGGGGCAGGCCGAGGACGCAGGGGGCCAGGGGTCGCTCCGAGGGCCACTCTTTCCCGTAGAGTCCGTGTCGTATGGCGGAAGGCCTGGGATCGGACTGCCAGGGGAACCACAGGGCCCGGACGCCGAGGAGGAGGGGCATGGAGTGGTCGCCCCAGGACACGACGGCTGAGCAGAACGTCTGGAACAGGAAGTCTGTGGCCTGGAACGGAATGTCAAAGCGTCAGGTCTGTGTCTGAGTGAGGAGAGATGCTTTTGCTTCTAAAGTATAAATGTTACTAAAATACTTGTCTAATGTGGGAAGGGGGAATTAAAGCTGAGGTCCCTGAATTTTTGTTTAATCAATAATAGATGGTTCCAATGGAAAGACAAGAAACATGTCGAGGAAAGAGTCTCACTCTGGTCTCTCTCTCTGGTCTATCTCTCTGGTCTCTCTCTCTCTGGTCTCCCTCTCTCTGGTCTCCCTCTCTCTGGCCTCTCTCTCTCTGGTCTCTCTCTCTCTGGTCTCTCTCTCTCTGGTCTCTCTCTCTCTGGTCTCTCTCTGGTCCCTCTCTCTCTGGTCTCTCTCTCTCTGGTCTCTCTCTCTCTGGTCTCTCTCTCTCTGGTCTCTCTCTCTCTGGTCTCTCTCTCTCTGGTCTCCCTCTCTCTGGTCTCTCTCTCTCTGGTCTCTCTCTCTCTCTCTCTCTCTCTGGTCTCTCTCTCTCTGGTCTCTCTCTCTGGTCCCTCTCTCTCTGGTCTCTCTCTCTCTGGTCTCTCTCTCTCTGGTCTCTCTCTCTCTCTGGTCTCTCTCTCTGGTCTCTCTCTCTCTGGTCTCCCTCTCTCTGGTCTCCCTCTCTCTGGTCTCTCTCTCTCTGGTCTCTCTCTCTCTGGTCTCTCTCTCTCTGGTCTCTCTCTCTCGTCTCTCTCTCTCTGGTCTCCCTCTCTCTGGTCTCCCTCTCTCTGGTCTCCCTCTCTCTGGTCTCCCTCTCTCTGGTCTCCCTCTCTCTGGTCTCTCTCTCTGGTCTCCCTCTCTCTGGTCTCCCTCTCTCTGGTCTCTCTCTCTGGTCTCTCTCTCTCTGGTCTCTCTCTCTCTCTCTCTGGTCTCTCTCTCTCTGGTCTCTCTCTCTCTCTCTGGTCTCCCTCTCTCTGGTCTCTCTCTCTGGTCTCTCTCTCTCTGGTCTCCCTCTCTCTGGTCTCTCTCTCTCTGGTCTCTCTCTCTCTGGTCTCCCTCTCTCTGGTCTCTCTCTCTGGTCTCTCTCTCTCTGGTCTCTCTCTCTCTCTCTCTCTGGTCTCTCTCTCTCTGGTCTCTCTCTCTCTGGTCTCTCTCTCTCTGGTCTGAGCCTTTTGTTGTATTGTTAACTTTGTAAACCCAAAAGATGTGACAGAACCAAACTGTTAAGAGCCAGGAACTAGTTACGTACATTTTGAAAACAACAATTGAAAACCAACCATTTTAACGTCTCCACAAGAGACAGGAGTTGAACCATACACAATGTTTCGTATGAGTCCCATCAGCTCCAAAAGCCACTCCATTCTTTTGCTCACACCTGTGAAAACAAAACATTTGCCCGTTACATTATGTAATTTGGCTCCCTCTTGTGGCTGCATATAGTATAACATGTCCAATCACCATAAACTTCAGACAAGAGGAAATGAATATAGTGGTCCCTCACTATAACACGGTTCATATTTGCGGCCTTGTAGTTTTGTTTACAGTGTGCTTCTTATGCGCCGCGTTTTTACTCCACCCAAATTATATTCAACATCAACTGTTAGTATAATATGACAGTTATCTTCATTTAAAGTCATAGGAAATCTTTTGTGACTTTTGTACACTAAAGTGATTAGTTCTCTGGTCTCGCTCTCTGGTCTCGCTCTCTGGTCTCGCTCTCTGGTCTCGCTCTCTGGTCTCGCTCTCTGGTCTCGCTCTCTGGTCTCGCTCTCTGGTCTCGCTCTCTGGTCTCGCTCTCTGGTCTCTCTCTCTCTGGTCTCTCTCTCTCTGGTCTCGCTCTCTCTGGTCTCGCTCTCTGGTCTCGCTCTCTGGTCTCGCTCTCTGGTCTCGCTCTCTGGTCTCGCTCTCTGGTCTCGCTCTCTGGTCTCGCTCTCTGGTCTCGCTCTCTGGTCTCGCTCTCTGGTCTTGCTCTCTGGTCTCTCTCTCTGGTCTCTCTCTCTGGTCTCTCTCTCTGGTCTCTGTCTTAAAGACCTTATGACAGGTTTTTAAAAAAAAAAATAGTGGATATCAAAATTGCATGACAATGTCAATTTGAAAGAGATTCCGGCAAAAAAAATCCTATATTTTATAAAAAGAACGTGTTTTTCATGAATTTAAGTTGTCTATGCTCTAACCTGTGTGTGACGTCACAGCGGGTTACGCCCATGCATTGAAAACCATGGATCTATGCCACAGGACTGCCTTTTCTCTCTTCTCTCCACTGATGCCCAACACAATACAGCACTCTACAGGTGACAATTGCTCACTACACATAAATTGCCGTTTTGAGTGTGAAAAAATGTCCGAGGTGGGATTTGAACCCAAGTATCTGGATTGGCAGTCCATCGACACAACCACTGGACTATCTCAGTGACAACGAAATGTTACAATCTAGTATTTATGTCAGACTCTCTGTACACGGCCTTGTCATCTTGAATATCCGCGAAAAAAGAACGAATACCAAATTGTAAACAACCTACAGCGTTGAAACGTACCCGTTCTGACGTCACCAAGGGCTGTGAAGTTTTTTCGTCTCTAAGGGCGTTGCTATGGGGTTATTTCGATTTGGGGGGATCAGACAAAAAAAACAACAACTGATTTTGAAACCTTTAGTAGTTCTCTTCTAATATAAAATGGTATTAAAACTGTATTTCTAAATAAATCAAACCCGTCATAAGGTCTTTAAAATACTTACTTTTATAAACAAGACACCACTGTATAACAAATATGTACACATTAAACATAGTTATAACTGGACCTGTGTGAGCGCTGGCTGCGAGTCTGCACTGGTAGAAGGTCTGCTGCAGTAACCAGTCCACTCTGAGTCTGGGCCAACCGCGGAGCACCCCTGAGATGACGTCATTGACCCCCAACAGAGGCACTCTGCCCTGGGACGTCAGGTAGCACAGGACAAAACAGCATTTCTCCATCTGGGTCTGGAGCAAAAAGAGGAAAGTTTTTACAGAGTATTGTCAACTGTTACATTTTGTTTTAGTGAAGAAATTGTAAAAGCTAGAGATATAAACTGTTTTGAGGGCGAAAAAGTGTATTATTAGATCTTTCTCTCTGGTCTCTCCCTCTGGTCTCTCCCTCTGGTCTCTCCCTCTGGTCTCTCCCTCTGGTCTCTCTCTCTGGTCTCTCCCTCTGGTCTCTCTCTCTGGTCTCTCCCTCTGGTCTCTCCCTCTGGTCTCTCCCTCTGGTCTCTCCCTCTGGTCTCTCTCTCTGGTCTCTCTCTCTGGTCTCTCTCTCTGGTCTCTCTCTCTGGTCTCTCTCTCTGGTCTCTCTCTCTGGTCTCTCCCTCTGGTCTCTCCCTCTGGTCTCTCCCTCTGGTCTCTCCCTCTGGTCTCTCCCTCTGGTCTCTCTCTCTGGTCTCTCTCTCTGGTCTCTCTCTCTGGTCTCTCTCTCTGGTCTCTCTCTCTGGTCTCTCCCTCTGGTCTCTCCCTCTGGTCTCTCCCTCTGGTCTCTCCCTCTGTTCTCTCTCGCTGGTCTCTCTCACTGGTCTCTCCCTCTGGTCTCTCTTTCAGGTCTCTCCCTCTGGTCTCTCTCGCTGGTCTCTCCCTCTGGTCTCTCTTTCTGGTCTCTCCCTCTGGTCTCTCCCTCTGGTCTCATTCTCTGGTCTCATTCTCTGGTCTCATTCTCTGGTCTCTCCCTCTGGTCTCTCCCTCTGGTCTCTCCCTCTGGTCTCTCCCTCTGGTCTCTCCCTCTGGTCTCTCCCTCTGGTCTCTCCCTCTGGTCTCTCTTGCTGGTCTCTCTCGCTGGTCTCCCTCTGTAGATGTTTCGCTCATTTGAGAAAGTATCCATAATGAGAATACAGATACTGGAGAAAATGTGAGATCCGGCAGTCGGAGGTGCTCATCCAGAGAAAAAAATCTGTGGTTTATACAAAGCACAATGTGTCTATCCATCCATCCATCCATCCATTTTCTACCCTTTAATCCATTTCTGGGTCAGGGGGGTGGCAATCAGAGATGCCACACAAGTCTCATAGCACCAGCCCCTCACTGATCCTCTGCAGGTGGTGAGTCCACAGGAGGACGGCTGCTCTCTGAGAGTGAGCATAGCCTTGATCTTTCAGTGGGGGCTTTGGGCAAAGTGGGGTTAAGTGTCTTGCCCAAGGACACAACGACAGCAGTCATCAGTGGGAGTCGGTGGAGAAGGTGTAGAGGTGGGAATTGAACCCACGAAGGCCAATGCTCTACCAACTGAGCTACAATTGGATAGACTGTGTCTATCCAATTGTCTGTGAAACTGTGTGTTATTGCTCTCTGCTGTTTCTTGCTTGCACACAGCGCCTTAATGGCGAAGTGGCACGCTCTCTGCCAAAACAATTTCCAAGTGGTAGCTTTGTTTGTTACTTACGTGGCAATAAAAATGATTCTGATTCTGATTATCAGAACAGTATCCATCCATCCATCCATTTTCTACCCCTTAATCCATTTCTGGGTCAGGGGGGTGGCAGTCAGAGATGCCACCCAAGTCACAGAGCACCTGCCCCTCACTGACCCTCTGCAGGTGGTGAGTCAACAGGAGGATGGCTGCTCTGTCAATGTAAGCATAGCCATGATCTCTCAGCGGGGGCTTTGGGCAAAGTGGGGTTAAGGACACAACGACAGCAGACATCACTGGGAGTCGGTGGAGAAGGTGTCAAGGTGGGAATTGAACACACAACCTTCAGGCCTAAAGGCCAATGCTCTACCAACTGAGCTACTGTCGCAGAACAGTATAATAGTATAATATCTCTTGTGTAACCATTAAAAATTACTATAATGTATTGATAATTATGTAAAAAAGTGGTCATAATTGTAAAAAATAATAATAAACAAAAAAGTAAACAAAGCAAAGATTCCAGATTCTACTTCAGATGATCATTGATACCTCAGTGACTTTTGCTATTCTGTCGATTTCGGTATCCGACATCTCTGAAAGGCATTTGGCAACTCCCACGTACAAGTCCAGCTCAGAATCCTGGACAAGAGTATCATAAAGACACAGAAGAAGTCAAATATTAAGTTATTTAAAGACAGGACTAAGAACATACAAAAAAGTTTACACACGCAGCTGAGAACAGGAGACAGAAGAGGAGATTCTGTTCGTATTATAATTTTAACTGGGAAAAAAATGATAATAAATAGCTTCACACAATCACCAAAAATAAGTTAAATATTCATAAGTTCCGAAATATGGCTTGTTTTATTGTTCTAGCTGTGTGAGTAAACTTTAACTCAATTTCAATATTAAAAGTCACAAAGAGCTTTTCTAATTTAATCGTTACCTGGATGTTGTTTGGGAGCAGGTTGAAGACCTTCTCGCTGGTGGAGCAGAGGAGGCTCCAGCAGTGGTTGGGGGGATTGGGGAGGGACATGGCCTGAGCGAGCCCCAGGAGTAGGGATCGACACAGGGGCAGACGCTGAGACCGATGGGGGTCCTGGAAGTGCTGCAGACCCTGGCTCTCCACAAACACCAACAGCTTGTCCTCCGCCACGTGCCTCATCCACCCGCCCAGCGCCTCGTACAGGTGACCACGCGTCTGGTGCTGCGGGAAGACGGAAAACGAAGTGATGGTTGTGGCTGTGTGTGTGTGTGGCACGTTTGTATTGCATCAAATGGAGAAATTGTAAGGTTAAGGATGTCAGAAGTATTTAACCATGAGGAATATTGCTTATTTTCCAATCTATGGTGCAATGTTGTAAACTTATTATAGGAGATTTCATAAAACATCATATACAAAAGCACAAACTGACAAAACATAATACATTACAACAACTTTCTAATGCTTCTAAGTCCCCATACAGACGCTATCATCCATGAGCATAAATGTGGCTACAGCAGCTAAACAAAAAGACCAAATTCAAATACATTTTTAGTAGGGCTGTCAAAATTATTGCGTTATTTCACGTTAATTACCGTTTTTATTAACGCGTTAAAAAATAATTAACGCATTAACTTGTTTGCCATTGATGTGTCAACACGTCAATTGCGTTTCCCGCTATTTTCACGTTCCCAGATGTCTGTTGTATCAAATATGTAAGGCTTGAGGCAATATTTTATTGAGCCAGCAGATGGTAGCATTGCTCTATGAATGGTTTGAAAACAGCTAGATGCACAAGTGCCTCTTTTTTCTGGTGATTTCAATAAAACTTACCTCTACTCGACTGGGGATTACAGGGGAACGAAACAAGCTAGAAACAAAAATATTTTTGCTGATGAAAGTAGACAGTCCATTCTTTCAGAATCTGGTTTTGGATTTCAGATAGTCATAGTACACAATATTCTGTGGGTACCTGTTCTGAAATAGGCTGGCAGTCAATCGCATGTCCGAATGACCCGCCCATTTATAATAATATCACTCAGAATGCCACGGACACGTGACAGCGGTAACGTGGTCATATAATACACACATATATATACACACACAGGGGCCATTCTCTGATGATGGAGGAGAGGGCGACAGTAGCTCAGTTGGTAGAGCATTGGCCTTTGGGCCTGAAGGTCGTGGGTTCGAGCCCACCGTAAGACCTACTTCACGACTCCCACTGACGACTGCTGTCGTTGTGTCCTTGGGCAAGACACTTAACCCTACTTTGCCCAAAGCCCCAACTGAAAGATCTCAGCTCCTGTGGACTCACCACCTGCAGGAGGATCAGTGAGGGGCTGGTGCTCTGTGTACTGGGTGCAGCTCTGACTGCCACCCCCCCGACCCAGAAATGGATTAAGGGGAAGAAAATGGATGGATGGATAACAGCTCTTGTTGGTTGTACCCAAAAGTAGAAGGTTGTGAGCAAGTCAAACAGATTGAAGTACATTTGGTATGAAAATCTCATTTAACTTCAATTGGAGTGGATTTGAATGTTAAAAATGCGATTAATCGTGAGTTAACTCACCATTACTATGCGATTAATCAACTAAAAAAAATTAATCGTTTGACAGCCCTCATTTTTAGTCAAACTTAAAATTAATATATGTCTGCATTACCATTATTTAAAGCAGGTCAAATGTATAGATCTGTTGAGATGGGACTATTGTTTTTTGTTGTGACCATATACTATATAGAAAGTAAGTAATCTTTATGTCTTTATGTGTCACAGTCACAAAACGCTTTACAATTGTTGATTTGTGGGTATTTTGTCTCTCACTCCACACAGAGATGGGAGCGGGGTCGCCAGTACAGGAGGCGCATGCCAGACCTATTGTACATGTTTTTAGTGGTAGGGGAAACCGGAGAACCCTGAGGAAACCCATGCAGACACAGGGAGAACATGCAAACTTCACTCAGAAAGGCCCTGAGTGGAATCAAACCCAGAACCTTTTTGGAGTGCTATCCATTCAGCCTCCGTGCCGCCCATAGATGGTCACTGCTAACTGTCTATGTTAAGGAAGACAAACAGGGAAGAGCTCTTAGACAAAGTTTTACTCCAACTCTCTCTGGCTCCTATTAACTCCTCCTCCTCTCCTATTGAAAAAGTAATTCAGTAAGTAGCTCAGTAACCATTTGTCTCAGACTCAGCATTTTGGGCTTAAAAATCTGTATTTTAGCGCTCTATATGCTCCTGGTATTTATATGTTGATATCAACTTACTAGTATTGACCAATAAGATGCACATCTGCAGTAACACATCTGCCCCCGTTACGGCTCAAAGCTAACCCCAAATATCCATATAAAAGGAAATGGCTACAGCTAGCTTATTTTCAAATCTGCTTCTTCTGCATTCTGCAATCACTATGGTAACGTCAGCCCTCGGTCGGTCCACAATACACAGTCATATGATGTAAATACAACATGTTTAACTCACACTGAGGCTGTGCACTAAAGGAGGCGACATCCAGGACCCCAGGAAGAGCGCAGAACTCTGGGAGGACTGGGCCTGACTGGCGGCTAACACCACACACTGATGCTGCACCTCTTCTCCTGAGAAAAGAAGAAGAAGAAGTCAGTCACTTTGCGCAGTGGATTTATTTTCTATATCTCATACAAGTTGTACCGAATCCCAGTCGCATCAGAGGAGACAGCACAGAGCTCCAGTTTATGGGCGGGAACTGAAAACTCGATCCGTTACACGCCAATGAGATGAGTGCGGTCTTAACCAGGTCTGGGTGGGAGAACTCTGGACCTGTTAAGACCAGTTCATATTGGATCAGAGTGAAGAGACAAAATATGGCATAAAAAACAAGCAAAATACTCACCCTTTTTCCCGGCTTCTGTGATAAAGTCGACAATGGCTCGGATTACGCTGCGTTCAGACAAGTAGCTGAAGTCTAAGGGAACTGATTGATTGAGGGAACACAAAGACATGTAAACGAAGCAAGAAATATTTATAAGAATCAAGAAAATCTAGCTGACTGTCAATTAGGTGCTGGTAAAAGCTGGGTACCTGCGGTCTGACTGTGGCTCGTGGACATATGGGCCAGATACAGGTGACCCACTAAACACGCACTGTTGGACTGTAAACCTATGGCTCCAGAGAATGTGATGATCTGAGGAAACAGATAGAGAGAGTAAAGCACTAGTGTGTCCTAGATCTACAGCCTCAGTCCTGGATCTACAGCCTCAGTCCTGGATCTACAGCCTCAGTCCTGGATCTACAGCCTCAGTCCTGGATCTACAGCCTCAGTCCCTTCCTTGATGATGCAGGAGGATTTAAAGACAGTGATGATCCGGGACATTTCCAGACATTTCTGGATTTTGGTCATCCCATTCCCTGCGTTTGTTAACATTGCAAATACATTGAACTGAATTGAATTACAATACCTGGGTAATGGCACGGATGACCTCGTTCAGCCGGGTCTGCTGCTGAGTGGAGAGCTCCGACTCGCTCTTCAGCTGATATGAAATGAGATGTTATTAATATTATAGTAATGGTCTTATGGGAAACTTAACCTAACAGGTGTCTTACCTGTGTGAGGTACGTTTCAGATCCCACTAAAGCCACCAGACCGTTGACAGCAGCCAGTCTCTGCATGGTCGGACAGCCCTGAGACCAAAGATAAGAACATTTCATTTTTTAACACTACATCTAAGACTCGCATGTCCAAACATAGGCCCTAATTTACTGTGGCCCTCTGCTTTTCTAACACAAAATGTACCATTGCACATACATGGCTGAAACACATTGCTAATCCTTGTTAATTAAAGGTTTTTTATCTACTCTCGAGAGTACCTTGGATTTTCTCTTTTCCAGAAAATTAGCCATTGCAATTCTTTAGTTTTTAATGCGCTGGAAAACGACAGAAAGTCTTAAGTAGCTTAGAAACAGTTGTTGTTTTAGCTTTACAATCGTTTTCTTTTCTTGCTTTTTTATACCTGAGATGTTGCTGCAGGACAATGTTCATGGTTTTGTGCTGGTCCAGACCAGAGCAGTGAGGATTCATGGTCAGAACCAAGTGGATCGCCTGAAAATCCACTGGAGGAATGCTAACTTTCTGAAAAATGCTAATGAAGCATTTAGCATTTTACTTCGGACTAGAGCAGAGAAAAGGGTCTGAACCAAGCGGCTCCATCTCTGCTGCTGTGACCTGAAGGGCTGCTGCATTTCATTATTACTATCATTAGCTTTTAAGAATGATAAATGTATTTGTTTTGTTTGGATGGTTGTGTTTTGGCTGCTACTGGACACCTGAATTTCTCCTACAGTGGTCAATAAAGTATCTATCTATCTATCTATAAGCATATATTCTGTGTTATTTGCCAGCCAGAATCTAATAGTTTCACAAAACGGTTTCACAATCAGAGTTGTCACCGTTGATCCGATTTTTCAGTCTGATCAACTGAAAAATCCATCTTACTAAAACATTATGTGTAAGTGATACCTCCGCTAGTAGAATTTTGATCCACGCAGCCAGGAGTCGAGGGTGGATGGCGTCTGCTTTGCCGTGTCCAGCGGAGGACAGACCGTGGACCACGAGTCCCAGAGCCAGAGAGAAACCTGGAGTCTGAACAGAACGGGCACAAAAGCTGAGTCTCGGTCGTGTTGGAACTGAATCATGTGTGAGAATGTAGAAGAAGGACCTGCTGGCTGTCCTCGGTCAGAGTGCGCAGTGTGGTCATGATCTCCTCGGCTCTAGACGCATCGATGAGTCCAGAGGAGAAGGCCGCAACACACGCCGAGGCCACGGAGTACGCCAACACCTGCAACACAACCACAGTCCAGTGAAGACGCTGGATACACACATCAAGATATATTTAAGATTTATTTTTGGTTTTCTACAAAATGTTTTAAATAGGTTTTCTTGAATTAGATGGAACAGCTGGTCTAGAAATAATGTTTTGTTTGTTTAAGCTTTCCTTCAGATATACAATTATTTTTTAAGTGAACATAATGCAGCATAGGTCTGTGTGTGTTCATGTGTGAGAGAGTATGTGTGTGTGTTTATATGTGTGTTTGTTTGTGAATGTGTGTTTATGTGTATGCTTATGTTTGTTTACTTTTTAACACAAAAAGTCATTACTTTTTTATGGGTTTTTTTTCTTCCCCCAGCTTAATTTCCATTATTGAAGTGTTTTATGGTTTAAGATTACTTCATTACGTTTTCTTATTTTAACGTTTTCATAGCCAAGATTCACAGTCTTATGTTATGATTTCTTGATAAGTAAAAACAACCTTCACTTGTTTCCAGGACCGTTTCAACTAAAACAAGTGTATTTTTCTTCCACTGGGCTGTATTTACAGTGTGAACTTGACACTGTGCTCTCTTACCTCCTGCTGCATGCGGCTCTGTTCCCTGCTCTCCTGGAGACTGACCAGTAGCTTTCCCAGGATCTTTGTGGCGTGGAACTGTTGCTCTGGCTGACCGTGGACGCAGAGAGACGCCAGAACCAAGCCCAGACCCAGCAGGCAACCCGTACTGCAGAAGAAAGCCAAGTTAAAGTTCCCCCACCAATCTCTCTCCGATCCACAGCACACACTGATAAATACAGACAATCGCCCTCTTGCATTGGTAAAGATACATTTTGTAACTTTTCTGGCTGGTGGGAGAGTCCTAGAGTTTGTGGTTTATAGTCTTTTTAATAGCATAAAACAATTGAACAAAAGTAAGATTGGCAAGTTTATAGCAATAGTGTGCCATAACCCAAGACCAGGACCAGAAACAAGGACCAGAAAAGTTGCATCCCATTCCTTTCCATTAAATTAACAACATTGAAAGAGAAATACTAACTTGTATTCCAAGTCTGGGTTGAAAGAGCAGGTCTCCAGTGCGTCCAGAGCCTTCGCCATCAGCTCAGTGCTGTTCTGCTTTGAGACATCACTAAACAAAATGAAAAGAGGATAAAGTTATCTTTAAAAATATTAATATTATATTTTAATTTTGTTTTACTGTGGTCCCTTGTTTATTGCGGGAGTCACGTTCTAAAATAACCTGCAATAAGCAAAATTCTGTTTTAAGGCAGTTAATCCCTTCACAACCTATTTTCTAGTCACCTGAACTCACGACTGCTGAAGAGCCATTGCAGAGATATTTGTAGGTCTGAGCGCTGCTGCAGCTGTCGAAAGCTGTGCATACACCATATAATACAGCTGCAGAGGACACTTAAGGGCAGGAGCAGGACTGATACAGAGATTTTTCAAAACGTTTCCAAAACCAATACATTTCGTATTTTTTCCCCAAGGCTTTGAAATATGGTCTTAATAAAAATACCGCAATGGCTGTATTCATGGCTTGGTGAATTACTAAAAATCAGGACAGTTACAGTAGTCTTATATTTAAAAATATAATCAATAATAACATAATCTTGTGAATGGGTACATTTGTAAAATATTATATGAAACAGAAATCTGAAATCCAACAATAGATGCTTATTGAGAGTTCTGATTCAGACTGACCTGAGGCGCTGGTGGTGGAGGCTGGCCAGCACCGTGCCCAGAGCCAGCCCCGAGTGGAACTGGACCACCTGGGACTCGTCTGCGGTGGGAGCCCCAGGCAGAGCGGAGCTGAGGACGGCCAGGACCTCGGCCACGCCCTCCCTCTGCCACAGCACCATGACGGGCACCAGCAGAGACAGGGCCAGGCTGGCACAGGAGCGGGCGATGGCACTGGCCGTGTTCTCCCCAGAGTACGACCGCTGGCGAGAGGAAAGACGGGCTGTTTGTTTCATCAATGAGACAAGAGGAGAGTCCGTATAGAATAGATATATGGAGTATGCTCAATTCCATGGCATTATCAAACAGGTCTGAATTGGGTCAAAATATCCAATCCGATTTTTCTGACAGAGATTGTGATTAGACTTGAAATTGTCGTTTAAAAAATGGGAATTGGTGTCAGTGTTAGTCTTATCCATCCATAAACTCCAGTCAATTATTATTTCCCTATGAAATTTGTACCATGTATGACCAGGCTGGGTCAGTGTGCACATTGCAAAGACCTCCAGGAGCCTTTAGGGAAGACTCAACAGTAAACTAACATTATTTTCTTATTTTTTAGCTGTTTTCAACACAGGACGTCAAAACTGGCAACACAAAACATGGTAGAATTGACATTTAGTCCTAGTTTTGGCAGCAAGGACAGACTATAAGGCTTTATACACCATGAATAGTGAATGAATAAGACCTACGTGGAGGAACCATGGAAAGACCTGTCCCTTGGCTTTGTAGCTGCTGCACATGATGCTGAGCAGAGTGTCCAGGACCATGGCCAACCAGCTGGAGGTGGGCACAAACTCTGGACCGGCCTGTCGCAGAAACACAGCCGTTACATAGGATTAGAATATATCCTTTGTGCTACAAGAATATGATGAGTGTGTCTTACCCCCAGGCTGCCCTCGCTGTCCGTGGGCAAGTTATTCTCGTACTTGGCCAGAACAGCAGCCAGACCACTCAGAGCCAGGATGGAGTTCCCCTGGACCACGGGGCTGTCTCTGTACATTCAAAACAATACGAATAAATAAAAAATACAAAACAGGGTATTCCCATGTTATGTATTGGTAATAATCGGCCAATTTAAATGCATAAAAACTTACTTAATGGCATTTTTTATGACATCTGACAGCTGGTCTCTGGCCCTGTAATAAATCATATATGGCACTGGTTACTGGCATTTGTTGAGGGACATATGGTATTATTGATGGTGTGAAAAGACCAGACCAGAGCCAGGCACAGTGGTGTTGGTACTGCAGCTCCTCAGGATCTCCTTTGCCTTGTTTCTGCTGCATTTCCAAATCAGCACGACGGCCCTGTACACACACACAAGGGCATGCATACAGTATGTACACACAGACAGATAGACACACACGGAGAGAGAGAGAGAGACACACACACACACACACACACATTGAGCAAGATGAAATAAGACAAAGATTTGCCCATGGAGTCAAGCAGTTTAAAGACTGTTAAAATGTGGTCAATTCAACATAAAAAACAACTTATCAAAGGCATATTTCAAAGCAGATTGTTTTTTGTTGTACCATGACCCACCAATAGATGGCAACCTTCACTAAAACGTTGGTCACGGGAAATTACACACAAACAACCCAGTGTTCACGATTAGCTGATTATTGCATCATGTTTTCTAAATACTTCTTTTTTTTATAAAGATCTAAATGTGGTCAAACCTGAAGAGCAGCTTGAAACGCTCGACTCATGAAGCTCCTCCAGGCCTGAGGCAGGAGCAGGGCGCGGTGCCACTCAGACGGCTGGATGTTCACCTGCAGAGACCAGAGAGACCAGAGAGACCATAGAGAGAGAGACCAGAGAGAGACCAGAGATAGTTCAGAGATAGATCAGAGAGAGACCAGAGAGAGACCAGAGAGAGATCAGAGAGAGACCGGAAGGACATCGTTCAATCATTCAGGAAAAATTGAATAGGGCTTTAACTAGTTCATAGATTCCTCGCAACTAATCCATTCATGAAATAGTTGTCATATAATTGACTTATATGTGCATAAATGTTGATAAATGTCCCGGATCAGCGTTGTCCTTAGACCCTCCTACATTGGCAAGAAACAACTTAAGAACAGACAGACTGGCTCAAGGACAGGACACTGGTAGTTGTTGATACATTTACCCTTACATAAACTCATCCTTTTCTGGTTTCATACCTGGGTGATAAAAGCATTTAATCTCCACAAAAATATGAATTGTAACTATTAGGTTTGTGTAAACTTTCAGTCGTACAGGATTATTCAAAACAAAGGAAGGTTGCCCATCATCTGTACTTCAGTTTGCAGGTAACTATCATATTTATATTGTGTTTGATATATTTGCTGTTAAATGTTCAAAGTGGTAATGTGTTGTACAGGTATCCGGCCCAGAGCACATCGAGATCTAAAATAATTTGGCCCTTGGGAAAGATAAGTTGAATAGCCCTAAACCATTACACTACTATAACTATAGAATAATCTGTCAACTAATTGATGATCAAAATACTGGTTGTATTCATCCCTAACGTAGACAAACATGGCACCAGTCTGCACCTGTTATCTTTTGTTTTATTTTGTTTATATCCTTTTAAGGACCTTCATAGAGGACTGACAAAGGGGATCTCATCCAGTGGTGGTCTCTCACAGCTGCACAGGTCTGTACCTCGTGGATGAGGGTGCTGAGGGTCTGCTGGTAGCTGCGGCTGCGACTCGTGAAGAAGCGCTCGATGGGTTTTCCGTCGCGGTCTGTCTGCACCGGCAGCTCATAACACAAGAGCAGACCACCTGCAACAAAAACAAGACGCTTTATCGAGGACTCCCAGAATGAGGAAACTACCTTTGACTGCTCCAATTAAAGGTATATAGGAGGATTAGCTACTTCTACTTGGATCCTCAAGACTATTGGTCCTCCCAGTTGTCAATCAATCTGGTGATACGTGCTCGTCAAATAAGACCAGAGAGTTTTGTTCAAAAAGTGGAGAGGGCGGGTCTTTCCTAAAATTTGGGAAAATCCTCCTTTATACCTTTAGTAGTGAAACAAGTATGAAGGGTAAAAAAGATTTCTGCCTGTTACTCCTTATGCCGCCACCAGAGGGAGGAGTAGAACATAATTTCACCTGAGAAATTACCAAGACTAAATTATGAACAAAACTTTTGCTTTTTAAAAAGCAGGACAGAGACAGGAGCTTTAAGACAGAATGGGTTGAGTTACATGTTTGTGCGAGCCTTTTATGCTATTAGTGAAAGGAGGGTTCCAACTGATTAAGGAACAAGAAACTAGTTTTAAATAAATATGTCTACAAAGCAGGACAGTAGTGATGATCCTGGTTACTCGACATTCAACAACATTTATGGACATTGGTTATATCCCCCTTATGGACCAATGGCTGTTTTTATCTGTGTTGTGATTTAGGGCATTAAGAAAATATATTAAATTCAATCCTAAGAATATTGCTTAGACTTAGAGCGTTTAGGTTAGATTCCGAATTTTGATTGGCAGATTGCATTCAGATGTTTTATACGTTTTCTATGGTACGTTTCCGTTATGTAGAGTGCTTCTGCTGTAACCTGCTAGTCCCGGCTTGAGTCCCGGCTGCTTGTTCTTCTCGTAAGTCTTGAGCACGAAGGAGGGGATCCCGGCCACAGTCTTCCCCTGATCAGAGCGCAGCCCGCCTTGTCTCAGCGCCGAGAAGTACACCCCTCGAGGCATCTCCTTCATCTCCTGTTTCACCAGCGACGTCAGGAGCGTTTGGAGACCTTGAAGACGAGCCAAACGTATTGTGAAGTAAAATGTAGATGACGGACAGCTCTTTTGTCAGGCTGCAGTCCTTCTGTGATGTTTACCTGGTTGGACAGAGGCTGGGGTTAGAGACACCAGCTTCACATAAGAGGAACCGGGCACAGACAGGTCCTTCTCTTCATCTTTTTTCCCCTCTTCTTCCTCTTCCTCTTCTTTCTCAAGCTGCTTAGAGACAGGCCGGGCCTAGAGATAAAGCAAAACAGCTGTCGATGGGTAGAGTATTTAAAGCAGGGTTGGAGATTGGAGAGCGACTTTTATATAACAGAAATGGCAGAAAACTACTCCTTTTATCAATCCATCCATTTTCTTCCACTTCATCCGTTGCAGAGATGCCCAGACTTCCCTCTACACACACACTTACCCCAGCTCATGGGGGGGTACTCCTTTTACCAAACATAATATAATTGTAGTCTATATAATAAGAACAGACATAATATATCATTATAGAGTATCTCTGAGTTGTACATGTTGTCTTCTCGTTCTCTTCTTTAAAATCATCAAACTCTGGATGTATAAATAAGCTTTGCCTTTGTACCTACAAAACCTGTGCAAACCAAGCATTGTTGGGCTCTAGTGTTTGTTTATGCTACAACTATTATGATACATAGTTGTGCTATATAAGATGCTCAATCAAAATCCATGATCAACAGTCATTATGTCCTCTATGTCCTAATTGTTAACTAGTGAATTAGTATTGGCCCTTATCCCGTTTTAAAGTCTTTAGAAATATATACAAATTACAGCTATAAATCAGCCATCGAGTCAGTCGACCTATGGAAAAAAACGGACAGAAAACTGGTGGATCTCTCGTTCTACATACATCGAATGACATCTATATAATATTATCTTATATGATTAGAAATATAAAAAATAATCTTACAGCCTCTGGAATAAAGGTGACTTTGTGGTCCACTTCAGGAAACTCTGCCAGAGCCTTGTATCCACAGTTCGCCACCTCTGGATCCTGAGAGTGACACACGACGGAGGATAGAGGTTAAAAAGAGAAGGAGGTCAGAGAGTTTCTACTGCTTCACAGAGAAAGGAAGGAAGGAAGAAAGAAAAAAATAAGGAAGGAAGAAGTAAGTAAGTACGTAAGTAAGGAAGGAAGAATGAAAGAAAGATAGAAGTAGGGAAGGAAGAACAAACAAAAGAAAAAAGAAAGAAATAAGGAAGGAAGGAAGAAAGAAGTGTGGAAGGAGGGAAGCTTTTTTCATACAGCATCTTTCACAGACCAAGGCCACAAAGCGCTTCACAGTAAAAGCAGATAGAATACAATTTAAAAACAAATTAAAATGTGCGTACACCAGATAAAAATAAAACGGCAAATGCATGATGAATGTTCCGCTCTTTGGGAAATCAGGCTGAAGCATTTGAAATCAGTGAAAGGGAAGATTTCTATTGAACTGACCTTGTTCAGTGTATAATTCCAGAGCAGAGCAACCACCTCCGCCTTGAGATTCTATAAAAGAGACAGACAAAACTGAAACACACATTGTCCTTTTAATAATATAAGATAAGATAAACCTTTATTTGTGCCAAAGTGAAGAATTGTCAATGCCAAGTTACAGCAGAATAAAAAGGAGGAAGAGCACTCAGGTTGCACACATCGAAGATCTATTATTAAAGATCACACATAAAACTCGTGGTTTTATCTATAAAGAAAAGCACTTGGTTCAAGGATAAATCACTAGCGGAGTATACACTGTAGTTAGCAGCATCATGAGGTATTTACAGCTGTTTATATTGTACTTTAGCGCTTAAAATGTTATAAAGGGCCGTGGTACGTTAGTCAACCTTGAAATATTTTTTAATGGGCCTTTGCAAATCACCCAAAATCACAAATATGGAAAAAGGAACATATGTGAGAACAAAATTACATAATTAATAATCAATTAATGAGTGTCAATTATTATTAAGATAAATATCTGATGTTTGTGTATGTTCTGACTGTAAACATACCGTAAAAGAAAGAAAATATAAAAAGGGGTAGGAAACATTTGTTTACGTTTTACTTCTACCTACTCCTTTTCAAATTGTGTATAATATGTATAAATGTATTTCTTTTCTATGTATTGCACAATGAATAATGAAATTGAGAGACGACAGCAACAATATTAGAAAGACCTTTTTGCTCTTCTTTGATTGTCTATGTAATAGTTTGTATGTTTCAGCTGGTGGTGATGGTTCTCAAAGGTGTGCCATGGTTCAAAAAGGTTGGGGAACACTGCCATAAGCAACATTTGAGCAAACTAAACCAACAAACTAAGACCCCACCTCATACGCCTCTGACTTGACCTGCAGCTGAGGAACCAGAGCCAGCAGTTCAGTGGTGGCTTTGACGATCAGTGGGCGAGAATCAGCTCTCAGCTCAGGCCCCAGCGCTCTCCACGTTGACACTATATCCACCACCTGCAGCAGTCGCAGTAATTACAGGTCAGAGAGTATACAATAACACGAAGGGTGGTGATTGTGCCTGACCTCTGCCCGACAGAGCTCGTGCAGGCCTTGAAGAGCCAGAACAGCTGGAGTGGCCAGGTCGGCTTTACTGCACTGCTTCAGCATCAGGGTAATGGCCGCCAGCATGTCCCCTCCGTGCTGGTATGGTCTGAAGACAGAGACACGACATTCAAAACTACTTCTTTTTTTATTATTATTTTTTGACAGGGACAATGCAGTCATACATAGTTGCAAGATGCAGCTGATGCGTCACATACGGAGTGTATAAGTTTGTGTAAGCCCTCAGTCGTACAGGGATTAGTCAAAGCAAAGGAAGGTTTCTCACCCATCATCTGTACTTCTTAGCAAGTTTTCCCGACGTTTTGTCCTCAATCCAAAGGACTTCTTCAGGGAATGCCTGAAGAAGTCCTTTAGATTGAGGACAAAACGTCAGGAAAACTTGCTAAGAAGTACAGATGATGGGTGAGAAACCTTCCTTTGCTACGGAGTGTATAGCTAATGCTAATCTTCAACTCCAGATTCAAAATTCCAGTACTGATACTACTTTGAATGGTCTAAATAATACTGCTTTTAAAACTGAGACTAGGGGTGAGTTTTAGTTATAGCAGGGGTGTGGTGTGAACTAAGAAGGACAAAAATTAGTTCTTCTACTTTAATTTGACTGCTTTACAACAAACTGCTCAGGGACTACAGGTGTAAATTAGCACTTCTGCTATAGCCTGGTACAATACATCTTTTCTTTTGGGTAATGTTTATTGGGTTAGAAAAATATATATATATCAATAAAATCATACCAAAAATAATACATCGAATGACTTTAAATCTTTCCATGGTTTTTGTACAGAGTGCAGCAAGTCAGCACCATTGACTTCACAAGTTCAGTGTCCGAGTCATTCCTTTAAGATTGCCAAAAGCATTTTGAACAACCACTCGCCCGGTATCCTGAAAAGGTTTTTGGAGCTAGTTCTGCAGGGGGTAAGCAGTATCCGCTGGAGGTAATAGCAGCTGTCACCGATATTATAACATATCAATACACCACACCAATGTTACTGGTCACAAGTCGCACATAAATGACGTGGTCTGACAACCCCTCCCATGCTAAGATACTACTTTTAATGGAAAATCCGCCACACTCGGCCGTGCTGCTCCATGCCATGCCGTACTGTGACTATGGAAAAGCGCCAGTAGTCCATCCTACTGCGGTAGTTCCCTACAGCATGATAATAAATAATTTTCTGTCTCTCCAAGAAAACAGAACTAACACGATGAGTTTCACTATATTTTTCCCTTTGAAAATGTTACCATTTGAATAGTTTTTTGTGGCAAACATGGATCAAAGTGACCTCTTAATCCCAGGTTTGCATGTGGACACAGTGACCGTGACCGTGGATGCCAAATTGGCTGAAATCCTCCTGGTGCATTTGGACGTATTGTGTTACAAGAATGGGACGGTGACTTTTTGCTGGGGTTTTACTGCTCTTCCGGTTAATCCAGTGTTAGGCCCTCCTGACCCCGGCCCTCTGACCTCTCTGTGCAGATGTCCCGGAGGCAGGCAGCACGGGACAAGAGCTGCTCCCACTGGGCTTCGCGTCCCAGCACCACCCTGTCCTCGTGTTGGGACAGGAGTCTCTGCAGCTCGGGGTAAACGCGGTCCTGTTCAAAGACACAGGTGAGTGTCCGGGATTAAGCATTAACAGCTAAGTAACACAAAATGGCTAGGGATAGAGGACAGAGATAGAGGACAGAGATAGAGGACAGAGACAGAGGACAGGGATAGAGGACAGAGATAGAGGACAGAGATAGAGGACAGAGACAGAGGACAGGGATAGAGGACAGAGGACAAGGATAGAGGACAAGGATAGAGGACAGAGACAGAGGACAGAGGACAAGGATAGAGGACAGAGACAGAGGACAGAGATAGAGGACAGAGACAGAGGCAGAGGACAGGGATAGAGGACAGAGACAGAGGACAGAGATAAAGGACAGAGACAGAGGCAGAGGACAGGGATAGAGGACAGGGATAGAGGACAGAGATAAAGGACAGAGATAGAGGACAGAGATAGAGGACAGAGACAGAGGACAGAGATAGAGGACAGAGATAGAGGACAGAGATAGAGGACAGAGACAGAGGCAGAGGACAGAGACAGAGGACAGAGATAGAGGACAGAGATAGAGGATAGAGATAAAGGACAGGGATAGAGGACAGAGATAAAGGACAGAGATAGAGGACAGAGATAGAGGACAGAGACAGAGGACAGGGATAGAGGACAGAGATAGAGGACAGAGATAGAGGACAGAGATAGAGGACAGGGATAGAGGACAGAGATAGAGGACAGATATAGAGGACAGGGATAGAGGACAGAGATAGAGGACAGAGACAGAGGACAGAGATAGAGGACAGAGAAAGAGGACAGAGATAGAGGACAGAGATAGAGGACAGAGATAGAGGACAGAGATAGAGGACAGAGATAGAGGACAGGGATAGAGGACAGATATAGAGGACAGAGATAGAGGACAGAGATAGAGGACAGAGATAGAGGACAGAGACAGAGGACAGGGATAGAGGACAGAGGACAAGGATAGAGGACAGAGACAGAGGACAGAGGACAAGGATAAAGGACAGAGATAGAGGACAGAGATAGAGGACAGAGATAGAGGACAGAGATAAAGGACAGGGATAGAGGACAGCGATAGAGGACAGAGATAGAGGACAGAGATAAAGGACAGGGATAGAGGACAGAGATAGAGGACAGAGATAAAGGACAGAGATAGAGGACAGAGATAGAGGACAGGGATAGAGGACAGAGATAGAGGCCAGAGATAGAGGACAGGGATAGAGGACAGAGATAGAGGACAGAGGCAGAGGACAGAGATAGAGGACAGAGATAGAGGACAGGGATAGAGGACAGAGATAGAGGCCAGAGATAGAGGACAGGGATAGAGGACAGAGATAGAGGACAGAGACAGAGGACAGAGATAGAGGACAGAGATAGAGGACATAGATAGAGGACAAAGATAGAGGACAGGGATAGAGGACAGAGATAGAGGACAGAGACAGAGGACAGAGACAGAGGACAGAGATAGAGGACAGAGAAAGAGGACAAGGAAAGAGGACAGGGATAGAGGACAGAGATAGAGGACAGGGATAGAGGACAGAGATAGAGGACAGAGACAGAGGACAGAGATAGAGGACAGAGATAGAGGACATAGATAGAGGACAGAGATAGAGGACAGGGATAGAGGACAGAGATAGAGGACAGAGACAGAGGACAGAGATAGAGGACAAGGATGGAGGACAGAGATAGAGATAGAGGACAGGGATAGAGGACAGAGATAGAGGACAGAGACAGAGGACAGAGACAGAGGACAGAGATAGAGGACAGAGATAGAGGACAGGGATAGAGGACAGAGATAGAGGACAGAGATAGAGGACAGAGATAGAGGACAGAGATAGAGGACAGAGACAGAGGACAGAAATAGAGGACAGAGATAGAGGACAGAGACAGAGGACAGAGATAGAGGACAGAGATAGAGGACAGGGATAGAGGACAGAGATAGAGGACAGAGATAGAGGACAGAGACAGAGGCAGAGGACAGAGACAGAGGACAGAAATAGAGGACAGAGATAGAGGACAGAGACAGAGGACAGAGATAGAGGACAGAGATAGAGGACAGAGATAGAGGACAGAGATAGAGGACAGAGATAGAGGACAGGGATAGAGGACAGGGATAGAGGACAGAGATAGAGGCCAGAGATAGAGGACAGAAATAGAGGACAGAGACAGAGGACAGGGATAGAGGACAGAGGACAAGGATAGAGGACAAGGATAGAGGACAGAGACAGAGGACAGAGGACAAGGATAGAGGACAGAGACAGAGGACAGAGATAGAGGACAGAGACAGAGGCAGAGGACAGAGATAGAGGACAGAGATAAAGGACAGAGATAGAGGACAGAGACAGAGGCAGAGGACAGGGATAGAGGACAGGGATAGAGGACAGAGATAGAGGACGGAGATAGAGGACAGAGATAGAGGACAGAGATAAAGGACAGAGATAGAGGACAGAGATAGAGGACAGAGATAGAGGACAGAGATAGAGGACAGAGATAGAGGACAGAGACAGAGGACAGAAATAGAGGACAGAGATAGAGGACAGAGACAGAGGACAGAGACAGAGGACAGAGATAGAGGACAGGGATAGAGGACAGAGATAGAGGACAGAGATAGAGGACAGAGATAGAGGACAGAGACAGAGGACAGGGATAGAGGACAAGGATAGAGGACAGAGATAGAGGACAGAGATAAAGGACAGAGATAGAGGACAGAGATAGAGGACAGAGATAAAAGACAGAGACAGAGGACAGAGATAGAGGACAGATATAGAGGACAAAGATAGAGGACAGATATAAAGGACAGAGACAGAGGCAGAGGACAGAGACAGAGGACAGAGATAGAGGACAGGGATAGAGGACAGAGATAGAGGACAGAGATAAAGGACAGAGACAGAGGCAGAGGACAGAGACAGAGGACAGAGATAGAGGACAGGGATAGAGGACAGAGATAGAGGACAGAGATAGAGGACAGAGACAGAGGCAGAGGACAGAGATAGAGGACAGAGACAGAGGACAGGGATAGAGGACAGAGACAGAGGACAGAGACAGAGGACAGAGAAAGAGGACAGAGATAGAGGACAGAGATAGAGGACAGGGATAGAGGACAGAGATAGAGGACAGAGATAGAGGACAGAGATAAAGGACAGGGATAGAGGACAGAGATAGAGGACAGAGATAAAATACAGAGATAGAGGACAGAGATAGAGGACAGGGATAGAGGACAGAGATAGAGGACAGAGATAGAGGACAGAGATAGAGGACAGGGATAGAGGACAGAGATAGAGGACAGGGATAGAGGACAGAGATAGAGGACAGAGATAGAGGACAGAGATAGAGGACAGAGATAGAGGACAGGGATAGAGGACAGAGATAGAGGACAGGGATAGAGGACAGGGATAGAGGACAGGGATAGAGGACAGAGATAGAGGACAGAGATCTGGAAGATGTCCTTGGATAAAACAGGAAGGTGAAAATGTATTTATCATTCATTTGTTTATTTGAATGGGAAAGTGCACATGAATTATATGTGTCTATATAATCATGCCAGATTTAGCCATGAAGGCTAGTTTCAATCTGTGGCAATAGGGGCAAAGGGTTGATGGATCAAACTGCTGAGATAAGAACTCGCAACCACACACACACACACACACACACGATGTTGTCTGTTCTTTGTTTCTTTCTTGTAATCGTAAAAAAAAAAACAAAAAAAACAAAAAACAGTAGCATAAACTTCTTGCACCTGCTTCTTCCACAGCGCGGCCATCAGGCGCATGGACACCGCGCGCAGTTTGGGGGCGCTGGCGAGCACGTGAAGAGTCTGGAGGACCATGGGAAAACACAGCTGGAAGAAAGGAACAAAGTCACACATATCTATCTACATGAGAGAGAACGATAGAGAGAACAAGCTTTTATGACGGTCTCATTGAGTACCTTGTGTGTTCCCAGGTTTGGCAGACACTGGAGCACAGCATGGGACACCTCAGGCCTCTTCTCTCGCCCCAACCGGAACAGCAGCAAGGGCAGAAGAGAAGGCACCTGCAGAGAAGCGGAGGTCAAGTTCAAACTAGATTTAGCAACCAATACATTTGATTTCATGTCAGTGCATTTTAAACTATAGCCATTGAAAGACTTAAAGCAATACATCAATAAAATGTGCAGTAATTGTAGAATTGATGATTTTCACGTGTCAATGTCAATCTCAATGTCAGCTGTATTTGTATAGCACATTTACAACAACCCCAGCTGCTCAAAGTACTTCATAGGCCCGAAAGATAAAAAAAAAAAAAAAAAGAAGACCGCATTAAACATATACAAATACATGTAAAAGAGTAAGAAAGCCAGAGCGCATTAATGTGTCTTTGGACTAGATTTAAAAACCTCCGATGAAGGAGCCGCTCTAATGCACAGAGGTAAACTATTCCACAGTTTGGGGCAGCAACAGCAAAGCAACTACATCATCTTGGCGTTTCTCCTAAAGCAATTTTTCTTCAACACTTGGGAATCATTCAAGTGAAGAGTTATGTTTAGTGTGGGTTTTGGGTCTTGAGTTTTTGTTCAGTTATTGTTGGGTTTTATGCGTCTATAGAATAGTTAAAGCTACACATCTTAGGTGTACAAGTAGGACCGCCAATGTCTTAAAGTGTGAGGGGAGAATGTGAGAGATCTTCCCAGGATTGATAGCCATTGCTAACCAAAACAAACCACGTTTTAGGCCTATCTTATACTTTGTCCTTGTCCTTAGTCTTGTGCATCTCATAATCATAATCATTGCATATTCCTAAAACCCTGCATGAATACAAAGGTAAAGCATCAGCGTCCACTTTATGCTTTGTCCTTTCTCTTGACTCTTACGTCTTTTGCTCAATTAAGTCTTCACGGGCCTGAGCGTGAGACGAGTGAAGGACAATGCAGGGTTAATACTTAATCATACGTGAGTGCTGAGGTCGAATATATAAAGCAGTCACGCTCCATGGACATATGTGGGCTTTAATTAACATGAAGCAGCTGGCGGCCACCTCCTTTCACCTGAGCAGACGGGGGAGGGACCAGGAATGAGCTCAGTGTACAGTAGAACCAAGCACAAGCTCACTGGATCAAGAGGCGGCAGCACCTGTTTAAATTCTACCACTGAAGTTGTACTAGCAGCAACTACGACAAGCAGCAAGAATAGTCTGGTAGTCGATTCGATTCAATTTAACGGTAAATAGAAATGCATTTATAAATACATTGCAGTTATACAACAAATGGGGAAACAAGGGCAAATACTGTTGCTTGGTAGTAGATTTATGTTTTGTATTATATATATATATTGGCATGTGTAAATATATACTGTATGCATAGAAGGTCATGTAAATACTGAATGTATAATTCAATGTATTTGTGTATAGCCTTAAATCACAACAGCAGTCATCTGGGAGGACTTCTCAAAGCTGACGATTCGCCAACAACAAATCAGACAATCAAACCTTTCAAACTTAGGAAATGCAATAATAACAAACACATAGAGCCATTGGTCCATAGGGAGCAAGATGACCACTGGCCATAAATGTTAATAAATGTCCATAAATGTCCAGGATTTATGTATTTATTGGATAGGGACACATGTACACAATCAACATGTGAAACACCACAACATTTGTATCCAAGGCAAACTTGCAATGTCCGTCTGTCCGGATCATCACTGTCCTTAGACCCTCCTGCAACTGCAAGGAATAAATCTATAACACAGAGGGAAAAAAGAGAGAAACCTCGGGAAGGCCCAGGTTGAGAGAGGGATTCGCTCCCAGAGAGACATGCTATAAATCCATGATCTGTTGGACGGGAATTCACCACCAACAGATGAGAGAATCAAAGAGTTTGAAGACAGGAAATGCAATAAAAACAAACACATAAGAGCCATTGATGACCAACGTTAATGAAGCCCCAAACTTCCGTAAAAATCAATAGAAACCCAAACAATGCATTTGGAAGTACTTTTCCCTCGTAAGGTCTATTTTTGTATTTATTTATTTCAGGCAAACACAGGAGCATCACAGTGTCCATTATCATAAAAAACTTAGCTATAAAAAAAACAATTTTCCCTGAAAGGCGGTGGGAAGAAGAGAATTTATTCAATTCCACACAATTTTCTATTTACACATAAGCTTCTCTGCTACTGCAAACTATAAGAAACTACATGCAAATACATCTTCTACTTGCTCAAAAAAATACAATCAAATTAAATGTAATGGAAAGAAGTAAGATAAGAGTGGGAACCATTTCAGAAATTAATCCCAGCACGGAGCAAAAGCATTTCCTTGCGATATAAGATTAAAATGAGACCAGGCATTTGGAAATTCTGTACATTCACATAATATGCCAATAACCTTCTGCCTCGGCGTCAAACGAGCGGCACGAGGGGCACTTTGGGAGCAATTAAGTGAGCGGGGGGAACAGTGCGCTGCATCTAACGAGCCCTGGTAATGAGACACTTATAACTCTGTGCGATATTTCACATCGTCGTTTGGAGGCGGAGGCTGGGTCGTCCCATTGGAGCAGATTCTGTCGGCTGCTGTTTGTAACCTCACACTGAATGTACTTCTGAAATCCTCATATTCAGAACTGACAAGGCTTTGTAACGGAATGAGAGCATAAGAGAAATCCAAAAACCTTTTTTAATTCAATGTATTCTTGTATAGTCCTAAATCACAACAGTAGTTTTCTCAGAGGACTTAACAAAACCGTTGAATTCGCCAACACAGATCAGAGAATCAACAGTCCAAACACAAGAAATGCAACAATAAAAAACATAGAACTATTAGCCCATAAGGAGCAGAGACCAATAAATGTTGTTGAAGGTTGAGTGTTCTTTTAGTTAGACCTCACAAGGCTCTATCAGACCTTCCTGCATCGGCAAGGAAAAACTCTTAAACCCAGTGGAAAAAGGTGAGAAATCTCGGGGAGGTCCACATTGAGAGACGGATTTGACTAAGGATAGTTCCATCTAGTGAACTATCTCTAATACCTCTAATTCAAATTCAATACGTATCAAAAAGATCTATTGTCCTCATTCAAGTCTCAGGGTCCTTACTGAACCATTTCTGTTCCTAAATTAGTAGCCACCTTGTCTTGTCATTTCCCCGTTCTGGAAGAATTAGCACTCAGGGAGACACAGAGACTTCTGCGGACATGTTTGGCCGAGCAGCGAGTGCAGAATCAGCAACAATGACCCCGACACAATGCTGGACTGAACCCAACACATGCACTTAAACCAGGCTGCATTTTTTATTCTCACACAGCACTAAGCAAAGGTGGAGCAGGTGGAGAAGTTTCATTTCATCTATGATCTGTATAACCTGCATAGATTGTAGAAAGTGAATAAACATGAGTAAAAATACAAAAGCAAGAATCATTCACAGCTTTAAAGTACTAAATAAACAAATTATATGGTCAAAATACATTGAGAAAGGGTCCAATAATGGCATCGGTGTTGAATGTGACTCTGTTGTATTTATTGAGGTCACAATCTGTCACCTATGGTAACACACCATGCATAAGTTTCCTTGTATGTATCAATTATTATTATTTCATTGAACTCAAAGTTTGCAGTTGCAGAGAAGCAAATATGTAAAGGGAAAATGGGGTGAAAATTTTAAGTTTAATGTTTTGTGTTGCTCCTGTGTTTATCTGAAATAAAAAAAATAGAAAGTAAATAATGAATTGTCTTGATAATAATAACTTGCGTCGTGTTTTAGTCCTCATCCAGCTGAGGTTCAGCTTTAAGATTTTTTTTATTTGATGTAGTAGTTTTGCTTAATAGAAAATACACCCAGCGTGAATTGTTTTGAAAAACAGTCAAAGAACATATAAAGAGACATGATACAGTAACACAAATGGACCTTTAGAAGCGACTTCAAAAGAGGAAGTGAGTCTGTCGGTCAGGTGTACAGAGGTAGCGTTCCACTGCAAACACACCATTTCCTATCAATTTTGTTTTGGTTTCAAGGTCCGCTAAAAGAGTCTGATCCGCTCATATTAGCGTGACGTGGTATAGAACACAAGCAGATCGGGCAGGTACTGAGAGGCTGATAGATCAAAACCAATAAAATAATGTTATGGACCAATCCAAATGTGCACATGGAGGCAGTGAGGAGAATAATGGATGGATTTAAAAACTAGTACATTAACACAAAGAAATGTATCACTATTGAGCTCAAAGCTTGGGCTAAAAGAGCAGGAAGAAGAGCAAGTATTAACAGCTGCAGCAGAAGTGTCAATGAGACATAAAAATTAAAACTAAACTTTTTTCTTATAATTAATTCAAAGTGAATCCTCAGTCTCTCAGTCTTTTAAGGGACCAAGGACTGATCCTTGGGGCACTCCAGATCTAAATAAGGCCCAGGACGACAGCGCCATCACCAGTTTGGACAGACAGAATAACTCCTCAACAATCAGATCAAGCCAAATTAGTTCTATGGAGAAGTTTACGAGTATTTAGAGCAACATAACACAAGTAAAGGAGAGAAATGATAGAGAAACAATGCCATACTGCGTACATAGCATTTAAGGTTGTGAATGTGTGTTAGGTGCGGGTAGAGGTTGCATAAAAAGACAATCAGTCAAAGCATTCACCTGTGAGGGGTCAGCCGAAGCTATGCTTTGGACTGTGCTCAGAGCCAGCTGGCAGACGTCCTCTCTCCCCGTGACCAGGAGGAAGCTCACGACGAGGGTGAAGGAGGAGGGGAGGCTGAGACTGGAGGACAGAGACGACCGGGCGGACAGCAGCCAATCACACGCAGCTTCAGGATCAGCCGCTACTGTCCGCAGAGTGCAGAGGGCCACGCTAAGCTCACTGAACCAGGAGCTGAGGGGCAGAACCAGCTGACGGCCACTCTGGGGAAAAAATACCAGATTATTACACTAAATAGTTAATGTATGGAAAGGCAGAATTTAAATCGTGTGTTCCCAGGTTATTGCTCCTTGAAGAATATGACCGTTTCCCATTAAAAAAGGCTAAAGTAGATCTCATTTTATCTCGCTTAGTCCAAGAATAAGATGTAATAAGACATTTAATACTTTTGCCTGCTGTATTCTCGCAAAGGAATGAAAGGAAACGGCACTGCCAAATGATTTAACCCATTTATATATTATATCGAGTAATGATCAAGCCCTCAACATTTGTATGAAATGGGATCACCTGCATCACTATACTCTCAGCAAAATCTATAGGAAAACTGACGAATAAATAACTAAAGTAAATCTTATATTACTTTGAACTGCAGTATGCTGACTTAAATGTACCTAATAATAATGATAATATACACACCCCTCATATAATATACACACGACTGATTTATTGGTTTGTGGATTAAAATGGCCAATTTTTAAGTCTCGCAAGACATCTGTAATCGGCTGAGATTTCCCAAAAGACAAATAAAAAAATGTGATAATTGAACACAAGTTACCAATGTTATTCACTAATTTAAATGTATTTATTGCATGAAGAAACCCATATTTATTTTTTCAACCAGGAAAGTGTTTTTCAGGGGAGTCCTGGCCCCAGAGAGAGGGGTACTATTGTGCATGTTTTAGTGGGAAACTGGAGCACCTGTAGAAAACCTATGCAGACACAGGGAGAACATGCAAACAGCACTCAGAAAGACCGTGTCTGGTGGTGGAATCAAACCCAGAACCTTCTCGCAAAGAAGCGAGAGTGCTAAAAAAATGGCTCAAAGGTAAAAATGTATTTATTTTTTCAATATTGTTATGTTTTAATTGTAAAAAATCAGCAGATATATTTGTCTTTGGCAAAGTAGACTCTCAAAAATTAATTGCCTGTGCAAATTCTTCATATCCATTGGTCAATACTCATTTTTGTTTGTCAAGGTTAACAATATACTACATAGGACTTATAAAGGATCTTTCTGAAACATATGATCAACTATATATATAATATAAATAATAAAGGGTAGACGTCTTTTGCAGTGACTTGCCAAACCATAATGATTTAGTGGAACAAATGGCTAGAGTAAAATATTATAAAATCACCAGTGTGGGCTCTTGTGGAGGCTTGCTGCTGACTCTTTGGAGCAGGTGGTCAGAAAGCTGCTGGTTCCGTTTGTGCGTCTGCCGCTCGGTCAGAGGTTCAGTGAGGTTCAGACAGGACTGAAGCTGCAGCACAGGAAGAACCAGGACCGGACCCACCCAAGGACAGAACTCTGAGTCCTCTGGGGCGAGCGATAAAGCTGGGAAAGGAAATTAAAAAATGAGAAATGCTTTTAGCTAGCCAAAAGAAATACAGGAGGAGTGTGAAGTCTTGGCTGGTCAGGCTAATGTTACGAAGGAATGATAGTTATTTACGATATCGCAGTTGTTAAAATTCCTTCTTTAGGGTGTCTTATAAAGAGACGGAAAATGCAGCCTCTATTGAATCATCCATATTTGGTAAGACGGAGAGGTTGGTAATGGAAAAACTTTAATGTAACTTTGATATTGTATAATACTTTCTGTAAGGCTGAGAATCGTTCAGTACTTACTTCAGACGTTCATTTCAATTCAGTACAATACATTTTAAAATTTTATGATACTAGACAATTATGCTGCTGTTGTATTGTAGTGTGTCTCTGAATGGCTTGGAGGGGATTGGGTTAACATAAAATTTTTGCTTCATACAGGTATTTTTTTGTTTATATCTTCTTGCTCCATTTTTTCTGTGAATAATTGTTTATATACAGGATACCGCTTGGTCGAAACACGTAGGCAGTCAATTTTTGATAGAGGACTTTTATATTTTTTCACTTTAACAGAGTGTCTCAGACCTCTTTTTTGACCTTTTGATCACAACACTACGATCGAGTCAAAAACATCCTGTATCTGTTTAGGATTGCCCTGTCTTTGAAGAGCACCTGTTTTGTCAAGCCTTCTCCCACTCAGACCCTCTGCAGCACTCACCTTCCTTGTTTTGAACTAATTGTTTGTATATCTTGTGAATGTTTTAAATACCAGTAAATACATTCTTGAAATACTCTGCCCAGCATAATTGAGATGACCATAATCGAGATGAATCCTTAATCGTGTTTTTTCACCACCCCTAGCCAATACTGTATATTTTTTAAGCGGAAAATAATCTATAAATATCTTTATTATATGACTTGGACCGTATACGCGCTCTGATTGGCTGATTACCGGTCTGATATTTTCCCATCTCGGACCGTTACCATGACAATCTGTCCGCAGCGCGTATCACACAAAACCAAGTTGGACATGAACATACTTCACAAATATCTCAAAAGCATTGGTAAAGACACAGACGAGAGTCATATAATAAAACATTTATTAACCTTGCTTGCTCAGTCTGTACAGAGAAATATCAGACCTTTGCCTTTTTGCACAGACCTCGCCACGGCTCGGCCTGTACATTAAGGCCGCGGTCTGATATTTCTCCATACAGACCTCGCGCTCGGTTAGCCGTTAATATTATATCACATTATATCTCAATAATATTATTTTTTAGCACACCCCTAACCCACTGATCTTCAAAGTACACATTAAAACTGACTTGTTGGGCCACATAGATTTCCCTCGTCTTTCCCTTTCCTAGAATTCATTTGTTTTATTGAAACATCAATAATTATCTAAATTTCCATGGAAAGTGTGCTTCACCCTGCTAACAAACCGATTCGTCAACTTTTAGATAGAGCTTTTTCTTGTGAGCTTTTTGCGAGTGAAAGAGTAATAAAACAACTTGAGATCTGCATTGATAGAGGGAGTGACAGTGAAACATTGTAGCCGTATAGATTCTCACTGATAGTCGTCCGTCTACAGCAGCTGCCTGTAATTAAACATTTGGAGAAACCTGTAGGAGCAGGTTGAGACTGGGGTAATTGCATGCCCCTGTCACATGAGTTTGATGCATATTACCTGCAGAATGTAGGCAGTAGATTCTTACCCAGGTTGAGGAGGCTGCTCTGCTGAGCGGCTGGAGCCTCCAACAAAAGCAAAGCAACTCCCAGCATCAGCTCGTCCAGCACCTCCTCCTACAACACAACAACAGCAGCGCGGTCAAAAAACAGCAGAGAGGCAAACCTTTCAATATGTGCCCTAGTTACAAAGTGAACCAACAAAAAGCATTGCATTTATGACAAAATTCCCAATGTGTTTTTAGAGTTTTTTCTAATTGCAAGAGGGTCCAACAATTAGGGACATTTATAACCCACCTCTTATAGTCTCATGGCTTTATGTGGTTTCTATCATTGCATTTCTTGTGTTTGAACTGTTTGATCTGTGTTGGTGAACTCAATGGCTTCCTCCGAGAGAACTAATGTTGTGATTTAGGACTGTTCAAGAATAAATTTAATTGAATCTGATACATGCACGTCTGGTTAGAGCTAAACTCCATTTTGTTGCATTGTTCTGTATATGTCGATAAAGTTTAATCCAATCTAATCTAAGTAGCACTGAACACTGGGGTTGTCCTCAAAGTGAAACCTGACTAATGAGACTTGAACACAGGACCTTTTTGTAGCAGATTATATGACATTTTAGAAAGACCATTGTAAAAACCTAATACAGCAGAATGTAACGAGTGCAGAAGAGTTAAACCTGTTGACGTGCAGACAGCAGCTGCTGCATGAGCTGGAGCAGGGGTCTGCAGTCTCCGTGTAACTGGAGGCAGCGGTGGCAGGCACACAGCAGCTGTAGCAGCAGCTCGCTTCTCTCTGTCTCCCATCGCTCTGTGGACGTCCCGACCAGACCATGAAGAAGAGCTCTGACGAAGGCCTGCAGCTCCAGCACAGCTTCCACACTCTCCACCTGTACACACACGAAAACACACAATCCAACAATACAGGTGTGTGAGGTATAGGCACAGGTAATCAGTAAACGGGTAAAAAATCCCATCCTCAGTCAGAGATTTAATTTGGCCATATTTCAGAGATTAAAGTTACTTTTCAAACTGTGAAGATGGGGGGTGTGGGGAAGCTGGCCAAATTTTAACGCAAGCAACAGTTAGACTTTTTGATAAGCAGTGGTTGCCATGGTACAGACCCCAGGGACCATCTACGGAAATTAATGCTCGGCTTGGTCAGGACCAGAGTTGGAGGATTCTCACCCATTTTAAATGTTCTTAGTGGTGGAGGAAAACGGAGCCCCCAGAGAAAACTTAAGCAGACATAGGGAGATCATGCAAAGTCCACTCAGAAAAACCTTGTTTTGACCAGGATTCGATCCCAGGACGCCCTAACTAAGAAGTGAGAGTGCTAACCAGCCACCAGGCTACTGTGGGAGGTCTCAAATATCCAGCTCATGCCAGGCGGCCCAAGAATTTAAACTTCAGGCCTTTTTGCAAAGAAGAAGAATAAGCAGCTTCCCCGTGAGAGGCAACAGAACCTCATGCACAACTACCACAAATGACTCAAAACTGTTGATGTTAAAAGGAGAAATGCACTAAAGAGAACTAGGGGAAAATATTCAAAAATGTTCTGTCTGGGTGTAAACTTTCTGTACAGGGTATCTTCCCCGGAGCTTGTCCTGTTCTTCTGTTAAGTGTTTCACAATATCTCAAAGGAGATTCAAACAAACATGTGTATTCAGTCTATGAGAGACTACAGCTGGGCGCAAATATGATTATTAGACTTGGGTAAGTATAGGTCTGTGCAGGGTTAGTCCTGTAGGCGTTCCATACGGTGCTTTATTCCTCACATCAAGTTGTAATTTAAAGTTCTAAAATGTTGCGTCTGTATGTGGAAAACATCTCATGCTTTCCTAACCATCTCCGTCACAATAAAACATACTGCTGTAGATAGGAAACTGTGTGCATTATAGGGCTGCGTGGGCATAGTCTTGATTTGACTGTGTTTTCGCTGTGAAAATAACAAGCAAAATATGAAATAAATACTCTACTGGGGTTAAACTATGTTAAATAAGACTGGACTTACCTTTTCCATTAGCAGTAACTCATTTTTAAACAGTCCCAAGCTCTCAAATGAAGAGAAAAACCACCTCAATCTCATATCTGCCTGTCTTCGTACATTTGCAGCATTTCTAAACATATTTGAGAGCTTCAAACACAGGGAGTCTGTCATTTTCAGCATTTAGTGACATACATTTACTCCCATCAAAATATCGTATAATTTCAGCAGAATAATTGCGACATTCACAATTCAGAAAATCCCAAAGACCATAATTTCGATAAGATTCCAATGTATTAAAACAATGAATTTAAAACATTTAACACAAAATGAACCTTTTTGAGTCCAAAAGTTAGAGCTTGCCAATGGGACAAGCAAAATTATCTTGTTTAAAAAAGAAAAAAGAAATGTCTTCCTTAAAAAAAGCAATACTAGAAATAAGACTAAATGGCTGTTTCCCATCGGTAAATTGTGTTAGAATGACCTCAAATAAAAATAAAAATAAAACACTTGATTTGAGCATTCATTACCTAATTTGATACACTTTTTGCAGTGTGTGTGTGTGTGTGTGTTTTATTGTCATTATTGTTATAAGTAGTAATATTATTTGTATGAGTAGAAACGTTCTTAATAAATGAGTAACAACGTACACATGCTGTGAAGTAAAAGTAATTTATTTAATATAAGAGCAAGCTGACGCCGAGTCTGGCTCAGACACAGCAGACTGCTGGACAGCAGATAGACAGGCGCTCCTCTGTGGGAGCAAGGCGAGCCCCAGACGGGGGCGGGAGCGAGGCGAACGTGCGAGCTCCAGGCGGGAGCAAGGCGAGCTCCAGGTGGGGGCGCAGGTACCCAAACTGGGCGAGTGACATGCGGAAGTACCGTTGAAAGAGAAACTCATCCGTACCGTTATTATTATAGATCCATGATCCGTACGCAGCTCCTGGAGTAAACGGTGAAACTCAGCAAACACTGCAGCCTCTCTGTGGTCTGTGGTGAACCCAGAACACGTTTTGTAGAAGCCCTATGACAAGGTTGTTTGGCTTTATATAACAAATAAAGGCTCGCTGCTCTCTGGAAAATCCACCATTGTCTTGACTACCTGCAACAGAGAAGCTCCTCCCACCGGCGTCAGGCGCGTCAGGAGCGTCAGAAGCTTCAAGCACCAAGGCGTTCACACCGGACCCAGTGTCAAACAACGCGCGTCAAAAGCGTTTTGAAGCTTTTGGTCTGAAAGCACCTTGAGAGTGAGAGTGTGTGTGTGTGTGTAGGTGTGTTTTTTTTTTCATTTTGATAATGAATTAAAAAGAATTCCAGTATAATCACATATAATCATTGAGGGCACGTGTTCAGCTCAGCCCTGTGTAATCTCGTACCTGCATGTGTGGGACCAGCTGGCACAGGGACTGCAGGAGGCTGTCAGACACGGGTTCATATTCCCTCCCGGAGACTCCACCAGCCGGGAGCAGAACCCGGAGAAGGTTGTGTCGCAGGAGTGCATGCTGGGAAAGCCTCTGGGGCTCGCAGTACAGGTAGCGCAGGAAAGGCAGAAGCATGGTGATGTACGCTGGCTCATTTCTGAAGCAAAACACAAGTATTGTCCTTAGCATACATGTTTAGGTTTGGCGGGGCTATTCTTTGATAGAATATATGTTTTACTATTGTTAGGTACACAGCTATAAACATGATTAAAGCTGGGGTACCAAAATTCAAACCACAAGAAATATTATTGTAATAAAATCCATCTAACTCCAACAGTTGAATGCATGTATGTTTGGCCTCTTCATATCAGTTTCAGACAGAAAAGTGAAAAAGAGAGGACCACCCTTAACCAAGCCAAATATACCTGAGCCCAGAGAGTCAAGTAGAATACAAAAGATAGATAAAGGATTCCAATAAGAAGCCATTTTCACTGTTCTGCCCAAAAAAGTTGATCTAAAGAGGTAAAAAAAAACAGATGCAGGTGAAATATGTGGAGATATAACCAATTTTTTTGAGAGCTAAGAACGAGTTGCATGGATTTATTACATAGTTCCATTGGATTGGCTTTGAACGCTAAGTACTCCAGCTTTAAATAATGTATAAACTATGTCATAACCACCAGCAGTAAGACACACTAGAGGAAGATTTGGACCAAAACTTGGACCAATCTATCAATCAAGGTTTTTGATTATTTTTGTCCAATCAGGAATAAGGGGTGGGTCTAACAGATGCTTGCATTGAAAATGTTTTGTTTGCCGTCTACAATCTGAGAAGTGACTGGCCTTCAATGTAATGGTTAGATGCTAATCAATACATTGCATCCGACTTGTATCAAACTTTTTCTGCTGTTTTAGGGAGTTTCAACCCAAACTCCCTAAAACCCCTGGAGCGGTCGTGCAGTAGCCTCATTTCTCACGAGGCCTTTTGCTTTCTGCATTCAATTACTTCACATTACCAGCGGACGGGGGACTGGTGAGTTATGCGTCTTTGCAGATGGCGCTTAAGATTCATGCAGAGCCGAGAGGGAGTGGCTTTTTAGAAGGTGGGTTCAAGGCCTCGGTTACCGCGGCCACACTCGCCTGTCATTGGCTCGTCGTATGAAGTCATCAATCTCCGGCAACAGCGAGGCCCAGCAGTCTGCGCGGTTCTCCAGCGCCGTAATGTATGGATGAGGGCTGCTCCTGCAAACGCAAAACCGGGAAAGAGTAGAGAGGCCATGTTCACTCCAGGATTCACGACCACAATTCAATCCAAACGCATATTCAGGAAGTGGGGGACATAAATAAAGATTAGAGCTGGCGTTCAACCTTGGGAGTTTCACAGGGTTTTAAACTGAGTGGAAAGAACCTTGCTATGGCTCAGGGTTTTGAGGTTGTGTGTTGTTTTTGTGGATATTTAAAGTATACAGAGATGAATAAGGCTTTAGAAAAATAAGTAATTATACACCGAGACCACCATTCAACAGTTTGACCTCACTTTTTCTATGAAGATTTACTTTCCTCTTTTTTTTAAATTAAAAACAAAGGCAGGCATAAAAAAGTGTGAGTCTGTGTGTGTGTGTGTGTGTGTGTATATAATCAATAACAATAAATCAAAATATTCTAGTCTTTTAAACAGACATTAATTTGGTATTAAAATTGATTACCAGTGACACTTTTTTATATATAGACTGTATATTTGTAATCATTATGCCTGTGTGTATGTAGGGCAAGTCCTATGTCTGTTGGAAAAATACAAACGTTTGATCACTGGTTTCAAGTCTTAAGCCAATAAGTTAAAACCTGTAATTTAAAGATAATTGCTACTTTCCGGATTTGCTTCCACATCCTCCCAATGTCCGGAAGATCCTTTAAACCCATCCTTTATAACAAACGCATTCCTTCTTAGACCTGATTGTCGTCTGCTCCGTGTAAACACAAGACAAGAGCCATGACCATCAACTTTGCTAATTTGCTGAGCCATTAGCAGTAGACAAACACTAGGGTCAAATCCAAGGTGAAGTGCTGTTTGGCTTCAACTCTGGCCAAGTTGGGGTCAGTGGGAATGGGGTCGTAAAGGTGATACCCTGGATATACTTAGCTATGGCATCCATCTATCGCCAAGCATGTGAGACGGAAGCTGCAGACGTGTCAGTGCCTGTGCAGCGAGCCAGGACCTAAACCAACCAGTCCTCTTTGTCTGTTTGAGGCTGTTATCTGTTTGACCATCTCGTCCCCTCTCCTCAGGTTTTCCCCTCAGCTCCAGCAGCTCCGCTCATCCATCAGATTCCCTCCACCTTTAGGCCAGCGGACAAAAGGCAGGGGAATGGAAGTGCAGACAGGGTGAGTTTGCTTGTCGTTCAACTCCAAGTTCATCAACGGGGCAGCGGCGGCTTTGCCCAAACCGGACATACTACAAACCAATTCGTTAACGAGAGAAACTACAAATGATTCACTTCTAGTTTTGATTCTCAGTAAGTCTATGTGAGTCCATTTCAATTTGTTTAGCCACAAACATGGCATTTAGGGACTTTTATGGGCATTTATCAGGACTAAACATCCCCCATGCGTTTCAGATTTACGCAGACTTGCTTTCAATTATCTGTGATTTTGATGTTTATGTTTTTAAATACCTTGCATGATTTTAACGGCTGTTTTTAATTAATGCCTGTGTGACGTTAATGTTTATAATGTAATGTGTTATGTGATAGGGGCTGTGAAAGACTTTGTGTTGCCTTGTGTAGGAAAAGCTCTCTACAAATGAATAAATTATTGCAGTAAGAGGAAGTCACAAACTTGGCTCATGGTGCAAACAAGTTAGATGAGTAAAAAGTAGATATAAGGGCTATCATAAAACATTGTCATAAAATGTCTACTTTATACAAGTGCACACTAAGTACACACAACAGACATTTAAAAAGATAAAACAGAGCGCATCATAGAGCCACGGCGCCATCTTGGTATTATTGTAATTTCCTGTGTTCTGTTTGATTCTCTGATCTGTTGTTGAGGAATCTACAACTATAAAGTCCTCCGAGATGACTGCTGTTGTAGTTTAGGGCTATACACACATTAATTAAATTGAATTGAACAGTGAGTGGTTGTGAATAAGACAAATCAGTCGCTAAAATTGGAGTTTTAAATTAAGCACAAGCTGGGACACCGCCCAGAGCTAAATGTCAAGTGTAAAATCCATGTTGTGTTTTTGTCAAAGGCTGGAGCTGCAGACAGACCGGCCACAGCCACAGTCCGGTCCTGATCCTGCTGAGGGCTAAAGTGGATGTGCTCTTCGCGGCAGATTGCAAGGGGCAGCTCTGAGCAGACGGTCAACAATGGGCACCAGTGTGCACCCTCCATTAATCCCGCAGCACTTACAGTTACCCAGCAGTGCCCAGGCCGGAGGAGCCAATGACGGGCCACGCTGCCAGGCCAACGCCGCCACCCCGCTGCCCCCAGCACATTCATCTTCCCTTCAGGGAGGGGCATGTCGCCAGACAGCCGCAGACACACCAGACGCAGATGAAGATGGAATGAGAAGAGGAAGGGACAATGGGGAGGAAGGAGAGACGCGCTGGATAAGACGGGCTCAAGAAAAAAAAGGAGGTAAGAGTATCAGAGGTCCAGAGAGCGGCAGCAGGCGGGAGGGGCTTAAGTCTTTTTATCACCCGCTGGAACTGATTAAGGAGGCCCTGGGATCCTGGCAGAGTTGGCGGTCTGAGAGAGCAGGAGAACACAAGGGGGGCACAGCTTTCAAACAGCCAGACTGTCACAGGAGTACTACGGTTACTGCTGCTGCTGCTGCATAAACAAGAATCATGTCCTGCTCTAGGATCAAGAAATAAAGAAAGAAATCCCAAAGAGAACATTAAACGCAAGCATAAAATACCAAATGGCCAATGAGATGGTCTCTGTGTGTGTGTCTGTATCTCTCTCTCTCTGCATCTGTGTGTTTGTCTGTGTGCGTCAATATCTCCCTCTGTGTGTGTGTGTGTGTGTGTGTCTGCGTGTGTGTGCTCGTGTCTGTGTCTACATGTGTGTGTGTGTGTGTGTGTGTAGGTAGGATTGCACAAAAATCTCTAAAAGTGCATGTTCTAGTTATAATAGTGATATATGGGATAAAAAACTGACCTGATAGAGTAGGGACAGTGAAATGGTTGACGGGGGTCTCTCTGGTCGGCTTGCATCTGCAGCAGCTGTCCAATCACCTTTATCAGCCCTTGGACATTTCTGAGAGCAAAAACAAGCCTTTGCTTTCACTGAACTTGTTTGTAGAATACATAATATCGCTGTCTATTGCAAAATGACTGTGGAGTATTTGTGGACATCTCCAAAGTGGATGTTTGTCTGTCATTGCCACAGAAACATATGATATTAAAAATATTGTATGAACTTGACACAAGACAATCCTATTACTACATGTTAAAGCATTCCCTTTGATTTTTAGTTACACACCTAAAATAAGAAATATTATATTTGGAATCTTTTGATTTTGGAAAGTTTAAATAGTAATGCTAAGGCAAGGCAAGGCAAGTTTATTTGTATAGCACAATTCATACACAAGGCAACTCAAAGTGCTGAACAAAACAAGAAAGCATTAAATCATAAATAATCACAGAACATTAAAAAGAAAGATAAAAATATAAAATCCCTCAGTTGTATGCACAGCTAAACAGAACTGTTTTTAACTTGGTTTTAAACATTGTCAGAGAGGATGCCTGTCTCACATTTTCAGGAAGATTGTTCAAGATTTTAGCAGCATGAATCTGAAAAGCAGCCTCCCCATGTTTAGTTCTGACTCTGGGCACTAACAGGAGTCCAGTCCCTGTGCTCCTCAGAGTCCGGCCTGGTTCATATGGTACTAACATGTCACTAATATATTTTGGTGCGAGGCTATGGAGAGACTTGTACACAAACAGAGCTGTTTTAAAGTCTATTCTCTGAGCCACAGGAAGCCAGTGCAGAGACCTGAGGACCGGACTAATATGGTCGTACTTCCTGGTTCTAGTCAGGACTCGAGCTGCTGCATTTTGAATGTACTGCAGCTGTTTTACAGCCTGTTTGGACAGACCTGTGAGCAGGCCATTGCAGTAGTCTAACCTACTGGAGACAAATGCATGGATAAGAATCTCCAAGTCTGCTTTAGACACTATGTTTTTGATTCTGGCAATGTTTTTTAGATGGTAAAAAGCTGCTGATGTTACTGATTTAATGTGGCTATTAAAATTTAAGTCTGAGTCCAGTATTACCCCTAGATTTCTGACCTTGTTTGAAGGTTTTAGGGAGAGAGAGTGTAGGTGACAGATGACGCTCTCTCTTTGTTTCTGGGGACCAAAGACAATCATTTCAGTTTTGTCTGCGTTTAGCTGTAGGAAGTTGTTTTGCATCCACTCACTGATCTGTTGGATACAGTGAAGGAGTGAGTCCACTGGTCCATGTTCTACTGCAGTCAGTGAGACATAGATCTGAGTGTCGTCTGCATAGTTGTGATAGGACATTTCGTTTCTGCGTATTAACTGACCTAACGGCAGCATGTAGAGATTGAACAGAAGAGGTCCCAGGATCGACCCCTGTGGTACTCCACAGGTCAGGGCCATATGATCTGAGACACAGTTTCCAATCTCCACAAAGTACTTCCTGTCCTCAAGATAAGACCTAAACCAACTTAGGGCGGTGCCAGCGACGCCAACCCAGTTCTCTAGTCTCTGTAAGAGGATCTCATGGTCGACGGTGTCAAAGGCAGCACTCAGATCTAACATGATTAGGATTGAGACTTTGCCTGCGTCAGTGTTCAGCCGGATATCGTTTGTAACCTTGACGAGAGCAGTCTCAGTGCTGTGGTGGGGTCTAAAGCCGGACTGAAACATATTAATCATGTTTCATTGAAACAAATTAATTGTTGATTATAAGAAATCTAGTAAGCTGTAGGTAGACAATTTTCTCAAGGACTTTCCCCATAAATGGCAGATTTGAGATGGGTTAAGATAGTTGTTAAGTACCGTAGCATCCAGGCCGTTCTTTTTTAGCAGGGGCCTGATGACTGCCGTTTTCAGGGCCTTTGGGAATATTCCAGAATGAAGGGACATGTTTACTATCTGTGTGAGTGAAGGTAACAGACTGCTCAGAACAGACTTCAGAAATCTAGTGGGTAGTACATCCAGGCTGCATGTGGAGGAGCTCAAACTGGAGATTATCTCTTGGACATTTTTATCATCTACAGGTGCAAAGTGAGTTAGCTCAGAGAGCCTTTCTGGCTGAGGTTTTCCACCAGCATCAATGGTCAGAAAAAGCAATGAAAATACAATAAGAGGAGGAAGTTCTGTTCATTGAAGCCAATTCCACCTAAACTTCCAGTAGAAGTTTTATCCATTCTCAAGTTTCAGGAGCTGAATAGAAAATAAACTTGAAACCATCTCTTTAACAAAGAGGTGTTAAAAGTGCATTCACACACTTTGGGAACAAATCTGTATTTTCTATTAATGCACCAAACACAGAGGCACTAAGGCAATACTAGTCACTTAATATAAATCAAGATCATAAGATAAACTTTAGTGTCCTGAGGGAAATTTGCTGTGGGATACAGTGCTACACAGATCTGAATGAATGAATGAAAAGGAGGTCTGTTGCAATTTTTCTGATGTGAAGCGAGTCCAGTATACTACTCTACTCCAGTATAGCAGTACGGGGTTGTGACCGGCTTCACTGGACGAAACCTTCATGCAGTGACATGTTTGCGTACCTGGCAGAGGGGATCAGGTTGAGGACTCCGTTGAGCACATACTGCAGATCAGCGTGACCCTGCTCCACCAGCAGAACCAGGGCCTCGCAGCACACTGTCCGCACCAGGTCATTCTCCCCAGAGCACTGCAGCCACAGGGTCTCCAAGGCAGGGCCCTGGTCAGGAAGTAAACACCTGCCCTCAAAGCTAGAACGTAAAGGTTACATTTCTCCTTTTCATTTAAAAACACTCACGTTACTGGAGGACTGGCCGATCTGTCCATTCTGCCCTTTTTCTTTCAACACAGCAGCGACAAGGTTCCGCACATTCTACAACAGACAAAAACAATTACTACTTTTTTGACTATAAGGCGCACCTGTATATAATTCACATCACCTACATTTAAAAGAAAATCTATTTTGTTCACATAAAGGCCACACTTGAATACAAGCCTCAAGTTTTCATGTTGTAATGTAGCAGAGAGACGACTGTTTTAACTTCCATGATTCATTCACCATCATCTATTTTGACAATAAACAAGTGTCCTATAGCAACTAAAACTTGATGGAGTCGAAATAGTAAATCCATCAACTCTGCTCTAACAGCTCAACTCTATCACAATAAAAAATACATGTCAGCTGCATCACTACAAGGTTAAAAAAACTAGAAAAAAAGTAGCGGCTTTACGCTACTCGGCTCTACTCTACACCGATTGGGAGCGTTTCCACCGGCCCTGTTAAACCGGTTCCAAGTCATTTTTGGGGGAGGCACAGACAAAGAACAGACAAGACCATATGCACATAAAAACAAAATGGCAAAAACAAAGGCATTGTTCTTATTTCAATTTTATACACATCTCCTTAACATGCTGCTTTTTGTCTAAGTGGTTTTGTGAACTGTAGACTGTGCTATTGAACTACACAAAAAGTAGATTATTCACATTATAAAGACAAGGATTCTGGAGTAACCTTTAAAACCTGCAAGACAATTATAATAAATCTTACCTGTGCTTGTACAACAGGGTTGGGGAAATCAAATCGTGTCTTGAAACTCTCCATGATGCTTGTGTGGGTCATGGCTGAAGAACAGACAAATAAAACAGCATAAGGCTAGCATTAGCTTACTCTCACATCTGTTCACATTATTAGAACTGTGACGACCCAAACAATACGTGATAACGGTGGTGCATGCTTCTCTTTCAGCAGTTTTGTTTGGATTTTGAAAGACATTTCTGAAGCTCGTGCTCATTGATACCCCCGCATTCAAGCCAACACTATCAAATATCAGTCAGTGTGTGGCTTTCAAACGCCAGTTCAATGATGTGGCCACCTGTTGTTCCTAATGGAGAGAGAGAGACAGTGCTTGGAGGTATTCTCGCCCCCTTTGAAAGTCTATCCCTGGCCCCGAGTTATCACATTATTGACCTGGAAGAGCCGTGGACATAATTCTGCATTAAATTATTTAGAAGTCAAGAGACCAGAGTAGACCAGCTTGCTGATGAGGTCACAAGGTGCTAAGCCCAGCATCCGCCCATCTCCTGTTTTCTCATTAGCTCAGACAATATGGTTAAGAGCAGAAGACCACCAGTTGAATACAAATCTGCTAGAATGTTGTGATAATAAGTACTGTACTTTGTGGGCTATTAGGGGCACCTGTATATAAGCCACACCAGCAACATTATAAGAGTTTTGTCCACATATAGGTCTCAGGTTTAAACATAGACGACTGTTTTAACTGGTTACAACATTATTTAATAACAAGGTGTTTAATAACTTAACCATTAGCTTTCATGCTGGTACTTAGCCACTAAATCTTGATGGAGTAAAAGTAAGTGCATAAGCTCCTACAACACTACCACAATTTAAATACATACATTAGCAGCATCGATAGAATAAGCTACGGAGTTCGAACTAGACAAGAACTAGAAAAAAGTAGTGGCTTATAGTCCGGAAATCACAGTAATACGTTTTTTGGTGTTGATCCCAATAACAAAAAACAGTACAAAGTCAATAAATTAAAATTATCAAGATATTTAGAATTCCTGTTTTTATAAGTATAAAGGCAACCAATACAAGAGATGAAATCCAATCACACTTGAAAAGCATAAGGGTATTGTGTTCTACTTTGTGTTCTTTTTTGTTTCCTTTTAAGAACAATGATTTTGCAAAGAAACACCACATCCGGATTACCACGTTAGGGCCCTGAGGCGATGGCAGCGCTGCCTCCCACGAGAGCTCACCACACACCTGCTTGCCTCTGCACTGTGCAGACCCTGTATCCTCTAAGGCCCATTTAGGAAGAGTGACAAAGGCATATGGCATTTCTATCCTCAAGTCAAAACACAGTTCAGCCCAGGAGGAAAAATAGGACAAAAACATAACTGCTTGGGACTTCATTCTGCACGGTGGAGTATTTCTTGCTTCTGTCCACGGAGTCATTATTGGTGCCAACTATTTGTGGTTTTCCAAAGTGTCAAACTCAATACATATTGTGCTTACCCATGTTAAAACGAAATAATAACTTTAACCAGTATAGATTAATAAAGTCAGATCAATCGAACAATAGTGATCAATATCAAATGTAATATCAGAGAATGGAGATAGAAAAGAAAAAAGTATCAATAACAAGCTTTGGTTACTAGTTTATAGTCTTCATTGATGAGACGAGACAGCCAGGACTGGATGGACAAGCAATAAATACCTGAACTCAAGGGTCCTTGGTCCTTCTCTGGTGAAGAATTTACTTTTACTGTGTTAGAATTCCAATGTTCTTTATAATCTCCTATGGTTTATGATACAAAAATGGAAATATTAGATAACCTACATTTGCTTCAAAACCACTGAACTTGTTGCTGCAAAAAACGTTTTATTTAAATGAAAATAAGCTCCTTTGGTTAGGTTAAAGTTAGATCCCACTCCAGTTAAAGGTATTAAGATGTACAAGCAATGCCATGCTGTGGAACAAATGTAGACAAAATTAGTTAAAGTTATGGTAATGTTATGGGACTTGATTGTCATTTCAAACGGCGAGTGGGGTCTAATGTAAATAATAAATATTGAACCTTATTGATTAAGTAGGAGGTTAAACATTGAGTCCACAAACACAACATTAATTCAACAGAAAAAAGTAACATATGAGGTGTAATTAATGGTACCTCTGGCCATATGCGTGTGTAATAAATCCTGCGTTCAACAGAAATGCACTATCAGTAGGGAGTTTGTTTAAAGCTTGTAAACTGATATAATGCTCTTACATTGCTAAAAACAGTGGCAATAAAAGCTTGGTGTGGTCAACTCCCTCCCCAGAGACACATGCTCACCCACCAATCCCCCACTGTTATCTCACTGATAAGCCATAGCTGTGCTGTGCTGTCCAGCCGCCTGCCCGGACTCGCTGTACTCCCATCACTGCAGCTCATAACCTCGTGAAACCACAGGTAAGGCACAATTTATACACATGCGAAATCAAGCATTATTCAATTTCAGTTACTGTCTTTGAGATGGTTCATTCAAAATTGACATAGTGTCTCAATGCAACTCAATAAAGGTGTTGATTGTATTTGAGAAGCTAAGAAGCCATGAAATTATAATGATCTATCAGACATTCAATTCAATTCAATTTATTGTTGTATAGCCCTAAATCTCAACAGTATTTATCTTGGCGGACTTCACAAAGTTGTCAATTTGCCAACAAAGATCAGAGTATCAAACAGTTCAAATGCATAGAGCAATCGGTCCATAAGGGGCATATGACCAGTGTTCATAAATGACAAAATAAAAAAAATATTCCATGTTGAATCTAGATGATTCATCGTTGGATTAGAGTCAAAAAATATATATAAGTCAATCAAAAATGTACCCAAGAAAACTGAAACAATTAGAAGATATGGAATAAAATATTATATTTATAGGCAGACAAAATATCAATCCAATTTTTCATCATTGTCTAGTTTCTTGTTTCGATAGTGTTTTTTGCATGGATGGGTCAGAAACATATACCGCAACTATAATAGTTTCGTCACACCTCCTTGTTAGTCGTCCAATCAATCGACCAGGGATGTCTTTAGCCGACTAAGCATATATTTTCTCAACTACAGCCCGAGCTGCATCTTACCCCAAGACTCATTCATAATGAATGTTTTTTTGTTTTTTTAGTGTCTATGTAGTGTTCCAGTGGGTTCGACAACATATTTTACCTTACAGCCACACAATATGGTCCAGCCTGTATTGCTAAGTCTGCATTAGCAATACACAGGAGGACAAAGCATGAACAGTGTTGAGCCGACAGAGCTTTAGAATGGACCCAGCTCTGGTTTATCTGTGGGACTGAATGCACATGCCAGACAGGCGCGTGGCACTTTTCAAGGCTTTTTAGGTGCATCAAGCTTTCCACACTGGAAACATCAGGCCCCTGCAGCAAAAAAAAGCGCTGTATTATCTACTTACAGTACAAACAACACAAGATAAGAGTTTGCTGAGGGAGTTCAGGGTGGCTTTTAAAACAAATAAAAGGAAAAAATATATTTACAATGACATTAGCATCTAGAAGTCAGAAAACCGCTTCTCACATAGCTCACATAAGTCAATATTATACAAAAGTACACACACCAGTTTTAACACGTGCTTACATTTTGTTTATGTTTGTGTACCTTATCCACTACCACTAAATCTATATATACTCGCTAGGCATTAACACTTCGTAATACAATACAAATCACCTGCAGCAACAGGACGTTATAGACGAGACTACTTTTGTAAGACTTGACTAAATTAGACCAACTTGTATGCAGTGAGCTAACAAGACAGAGCTAATAGTAGTAGTTAGCTACAGCGTAATAGCGTGTTCGTATGAGCCGTGAGGACTGGAGGTTATTCTCAAGGTTTAAAAAGATCCGGACAACTGTATGTGTGAATGAAACGCAAGATGTGAGGACTGAAGTTGGTGAGTGAAGCTGAAAGTTTACCTCATTCATCCAAAGTCTGCAGAGAGCGGCATGACTCTACGGCAAGTGAGAACGACCAAATAACACGCTCGCGAAGGAGGGAACATTTCAATAAAAGAGCTAGGAAATGTATAAAAAGATAATATTTGCTGAGACAAACTGACACCACAAATGACAGCGCAGCTACGAAGACATTTGCGACAAAAGCCTTACCAGTCACATTGTATTAGTCATATTAGGTCTACATAGTGAGGGCAAATTTACCATGTGGGAGACTGAACATGGGCACTTGAAATATTACTTAAATTATACTGTAACATCTAATACAAAATATGCTTTATTCTTACAACACTACAGACTTATACTACTGATTCATCACGTGCTGTTACAATAATATAATGTACTCTACGACGTGAATTTGTATGCCTGCATTATCATTCTTGTATAGACCCCAATTGATGCTCAGTTTAGTGAACAGTTTTGTGGACAGTAGACACACGCTTCTTCCAGATACTGAGGGATGGACGCAGCTCTCTGATTGGACCATGGAGACAGTCTGTTGTGTTTTGATTGGCTCTTATCGGCTTGTGCTTCGCCCACAGCCTCCAAACTGCGCGTGCGTTACACCTTCATTTGTGTAAAGTTACGTGGATTCTACCACAGTGAGCGGAAGCTGTAGGAATCTGACGTGAGAATAAAATACATGTCATGTTTGGAAGAGGAACTTTAATCAGAAGTAAAAATATGTTGTTGTCTGTAATATTGAAAACGCAGAGAGTGAAAAATACATACAAATAATATAAACAAAATATATAAAGTATAGTATAGGTCTAGTTTTATTTATTTATTGTAAATTTCTCCGATGTGAGATCAATAAAGTCTATCTTATCTTATCTTCGGTGGCATATTTAAATTAAGGGAGGTATAATAACAATGTTAATAAGCATGTAACTAGTGGACGGCATAGTTACATGCATGTATATTTATGTGTGTGTGTCGAGCTGTATAGTTATGTGTGTGTCGCTGTGTTGTATAGTTATGTGTGTGTCGAGCTGTATAGTTATGTGTGTGTCGCTGTGTTGTATAGTTATGTGTGTGTCGAGCTGTATAGTTATGTGTGTGTCGCTGTGTTGTATAGTTATGTGTGTATCGTGTTGTATAGTTATGTGTGTGTCGTTGTGTTGTATAGTTATGTGTGTGTTGTGTTGTATAGATATGTGTGTGTCGTTGTGTTGTATAGTTATGTGTGTGTCGTGTTGTATAGTTATGTGTGCATCGTTGTGTTGCATAGAAATGTGGGTTGTTGTGCTGCATAGTTATGTGTGTGTTGTGTTGCATAGTTATGAGTGTTGTATAGTTATGTGTGTGTGTTGTGTTGTTATGTGTGCGTATTGTGTTGCATAGTCATGTGTACGTTGAGTTGCATATTTGTTGTATAGTTATGTGTGTGTGTGTTGTGTTCTATAGTTATGTGTGTGTGTCTGTTGTGTTGTATAGTTATGTGTGTGTGTGTTGTGTTGTATAGTTAGATGTGTGTCGTGTTGCGTGTGTGTCGTTGTGTTGCATGGAAAGGTGTGTTTTGTATTTTATAGAAATGTGGGTTGTTGTGTTGCAGTTATGAGTGTTGTATAGTGAGTGTGTTGTGTTGCGTTGTTATGTGTGCATTGTGTTGCATATGTGTTGTATAGTTATGTGTGTGTTGTGTTGTATAGTTATGTGTGTGTGTGTTGTGTTGTATAGTTATGTGTGTCTCGTTGTGTAGTATAGTTATGTGTGTTGTATATAATTTACCGCACTCCCACGTGTTGCTCGCGCGTACATTTTGCCTCCATTTTGAAAAGCCAAACCGGAAGTAGTCCCCAGTGCAGCCGCGCGCTTGATCCCCGGTGAGGCTGTGAAAGTCTTGGAGTGTGACTTCAGTCCGGGAGAACCATGTCCGCCGTCATAGGCAAACTGTTCTCACCTCTGCTCCTGTCCCGAACTCATTCTCCATGAAATAACAGTAACACGGGGCCCCCAGGATGGCCGGCTCGGTAAGTTTGCCCTCCTGCGCCATGCTTTCTCTCCGTGGACTTCAGAGACATTTCACCGCCGCATCGGATTATGATGTGTTTTTCCCACTAAAGAGGATTGCTGCTAGCTTGAGCCGTGTCTGCAGAGGATCTTTCCTACTTTTGCATCACGGACTGTAACATTATTTCCCACGGATTTAAGTGTATTTTTCCCATGTTTTGCTTCACTGGGACAAAGCCTAGTGTTCTTACAAGTCAACTTTTCTGGGACTGGTTTGATTTGCACTCCTGAATCAGACAACAACAACAGAATTTGCATTTTTTTTAAAAATCCTATTTCCATTGCTATAATTTGCCTTGCAGTGATGGTGTCCAAACCCATAAATAACTAGACGAAATCTTTATTTATACATATATATTTTTTAACTTTACTCTCAGAATTGGCTTGATCTTGCTTCTCAACCATGCACTGCCTCATGTGCAAATTGCAAATCAGATTTCCCTCCATGCTACAAGTAGATCTTATCTTAAAGCTCATGACTTTCTTGACTTTCATACCAAAAAAAATGAATAATGAAACTAAATCCATCTGACTAGTTCCTGCCCTTAACACATATGTTTTGGCCTCTGTCACATCTTGAAATCAGCTTTTTCGAACAGTAACTTGAAAAAATGAGCGAACCACCCTCACTCCAGGCAATCAGCTCTCAGCACATAGTGACTCACATGGCTTTTTGAAGACTACAAGACCCTTTTTTTTTTGGGATAATCAACATGCATTTTCTATAAGCTCAAGTTCTGGACACCTGCTTTTAATCAAAAAGCCTCGATAGTAGCATTGCAGCTTATATATTTCATTTTTTCCATATTCCCAGGGTGCTGTTCAGGTGACACTAGAACTCGGCCATCGAGCTCAAGTCCGGAAGAAACCCACTGTGGAAGGATTCACCCACGACTGGATGGTGTTCGTGCGCGGTCCGGGCCACTGCAACATCCAGCATTTTGTGGAGAAAGTGGTTTTTCACCTTCACGAAAGTTTCCCCAAACCAAAAAGAGGTAGGCAATAGTCATATCGCTGTTTTTGTGAGAATTATGGCTTGGAACAGACCTGCGAAGTCCTTGAGTAAGCTGTTAACACTGACCTATGTGACCCGCAGTGCAGCCTTGCTTGTTCAGTTGCTGTAAACGCGAGTCATCTCCTGCTCAGTTTTTCAGTGTTGTCATCGCATGGAAATCTATTGCAGGATAATCGAAAGAGGTGGTTGAATGTGTCCTCGTGGTTGCATCACCCCGGACGTTGACTTCCAGGGGACGGAGGAGCCTTGGTTAAAATGCTCCAATGGTGTCTTGATGTTTTTGTGAAATTGTTGCAGCACTTTTGTAGCCGATTACTTTCATGAGCCGAGGGAGTGAGTGAGTGAGTGAGTGAAGGAGAGAGAGAGAAGTCTTTCAAGTTGTAAAGTGAAAAGAATGCATGCATGTGACTTATTCTAAGATTCAGAGAAGGTTGTGGAGATGCTGATTGTTTTTTGCGTTGGTAATTGTGCTTGTTTAATGGGTTAAACAATACATGCTGGTAATTGTTCAGGCCAGAATGTATTAAACACTCAAACACACTAACATAATCTACCAATATCACTTAAGTCCTTTTGCTGCTCTTAAAATGTATGAGGACTGAGGCCAGACAGTGACTTTTCATACAAGGATTTGAGCCCAGAGCCTTATGCTGCGAACATGTACAGTATTAATATTATTCATTTAAATACAATACAGTCCATTGTTCAAAGAAAATATACAATACATACGGTATAGTTTAACCAAATTGAATATTTAAACCCATGCAGCTACTGAGTTAATACTAATATTCTTTCACATTACAGATGTTAGTATACAGGGGTATGCCTTATGTGTGTATGTTTTAGAATGTATTGAACCTTTTTAAGTTTAGAGTTGTGTTATACTTAACATCCACTTTGTTGTGTGCTCCTCATTCCTACTGTTGTGTTACTTGTGATGCAACACTGAAATTTCCCCACTGGGAGGGATAAAGGATCTCTTAATCTAATCCTCATGGGAGGGTTTTGGTTTGTGCTGTCTCTTCAGTAGTTCTATAATGGAGGAGATTGTGCAAGTTTGTCGTCATGAAGTGATGAGGTTTCACTCTCTGCATCTACAATCAATGTTGCTCTTTCATTATCTTGCTTTTCTAACTGTTTTTTGCTGTTTTGCTTCGATAAATGCCACTTTTGCAGCAAATTTGGATAAAACTGTAAGCTTTTTTTAATGGGTTTTCCTTATTTTGTTTGTAATTTTATGCTTCATAGATCATCGAGAATTTACTGGTTGGTTTAGAATAGGAATAATTATCAATTTATGTACAGAAAAGACAAGGATTAAGGTTTTTACATTGATAAGATTCACTTCACTATATTTTTTACATACATTATCATTAAAACACCCAATATACAACCCAAGAAACCTTCTGATAAGCAGGTTTTCTTCAGAATAAGTTCCCATGGAAACTAGAGCTTTTGCTTTTCACAAAGGACACTGATGTATTTTCAATTTGCTGATTGCAACCATTCAAATTGCAATTTTGACTCAAGTGTTATAATCTTTCACCGTTAATAAGGACACATTGTGGATTTGACCCCGTTAGCAGCTGAATCGATGCCGTTTAATGCTAATGCTCGGATCCCATATCATACTTGTCGTTAATAATATACATCTTTATGAGGTCATTCTTTTTTTTTTTTGTCTAAGAAGTGACTTTTATGTAAAATGTTATGGCAAAAATGAATACAGAAGAGAAGTGCGCGACCTGCCGAGCCACGCGCACACGCTCCGATTATGATGTGGAATAAAAGATGACGGCAGGAGGAATAATAAAGCTGTCCCCTAGTGCGCGTTCAGCTGTGGACTTATATGAGCTACGGCTTTATTAGCTCTATTCACCGCTCCGAGACTGACACCGGCTTTTAATGATGCTCTGTGGAATCACTCTTTATGTGTCCTTCTGACTGACTACTGTTATTCGGAATGAGCCATCGCTGTAAAGTTCAAACATATATTTTTTTTTGGCTCGGCGCAGAGAAAATGTTCAAAAACTTCTCTAGGCAAACTGTGGTTCAAACTTGTAAAGTACATGGGTATATAGATGCACTGACATTTCTTTTTTCAATTTGATGGCTTCCATGTTTGGAAAATGGACGGATAGATTCTTTATTGACAGGTTCTTGACTGGTTCTGGACTGGTCCTGGGCTCGACCTGGACTAGTCGTTGACTGGTGCTGGTTCAGAGTAATGTCAGCTTGGTTTTCCACCTGAGAAGCGATTGCTAGTTACCATAGCAACACTATTTACTGTCAGCAGTCAGCATTTGGTAGCCTTTTGTTAAACTTTTTTATCTTTTGCCTTATTTGTAGGTTTATTGTATTCACCCGATTTTAGCACTTATTAACAGTGAGTAAAAGGTAATAACCTCAAGTTCATGAATTACTCATTTTATTAAAACTTGTGGAAAAAACATTTTTTGGTGGCATTCCTTATTTTTTTGAATGGGAGCAGTCAAAATGACGGCACTGAGAGCTCTAGTAGTGTCAGAATTCTGGGAGTCCTAGTGTTAAACCGTGGCTTGCAGTAAAGACCCTTTCTATCAACGGTGACATTGTTTTATGTTTGAAGCGGTTTCACAAATGTATTTCTATCAGATTTGTTTTGCTGTGTTATTTGGAGCTGTCAAACAAGCAGAAGCCTTATTTTACCAAAACGACATTCGAAACCATATACTCGTAAATTAAGTGGGAAGCCTTGTCAAGACCAACCGAGTGGGTAATATATTGCCTCCTGCAGCTGTAAAACCAGCTCTGGTTTGAGAATGGTGTTTAAATCTCCGTGAGGGTCATGGCAGACGGAAAGTGACGGTTAAAAGATGAGAAGAAGTACTTTTTGGCATGGACTCAGGACATGCATCACCCGAACCCTCCCCTGTTCATTTAGCCTAATTCCTCTGAGGAGCTCCCATAAATCAAACTGCTATCTCCCGATTCGGACGCTGGTTCAAAGCTCCGAAGTTCTCCTAAAAGCTCTTTGATTACAGCGTGAACAGAGTGGGTTTGGAAAGTTTCGACTTTCCAGCTCTGATAGATGAGATCTGTGGTTTAAGCCTTACTCCTGGGGCAAAAAAGTTCCTACAAGTAGAATTTATTTTTATGTGCAATATGTAATGTCGGTACAAGGCCATCCTGTGTAGTATTTCTGGTGGTGCATGCTTCTGCTCGTCTCCAATTGTGCACTACAAATGGAGCTTTTTTTGTCTGATTTGTTCCCAGAAAAGCTTCCTTCTCTTGATCTGATTTGTTCACAATATTTTATTTCCACAACACTTTGTTGTAACGCAATATTCATGGCAAATAAAAGTTAACCCCCTGGCTTTAAGCATGAATGGTGATGTCTATGCTTACTCTTCTTTCTATTTTCAGCACCTTATCTGTCAACTGCAAAACATCGCGATAACTGTCATCGTCTAGGGCTGTTTCTTGTAGCTCTGTGTTGGGCTCGATACCAGCTGATATGTCCAAAAACAAGTTGATTCCTCTTGATGACTCCTCTGGTCTTTGTTCCTTTTGTGTACAGTGCTCAGGTCCTGGGCGACTGACCACAGAAAGCAGCTTTTCAATCAACGACATGTCTCACGTTTCCACTAGGTCTTTAAACACGTCGTAATCACAGAGTAAACCTGCCTGAAAGAGCTTTCCGCACAATGTCTCTGGGCTCCCAACAATCGCTTCTCTTTTTTTGACTTTTACGGTTGGAGGGAATATTTGTGGCCCTGGACTGTTACATTCTGTGTCTCAGTGGAAATCCGATATTTGGGATGAGGAGGAGTGGGATGTTGGGGAGCGAGGAGTCCATCCAGAGGCAAATGGACTGGAACATATGCAAGACTTGACTCGGGCTGATTTGTTGGGTTTGTGACACCACATGGAGAAAGGCATGAGATTAAAAGATGGCGTTTGAGATCGTCAGGATGTGGAGGGAAGTGTTGGTTGTAATTTTTGACCTCCCTGTTTGCCCAGGGTAGAGTCCAACAATAGGGCAAGCTTTCTAATGATACGGCAGTGACAAATAGTGTTTTTACATAAATTGGGCAGGAAAGAGAGGAAAAATAATAATGGTTAAAAGGCTATTAACTGATGTGATGTAGAAACTGACCTGGAGGATCAGTTATGTGGCAAAATTATTATACTGTATGTTATTATGTTGATGAGGCAAGGCAGGTTTATTTGTATAGCACTGTTCATACACTAGGAAACTCAAAGTGCTAAACAAAACAAGATGGAAACAATCACACAAGTCATTGAAACCAAAAATAATCTAAACAGAACGGTTAACGATTAACCTGGATTTGAACATTGTCCGAGTAGAAGCCTCTCACATTTTCAAGTTTTGTTCTGGATTTTTAACTCCATGAATCCAAAATACTGCCTCCCCATGATTAGTCCTGACTCTGGGCACCAGCCGGATGCCAGTCCTTGGTTCATATGGCATTTTGGGGATGTACTTTGGTTTGAGACCATGGAGAGACTTGTACAAAAGCAGAGCTGCTTTAAATTCTGACAATGTGTAGGGGGTAATGTGTATGTTATGTCACTAAAATGTCTGATGCTGGGGTTTGTTTAGCCATTAATAATAATGCATCGGTTTTATATAGCTTTTTTGGACACTCAAAGACGCTTCACATGTGTCATTATTCATTCACTCCATACACGGTGGTGATAAACTACTAATGTAGCCACAGCTGCCCTGGGGCACACTGACAGAAGCGAGGCAACCAGTATGTGCCATCGGCCCCTCCGACCACCACCAACCATTCACACACACACCAGACTCATTCTAGGCAATGGGGGTGAAGTGTCTTGCCTTGACACAACGGCAGTTTGGCACTTTACAGCCGCAGCCGCCCCACTGTGGCTGGTGTTCCCAGAGGTTAAGTGTCTTGCCAAGGACACAACGACAGTAGTCAGTGGGAGTCGATGGTGAAAGTCTTGAGCGGG